CTACTTGCATATAATTAAATATTTTTTAACGATTTATTAATAATAATCAAATCATTTTTTTATTTACATAACGAATCGATTGATTTCTTCATTTTATTCATTTCTTTTAGTTTTTATTCGATTATTCAATTTCTACTAATAATAATTTTTCTTTCTTCTAAAGAAATTCATTTTTTCTTCAACAATATGAAGTTTTCTTCCAATTTCTTTACCAATTTTTCTGTGTTCATTTTTTACTACCATTAATTTGTGATTTTAATATGACTAATGAAAACAATACAATTTTATACTTATGTATAGTTATACTTATCTATAGTTATAATATAACTATACTTATGTATAGTTATATTTTATACTTATCTATAGTTATACTTTTATACTTATCTTTTTTTTCAAGTTTTTTCATCAATAATTTATTTATAACAATTAATTCATTTTTTTCTTCACATAAAGATTCATTTAATTTCTTCATTGTTTTCATTTCTTCTAGCTCTTTATTCCTGTCTTCTATAGTACATAATGTTTTTTCTCTTTCCACAAAATTTTCATTCTTTTCTTAACCATTTTTTCTGTGATCACTTTTTCCAATGCATAATTTGTGATTTTAATTTGTTTTATAATTTTCCATCATTATTTAACTAATCTTATTTTATATTTTTTCTATCTTTAACTGCTTCAAAATTTCCCATCACAAAAGTATTGTGTAGTGTCACGAGACAAATGAAAAAATTATTCATATACTGTAAAACTCTCTCCCTTATCCATATTTAAAATAATTTTATTTTCTCTAATAATTTGTTCACTGTATTTACACCTTCCTTTTTTTGTTTACAAATCCAAGTATTCTCTTTATATCCAATACTGTCTATAGATTCCATACATATTTTAAAATAATCATAATTTTCACCATTTTTATGATAAATTCTTTAAAACCAGGGTCGTGCATAAACATTGTCAACAAGTAAAAAATTCTCATCCATTCTTTAGCTGTTCATATTTTTATTTGTCCATTTATCTTTATACATGGAATCAGAATAACCTAAAGGTAAATAAATTTGATTTTTTGTCATTTTTCTTGAGCATATTCACATACAATTGAGGATAATTTGCAACACTATTAGAATGTTGTGAATCCTAACTATACCATTTTTGTTAAATCATCATATAATTCATGAAAAACTAACAAATGGTTTAAAAAGAAAATATATACATGAACTAATGAAATTAAAGTAGCATGATCTTCTAACACCAATTTTTTAAACTAAATTTTCTCTTCATTTCTTGTTCCATGTAAGCCTTATTTCAAAATTCCAAAGTTTCATGAGGGATAGATGCCATTGATATCTTTATATCCAATATAAAAACCAAAACTTATTAATATAACATCAAGCAACAACAATATTGATAAAACTGATAAATAATTTCAAAACAAATGTTTATAACAGCAACCATCCAAGTAAATAAATACTTCGTTATTCACATTTTACTCTAAAAACAAATTGTGTTCACTTTCTTTATAATTATTTAAATAAAAAAACTCCTCTTCTTTTTCTTCATTATACCATGGGGTGTTTCTAAAATCACTGTGCAATTGTTCATTCTTTAAAATATATCACACAATCTGAATATATTTATGAATAGAAGATGTCAATTTGTCATTACAGATAACCACATCTTTTAAAAATTTTTTCTTTTTTTCTGGTAGTTCTTCCCATTCAGAAAGATATGCTTCCGCTCTTTTTAAATTTTGTTCCATTTAAATTCAATAGAGTTAAGATAAGTAGCAAGAGAAACCTTCTTAAAACAACTTATATGAATATAATGAATAAATATACGAATTTTTAAATGAGTTTAATTGTAGTAAATGTATATATTTATATAGCTTACCAAATAATTATAAATTATTTTCTATAGGAAATTTACTAATATGTAATTAAAAAATAAAAAACAAATTGATTTCATAATTTATTTCATGTTAAAATTATTTAACTTTTTATTGGTATATATGATGTTCATCTAAAAAAACTAGTTCTTGACTAGATGTGTAAAGATTATTTACTGGTGAAGTTATTATTTCTGTATAGTTTGATTAGCTACAATGTGCTCATGGTTTTATGTTTAAGGATTAAGCAACAGTTGTACATGTTTATAATTATAATAGTTCAAGTTTGCATGCAAATATTAATTGCAACTTAATTTTTGTTTATTAGAATAAATTCAATTTTCATCCAAAAGTTGACTAATTGTGAAATATTTTGTTGAATTCTTTGAAATATCATAACACATATTCTCATGCAACAAGGCGTCTGAAGAGATACATCTCCACTCATAACCGTAGGTTTGGTTGCGTACAAACCTTGCATAATATAATGTGGACGAGGTAGAAAACTTTTGACTTTGATTTTTACACAAATTATCTCGACGTTTTTGAACGGAGAATTCTAAATAAATGAAAATGTACGAAACAATTTCACTATTCATAAAAAATAGCAAAATTCTACATTCCTATCTTAAAACCCCTTACAAAAAGCAACTTCATCATCCAAAACTGCTTCTCCCTTGTCGAAGAAGTGCAATAACAACTATAGCAAAATTATCATCGCTAGTTTTGATGTCATATCTCTTTTCACTAATATGCTCGTGGGTGGAATAATCAGTATAGTATCCATTGAAATATTTAGCCGACTTTATTAAGATAAACTTTTGACATAATGTGATTTTCAAAAATAATCTATTATCTTATGAAATATTAAAAATTTTATAAAAACAAATAAAAACTACTTACTTCAAAAAATACTCCAATCAAATTGTAAGATATTATACTTAACAATAACAATTAAAGCTTGTTGATGGCTCAAATCATTTACAGTTTGACATGCACTTCCTTGTTAGCCTAATTGCCTTTTAGCAATTATGCAAAATGCACCATCAATTTAATGTAGTAGCTATGGGCAGTCCACTCGCTTACTGATATACATGTATTTATGTGTCTTCAAGAGCAATCCTGACTAAATCAATGTCCTACTTATTTCAAACCACTATTTTACCTACACTACGTTGACTACAGGCTTTCAATTTTCAATTCTCTGATCACATCCCTCTCTTTCCCAACTATCTTATCTAGAAGCATTCAAACTTAACATTTAAAGCTCATGTCAATCAAGTTGGAAAACTACTGTTTCTTCACTTGATATTTCCCACCAATGAAAAATTTACCACATTGTATACCGCAAGCCTATCTTTCCTGGCCTATTCACAAGCTTCCAAATCTTCATTCCACTTACTTACAAACGTTCAGTAATCTCTAATCAATTTTACTGAATCTTCAACCTTTATTCTACTTGCCAAAAATTTTTACATACAACTCGAATCCACCAAAACGTTACCTATCAAAAATGGTTTTATCTCTCGAATATTTGACCACCTTACATGTCACTTCCTCGAAAACATATTTAACGCCAAACTTCTCGTTTGACTACTCAAAAAAGCCCATCTACTTGTGTCTTTTTTTCACACGCATACACTCTCTTCAATTCTGGACACAAGTCGGTTGTTTTTGTGCTGCCACCTTTCCACATTTACAAATTAAGTTTGCTCTCTCTTTAACAAATTTCCTCTTTCATCCCTTTTAAGGACAAAATTTCCAAACCTCTAATAACTAGTATTGTCTAGTTGTTTTTGCCACGCATCTTATTTCGGTCAAAACATACTTCATCTACACACCAGATTTTTTGAGCATTTGTCATCATCTCTTATTACAAGTAATCAAATGTCTGCCTTACGTTATTGAGCATTTGGACACTCCGCCCAATCTTGACAGCTTTAAAAGTATTTCCTCTTTGCACGAACTCTTTGACGTTTCCATTGATGAGAGCCTCATAATAAATGAGTACACGCCTATCTGAACATCCTAGGCATTTCTATTTCTTTCAATTTCTTTTAATTTCATTTCAATTTGTTTCATAACTTCTTAAGTGATGCAATTCATTTGAAACCGTTTTTTTTTTGCATTCTTAAGTAAATATAACATTTTATGAAGCATCCTTTTAAGCATACAATACTATTCATTACGATCAGAAAATGTCTTAAGTAAAAGTGAAAAGTTATAAATAATTTTTAAAATTTTCTATCTTCTATTTTTATTTTCAAGTCTCTACTAAAAGTTCTATGTTTCGCATTGATTTTACTATCCGAATTTGATTTCCCTTGTTTCGACTCTCACTACTGTCTAAACTGGAAAGTTCAGTAATTATCAAAACGAATCCCCCTACACAAAACAACATGGACATCTTGGAATACACATAAATTTGTCTAATTTTATGACTGAAAGAATGCTTTCGCCTTGACAATCTTATTTTTGTCTAGAAAATGATAATTTTGCAATATTTTCAGACAAAGGTAACTTAGCAGCTATTGTTTTGATTTTCGTTAAAACCTTTTTTATTGGCACTTTAAAATGTTTAGGAAAATATTATCATCCACAGGCATTTTCTATACTCAAAAATTGGGGTGCAATTATCAAGTTCTGTTTACCTTATATAAATTATAAATGGTGAGGGCGATAACGAGGACGTTTAAATTTTATTTTTCATGATTTTTTGTCTTACCTGGAATTACAGCTTCAGAAATTTTAATGAAATTGTTGTCAATTTTGTAATGTAGTATCAATTCTCTCCAAGCAAGCCAATCACCATTAACATGGCTAACACCAGCTGCCATACCCTGGATTTCATTATCCAACAAGAGATATGACCAGATATTAAAATCAGAAATGCTTCCCTTAAATGCCCTTCCAACAATTAGAAGTCCATTCGCATTCTTTGCATTCACCAAAAGGTTTTCAAGTTATCACTATATTTTATAATCTTTGCATCCTGAAATATTTTTACTTGATTTTTATTGTGTTTCAAACAATAAAAATGCCACGATTTTCTTGAATTTATGTCACATCTGAAATAGAGCATGATAAATTTTAAGTTTGCATATCTTTGCCCTTTTTATAATTATCAACCATTAAGGATCATTACATGAAATCTGAAAAATATGATACAACTGAAAAAGACCAATACTTATTTTCTCAAACAAGCTAAAACCTGTGATAATATTGCAGTTTGTTAATAATCTTTCATCAAAATGAATATATTAAGATATCCCCTATTAATGAGTCTGCTATGCTACTGTTTCAAAGTATTGTTTTTCGTCATGCAATGCTTGTTCAATATACTTACTGAGCTCTAGAGAAATTGTTAGGAATCTTAACTTGAACGTAAGAAAATAATGCTTTGTCCTGATGAAACCTAAGCTCGCTTGATTCGTAAGACTTTTTCGATGAGAAATGGAAATGGAAAATGCTACACATCTTAGTACATAAGACTTTTGCCCAAAAACATGCAATGAAATTATTTAAATTTTCTAATTTCCTGTAATTATCCAACTTGATGATGTTTTTATACGAAATACTGCCTGGAAAAATTATCCTTGATGTCGCCAACTTTTGTTTTACATCTAAAACGCAAATAATTACATGTTACAATTTGCACAGTGAGCTGACTCGCTCAAAATTATACCAGCTTTGTGTATATTTTCTTAAAAAGGAAATGAAAGAAGCAGATCGAAAATGCAAAAGAATACCTAGCTACATTGAAGTATGTTCATACTTAAAATGTCTAAAAAGAGCTACATTAGGAAGACTTCGTTCTAAAATTTCCCTTCGATTTTTTATGTCTGTGATGCAGCTTTACTTAACCCTTATTGGACAATGTTGTATGATAAAAGAAGTTAATGCAATGAAATTTGATAAATGAAAAGAAATAGTGAAAAAATCTACGGTTAAGGTTAAGGTTATTTATATATAGAAAGAATTTCATACTTCCAATAGTGATTGAAATACATTTTGGTGTCGGGAGAGCATTGCTACGGTAAATGAAACCAGTCCAAGAAAGCCAAGTACCAGAAGTTATCCTTGTTGCATTCTGTGTTGAATAATAAAAACAAAATAAGAATTTGCATCAAAAAATATTTTACTGTCTAATGAGTAAGAAGAATTACAATCGATTTTTTAGCGCGAAAAACAGAAGTATTTCTATCGTTTAAATCATTGCATGTTTGTAAATATAGATCGTCCAGGCTGGTATAGTCCTGAGGACTGTTTTTGTTGTTGTTGACTGACGTTTCGACAACCTTAGCGGTAGTCATCTTCAGATTCAAATGAGGAGTAAACGTCAGGTTAGCCTTATTTGTTATCTGGTTCTTACATCATTGTATTGTGTGTACAGGAAATGTGTGGGTGTCAATTGTGTATTGTCAATGTAAATTAATATGAAGTGTAATGTTTTTAGTTGTGATGTGTGATTTAGTTGTGATGTTTTTATTTGCAATGTGTGGTTGTCAATTGTGTATTGTCATTGTGAATTAGTGTGAAGTGTAATGTTTTTAGTTATTTACTATTTACTATTTACTCATTTACTCCTCATTTGAATCTGAAGATGACTACCGCTAAGATTGTCGAAACGTCAGTCAACAACAACAAAAACAGCCTTCCCAGGACTATATCAACCTGGACGATCTACATTTACAAACATGTAACGATACTCCCGGGTTCAAACCATTTACTTTGTTTAAATCATTACCTCTTAGTTATGTTTGGTTCTTTACCATCTCATTTAAGTCAAGAATACTGAAAAATACTAGCTACTCATTAATAATTCAGATACAAATATTATTTTGAAATCGCTCAAAAACTGCCTTTAAAGTTATATATACTACTGTAGTGCATTTATAAAGTGAAATATATATAAAAGAGTGCTACATAGCTATCTTTTTCCATTGAGTAAAAAAATTAATTTATAAATGTAAAATAAATAATTACATAAAACCATGCACTAAACTGTGTTTAACGCCTATCTGGCGATTAAAATTTATTAAAGTATAGTTCAGTTAATCGTTACGAGTCTACTGACGTACATTATTTAAATTGATGAGCTGCCAAGCGCGTTTAAAATTTTCTGCAAAAGTGTTTTTTATGTCGAAATTCGGCAAACATCTCAGCCCTTTTGTTCAAAAGTCTCTCATTATTGTATTCTATGATCTACATTTCTTCTCAAAAATGCAAACAAGACCCCCCCTGGCTACGTATGCCGATACACATTTACCTGTGCACATACGACATAAAGTTGAATGTTTGATCTTTTTGGTGATCCCAGACAGCCTTTTATTCAAATTGTTCTATAAAATGTCTTATAAGCTTACAAGCCTCAATATTTCTCAAATGGAAAAATAGCACCTCAGTTATCAATTAGCTCAGACAGTTACAGATAAATCAAACAATGCATTTTCTCTTTGGTATCGTGAATTTTTATCTCTTGATTATTAGACTCAGCAATAAGATAGGCCAGACCAATATCAGAAAAAGATATTTGTGTTATCATCGTATTGATGTTATTTAGCATGCACGTAAATCATTCGCATTTACAATTTTCAAAAGTCAGTAAAGATGGAAAACCGTTTTAGAGCATTGTCTTGGGAAAAAAGATTTATTTGCCACGCGACTAGTTTTATTGCTTTCGGGTCAAGTTGTTTATTTGTATCACGCCTTAGGTGGTTTTAGCGGTACTTCATGTGACGCTAATGGGTTTTAAAGGTAATGAATACTGTGTGATTACAATCGTGCATACATACATGTGGCATGTTTTAGTTATACATAGAGATGAATAAGTTACACCAAGGTCATTCTCGTCAAACTATATCCTATCATTCCAAGCTGTTATAAAGAATGAAGTGGTGATCATATTTATCGGTATGTCAATCTTCTTACATAACATTTTAATATTCGGTCACTCTTTGTACCCAGCTTAAAAGACGATTTATAAACTCAAATTTTGATGACTGCACCTATAAGAACTTTAATCTGACGTCCTTAGGACATGCTTCCTAGAAGGGCATTGGAGGTTAAATTACTCACAATGTTTATAATATGCAAGACTTAAAATGGTTGAAAAGCCTGTTGTGATAGTTCTCGAGTTTATAAGTTCAAGCTAACGATCTTTCCCGCCATTCTCCGGAGCTTGCTGGTTTTGATTCATGACCTTGCTTACTTTTGTGAGATAACATTCACGTTTCTGTTGTGTGTGTTTGTCAAGTTATAGATCGTCATATGCCCATTCCGCTAAGGCAGACAAAGCATTCAATGCAAGAGTCGTAATTTCGCCAAAATATGCCTCTAGGGTTTTAGAACAAGGAAAGGGTGCATTTGTTTGGTGTAATAAAGAACTTTTCAAGGCAGGCTAGAACTTAATGTCAGCTGATGGAGCTCACTGTAACTCTCAAAGACAGTATTGCTCTTATTGTAGTTATTGCAAAGCAGTTATAAAAGCACTGACATTACTTGCAAACACATAATTGAATTCGACAGCTCGTTTGACATCTTGACAGCATTTATTTAGTTCTTATTCTAAAATAGTGTTATCATTGTAATGAATGGTTGATAAATGTTAAAACATGTGTTGGTGTTGTTTTACAGGGCGTAAACACTTGCTGTTGCACCTCTTTATACATTTTGCATTTTTTTGAATTTAGACCCAGATATATACTGATTTCTGAAGTATAAAAATAATTGCCCAACATAAAAGTTTTAAAATGGCCATAAGTATATAATGTTATTAACAATAACGTTTCGTCTTTAGCTTAAGACATCTTCAGATCGCTATACATACATGTAGGAACTTAGAAAACATATATACTAATTACATATTATTTACAGGGTGACAAATTACAAGGTATAGTGATAACGATGTCATGGATGCCCGAACCGGGGGGCTGAGGGGCTGAAGCCCCACCCAGTTTTTGCAATGATAAAACAACAAAGATATTAACACTGCTCTGCGTCGTACGTGGGTCAAACTACGCGCCATTTACACACCACAGTATCGGAACATTTGGGTATTTCTCCTTTTACAGGAGAAACTTCATCTAGTCCAATCAATTCCAGTGTTCTCGCCCATTTTAAAACCACTAATCACTCCGCCGACTTTAACGACTTCGATATTCTATCATCCTCTCCTAATGCATACCAACTAACCATCCACAAAAGCCTCCTCATCTTAAGCTTAAACCATCTCTTAATGTCCAAGGCAGTTCCATCCCACTAAATCCTATCTAATTTCATTCAACCCCACTCTATCCCTTAACACAAAAATCGCACAACACTGTCATCACTATACCTTGTAATTTAACATCCTGTAAATAATGTATAATTCGTATTTATGTTTTCTAACTTCCTACATGTATGTATGATAGTTATAATCTGAAGATGTCTTAAGCTAAAGACGAAACGTTATTTTTACTAAAATTATACACCCATGTCCATATTAAAAATTTTATGTTGGGCCATTTATTTATACTTAGAATTTGCTTTCCACCTGGCAAATTAATTGTCACAATATACTGATTGTTTGTACAATCTGATACCGTAATTTTGTACACCCAAAAGCTTATGTACTGATGACTATTGTTGCTTTCACACGAATCACATGTTCTTTCCAAAGCGAGATATCTACTTGGCTACCACTTTTTTGCCATGATATTCTGCTGATATATGTTATCTTAATGATGTCTCTCAGTATATATTGGATGCGTTGATCACAATAAACTGCCGTTAGGGTCTGCTTTGAACTGCCTTTTTTCTTATGTTTGGTGGCGAATTCTCCATAACAGTTGGAATTGGTTGTCTTCCAAAAGTTTTTGATGGCTTTGTTCAGATTTCAATTATGTCAGCTACTTGACAAAGCACTCGCATTCAAAGACGAGCGACACCATATGGACGAAGGAGGCAAAACGCAGGCTCTAGGGTACCCAATGCTATTCCAGAAGAAGGTATTAAAAGCAGTACCGACTCTATATTGGCAAAAGTAGTAGTAAATGCACTTGCAAACACTGTGCAACATGGAGAAGGAAACAGTGACGCAACACAACCAATGTAACATAGAAAACAACCGATACGACAGTCAAATACTATCTCTGTCTTTAATTAATGACATCGCATTGGCAGTTTTTTCAGCAGTGGTTAAAAAGTTCCTACGGTCACTACAAAGTTCAACCAAGACATCGCTGTCAATTGTTTAAGAAAAGCCTTTGGTCGTTGTGGATGAAGACGGGGCAGGAGTCACTGAGAAGGGGCTTGTGACTTTTGCTTAACAACAACCTTTCATGTGAGCTGTGTCATTTTGGTACCACTCCATAACCAATCTGTTAAATTTTTATTTCGTCAGCAATCTCATTGACGCTCAAATTGACTATAAGCTTAAGGACAAAATTTTGGCTGACGAGTACATATATCAAATTTGGTATCCTGTTTTATAAAGGCATGGGGAATACACATCATTGAATAGCAGTTAAAACGGTAACTTGTTATTTAAGCGGTTATTTCAATATTATGTTTCCGCCATAACCTCTCAACCAACATTGTCTTTGGAGCCTATTACCCAATCTTCTCCGATAACAACTAAAGAGTCCTAGACTTCAGACTTCCAGATTTTTGTTGGAGTGCATAAAACAAATGAAAGTACCAAAAGAGGCTCCATTCTTAATGAAGTATGGGGAGATTGTTCGCAGTAGTGCGACAAAGCGTGTTGGTTGTTAACGAAAAAACGATCTGATGATATGCCTAGGGGTTCCACTCATTGGGAGCTTTGGATTAAGGCACAGACGTTTTGCAACAAAAATCACTAAGTCTATAGGCCAGTCTGCTCGGTCTCCCACAATGGGCACCTCTAAATGTTTTTGCGATAAATTTCACAGTGGTTTAGAAAGCTAGGTTGTAATTACTGTTCCCAAATCGTTAATTTTAGTATGTTGCCAATAGGCCTAGTCCAAAAAAGTGTTTTGTACAATGGATAACCACCCAGTGCAACAAATATATTTTGATGCCATTATATCAAAAGCAATTTATCCGCACTCAGAGGTTAACTATACCTGTATAATTCCCTGCATTTTCAGGTTGTTTTTACAGGGACAGCAAGGTTTTAGTGAGTCTATATATTAGATATCACGTTAAATGATAGTTATCAAAATATTAGCTACATACTATACAAGCCACGCAGACGCATAGGCCAAGCAGTTTACGTCTATATTTTCAACTGGAGTTTTACTAGGCATAACAGGGTCACGGCTGGTTAATGGTTGTGCTTTTATACCGATGTTGATATTAAGTTTTGATGTTATAAAAAAATTTTAATAATGATTTTACATTGGTCACAGTTTAATTAAATATGCAAATATAGTTGTCAGTGCATGAGCAGTACAATAATATTTTCCGTCGGTAAATTTATCATGTTAAGGTAATAAAAGCTCTCTTTCCTCTCTGGCAGTCCTTGTGGGGTTTTTACCCCCCACCTTTACTGTGAAAAAATAATTATTCAATCATTCTTACGTTAAATTTAACTCTTAAATTTTTTAAAAATTAATAAATATATTTTAACATGCGCTTTAATGCATATCCATTTATTTCCCAAACTGTGGGAGGGTTCTTTATAAGTCCAGAAAACAGAGCTCATGCAACATGTTTTGTAAAGCGACATAACATTAGGTTGATTTCAAATTTGTTTTTAATGTCGAAGAAATCGATAAAAACTGTATTTTTATTGCTCATTTACTTCCATAAAAAGAAACCATTGTTTTGCAAAATTTATTTGACTTGTGTAACAGCCTGCCATGAAAATATTTTTAATAGCCATCATTTCCTATGAATGTATGAATGTTTTATGAATGTATGAATGTTTTTCCAATGATCATATCTTAATTTAATAGCCATCATTTCCATTATGCCCCCAGCTTAATTTTTAAATTTCTCTTAGGTGTAAATCATCAATTAAATTTTCGCGATATCAACTGGAAACTACAAACCAAACAAAATAAATGTAGGAAATGTATCTAAAAAACAACATCCGGTCAGAAGAAAACATCTGTAAAAAGTTATAAACATGTTTAAAAACATGAAATCCATTACAAAGAAGATAAAATTTTTTCCCAAAATTGTATAAAAATAATGATAGAACTTGAACAGCAAGGAAAACATGTGTGTGCATCAACAAGACAATTACTAAAATAACAAAAATAAATACAACCTCTACTGGAAAGATATGTTTCTGGATATTAAAACCAGCAAGAACTCCGTTAAAATTGTAGCCAAGACTTATTGAACCATTTCCTTTTATTGGACTTTTCCAGTTATCATCTCTTATATCCAATACCTTTCGAGTACCCTGAAACAATTTGATTTCGCCAATGTCTACTTTTCGCGTCAAACAATAGCGATGCCATGACTTATAATTCAAAATTTTCCTGCAAAATGAAAAGATTGGAAATGAGCATCATGGATTCGAAAAGATGAAGAATACTGGGAAAAAAACATTGAAAGTGTTTATTGGTAATGCATTTTTTGGACAATTATCATTTCTTTCTTTTTTTTTGAAAACTTATTATATTTAACGTTTAACAATAGCTAATTAGACACAAAAGTATTTGTACAACAAGAGCGAAAAGTCATTTAAGCCTGACAAAAATGCAGTTCTGCAACTTAAACCTTTAAATAAAGTGGATCTGGATTTCTCACTTCTAGCTTTAATTAATGAACTACTTAAATGGAGGATGAAATTTTTCTTTTGACAACAAATTTCTCTTATTTCCTTCTTAAGAACAGGAATGAAATGTGAAAAAATGCTACCTGACTCTCGTAAAAAATAATGGTTGAATCGATTCAATTCCCTAAGACAAATGTTTTTAAATGAAGATATGATCTTCACACTTTGCTGGACAATTTGAGCAATTGTCTCATGAACCTGAAAAATTCAGGTGACTCAACGGGATTCGAACCCATGCAATCACAGGGGTCATGAGACAATTGTTTAAATTGTGCAGCAAAGTGCGAAGATCATATCTTCATTTCATTTCAAACACCGCACTGCAAATAACATTTTTTCATACAAATGTCTTTACTAACACTATCAGTTGTCTAAAAACTTACCCTGAATTCCAAGATTCATTATAGCTTGATGTTGCGATAATAACAGCTAAAGTTTTAGATTTGTTGAAAGAAACACTAATGTTGACTTGTCGTAAATCCATCTTGCAATTATATTGAAAAATGAGACAATTCTCATCACAATAAATTCTCGCATAAAAACAAATTGAGAAATTTTTTAATTCTTCATCGAAAGAACCAACATCATGAACTTCTATGGTTTTCACTGAATTAGAAGAAGTTGAAAAGTCCAACTGAAATCTTGCATGCGTACCTAAAAATGAGAAAATAATAAGTGTGCATGTGTATATAGCTAATTTATTTCAGTCTTTTCAGGTTAATATTAAATTGATACATTTTAAGCAGCATTTAAAAATTCGACATTGAATAATGCCTTTGTTATTTCCAAGTTAACACAAAACTCTTTATGTCGTAAAGAAATTTTTTAAACCTCCTTTTAAGCTTATTTTTAACATTATATATTTCCCATGACCGCATTAATCTTTTTTTATGACTTAATTTGTTCGGTAAGTTACAGCAAGTTGTTTAATATTCGAATTTAAAAGTCAAGAATTCGTAAGATTTGAGCATATAATCTAGATGACGGATTCTGTGTTAAACATTTTAATCGATGGAGCACACAAGAAAGTTGCTTCAGTGCACAACTTAAGCGACTAGATGTACTCGCATGAGTCACTTGCATCCTAAAAACAGACAAATAAGTAAAGATTTCGACTTTTAACAAGGCGTCTAGTGGTTATGGCAGAGATTTCTGTTTGTATTGTTACAGAAAAAAAGTAACTTCAACTTTTGATTTTGGGCGTTGTCTCAGGTCAATGTCTGATCGTGTTTACACTTCTAACTTATCGATAAATATAAGCTGCACGATAACAGTTCATTGTATTTTAAAAATATATTTTTATGATTATCACAAACTTACGTGTATTAATAAACGTCTTTACCATTTTTGATTTAGAAATCGTATTCTTCTCGTCAAACCAAGCAAAGATGTTGCCATTCTCAAACAGTGGTCCTTTAATAGCCATTAATGATATTGCATGACCATCAAGCACGTAATCCCATACATTGAACATGGTGAACCTGTCTGCTTTGATTTCTTATAAAGAAGAAACAAAAAAGACCTTAAATTTGTTTTTCTCAAATCTTATTGTAATTGGTCGTCAATCATGAGGATAGAATTGTTATATAAGGAAAGGAAAAACACAAACTTCAGACATTTAGAACAGTTTTACTATTATAGTGCCAACCACAGTTAATATTTTTAGCCTCTAATATATAAAGCATTCAGCGACACAAAGTACTGGCCAATATCTAATACTTTTAATAGTGTTAACTCATCAGATCTAAGACTAGTGCCACTGGTGCATATCACTGAGCTAAATAAATGGAGAGCGCATTAGGTTCTGAAATCGACGCCGGAAGCTGAGTGTGGCGGCCATCTTGCTGTGACCATCTTAGGTGAGTGATCTATAGAAATATTGTCTATTTTTAACAGTTTTAGTCGTTTTATCACACGTAAGAGAATCAAATTAATATTCCAAATAAAAGCATGTCTTTATAGCAATGTTTGGGTCCTCTTTTGGCAAAACTTATGTCGATCGTAAGGGAAATTCGCAATATTATTGTGTCAATGCTTCAGTCGTGAACTGCCAGGACAACTTCCAAGCTGGATTTTCATGTGTACATCGACGAATTATGCTCTATCTTAAGTAGGAGAAAGAATGAAATTCGTCATGAGAACTCCTAACGGCTACGATGAGAGGACATTCTAGGTCGAAGTATTTCACATTGTCTTTCAGTTTCATCATTTTGGCTTTGTTAAACAATTATTTGTTCCAAATGAAAGAAAAATATCTGGTGTGTGTTATTTGTTATATTTATACTGAAAGGGGAATGCTTTTTGTTAAGACAATGTTTAGACAGTTAATGATGTGTTTGTTTCAATATTGCATCTCTCACTCTTGAACTCGGCAATTTCACTTTTTCTTTAATGTCTTCATTTACTTTGTCATTTATGACGAAAAGAAAAATAAATTACGGCTTTAATTTACTGTTCTTTGCAAAACTGAATTTTTTGACATTAACCCTGATGTCAGTTGGTATGATTAATAATTTTATTGGAGTTTTATTAGTCAATGGCAAAGTGCATATATTGTTGGCAGATTGTAATTGTTAATTTGAAAGTAACAAAGAATCTGTACAACAAAATGCATATTCTTATATTTCAGAGCCTATGGACATGTTAGATGTGTGAAAGGAACAATAATGCTAACAATAAACAGCATCTCAATAGACTTATTGGATTTATATATAATTTCTTCTAAACAAGCTTTAAACAACAATTTGCTATACTGTTGATGGTTTATTAAATTGTTTGGATGGTATTAAGGATATGGTTATGTTTCTGTAAGAAATAAAGTATACAAAACAATTCAGATTTATTATGCCCTGCGCATTGAAAATTAAAGATGTCTTGAAGTTAAATTGCAATGTTAGAGATTACAGTTTTTATGATGCATTAAAACAGTTGAGGATTAAAATTAAATATAGTAAATCATCTGTTTGCATCGGATAACTGTAATAGATCAACTATTGAACTAATCTTGTCCCTGTGTGCACAATTTTATTCTTACTTGAACTGGATTATTTTACCCATTAGTTCATATTATTGGAAGTTAGCAGGTCAATCATAACAAATTATCTATCAGTGTGTGATCACCATCCCATTAGACTACTATCACTGCGAAGACTTAACAAGAAAGTTCATTTGCAGTTTTAAAAAAATGTAAATTCAGACAAAAATATGCTTGTTAAGTATGCAGCTCTCATTTGCAGTAGTTTCAATTGATAACAAAGAGACGAAAAAGTTAATTATAAAACCTTAGCTATAATGCGCATTTCATATAGATAAAAATAATAAGAAAATGAGATAAATTAATGGGAGCGTGCTACAAACTAAATATTGTGTTGAATCTAAGAACTTGAACATTGAGATAAAGGTTAGTTTAATTAATTTATCACGTTAATTTATCTCATTTCCTTATTATTGTTATAATATATCCATATTTATATATTCATGTCATTGTATCATATTACTTTTATATAAACTTTGTATTATTTATGTAATTAGTCACTTATACTGAAGATGACATCATGAGATGCCAAAACTTGTCTTTTCTTAAAAAACTGTCGTCTATATGAAATGCGCATTAGCAATATTGCTACTATGAAATTATAGAAATAGTATTTGGTTTGATTTGGTCATTCATTCCAAGATAAAAGGAGAAAAACTGTTGAAAATAGCCCATATTACTACATATCTCTCATCAAATGTGATCACAGTAAGATGGCCGCCACACTTGACTTCCGGCTTCAATTTTTGTATGTATAATATATAATAGATGCGCTCTCCATCTATTTAGCTCAGTGGTGCATGTGCATATAAAATATTTCATTTTCATATATCGAATATGAAATTGTAGTTTATTTTCGCTTTATTGAGCTTCTCAATTCTACTAGTAGTGTTTCAGCATTTGCATTATTAGATTTGGGGGCCCATTACATGGGCGAGTTGTCCCGGCTAGGCGAGTTGATCCGCTTTGCCGAGTTAACTCGCTTTGTATAATTGTTATATATTAGTTTGATAGTGTGATTACATAGCAAGCAAGTTGTCCTGCTTTGCCGGGGACTTGGCTGTTGCTTAACAAGTAACTCACTAAGGCGGGATGAAAATTCCCATGTACTCGCAATGTGCCGATTTGGCTCGGCAAGGCTTGCCAAGAAATTTGATTCGCGCGTTCGTTTATTGGTCAGTTTAAACTAACACAGACGTTAGAGCAATGTATACTTGTTTGTTTGTTCAAACAGCAACTACTAGCTCCGAAAATTCACAGGAAAAATTGTTACCTAGAAGTTTGAATGCGATACCAAAATAATATAAGATTTACTAGGCGTGTTATCAAAATATGAGATTCATGTCAAGTTTTATAACTCAGTTTAAAGCGGATAATCAATAGCTGTGAAGCATTACGTTTGGTTATGGCTCACAAGTATCGAATTAATACATTTGTTCCTGCAAAGTCAACAAAACAGGAATTCATAGGCATTCATGTATTTTTACAATTCATAAACGAAAAAAAGTACGCAACTAATTTATTCGTGACAAAATTTGCTCTCTTGTACGGGTCAACACCCTTCATGTAATTGCAATTTTAACTTGACATTTACTTATCATTTGACTCTGAAGATGACTACTGCTAAGGTTGTCGAATCGTCAGTCAACAACAACAAAACAGTCCTTCTCAGGATTATACCAACCTAGACGATCGACATTTACAAACATGTAATTTTTAACTAGTCTCGGCTAGGCGAGTTGACCGTTTAAGCGGGACAACTCGACTCATGTAATCGGCCGCTAAATGTGAAGTATAAAACGTTTTTTCGCCTTTGAAAACGTAGTTTAAATAAATGTTTATAAGCAGAAGTCGATGTACTTTAAAACTATTTAGCGAAATTTTACCGTCAAAATTTCTGAATAAATGTTATGTCGGCTTTTGAAAAAAACGCCTTGTAGTCCTACTATGTCACAGAAGATTCCAAAGACACCGATTCAAAAAAGCACCGATTAAGGCACCTGTCTCGAGTCCTTTTCTGCGCGAAATTTACTGAAACGTCACTATAACCATTGCTTTTTGGGATACTTTACAGTAAATTTTCGCAGATGACCTGTGCCTTACGTACAGATTGCTGGCACTATTACTGGTGGCATCGGTCGTAAAGAAGGTTTTATATGAAGTATTGGAAATTATACATTCGAACGATTTGTAAACATTCAACGTTTTGGTGGTATTGCGAAGTTTCAATCATTGTGGATTATTGGCGGCATTTCTTTCTAAATAATAATGTGATACAAACCGTGAAAAAGCGACAAAAACACGGTTAAATATAATTACCGACAAAAACTGTCAAACACACGACAAAATTGTTATAAACCGTCAAAAATTATCAAACTCCCTTCGCTTTTCATGGAGTTTTTCTTGAATTTCGAAATTTTATATCGCTAGCGTTTCGGCATACATTTATTGCAAAAATCCAATAATAATTGATGACTTCTAAAATCTTCTTTTGTTGTATTAGATGACAGTTGTAAATATGTATAAAATTAAATGATAAATCTAAACTAAACTACTGTTACTGTGTTTTCTGTCTTTTATTTACAGTTTTTGCTCTATCTGCCCCTATGCTTTTGGCCTGATATGAATAAAAAGTTCATGACAATCACTCAATGATTATCAAGACTAAATGAGGATATGATCTTCGCACTTTGTTGGACCATTTAAGCAATTGTCTCATGTACCTGAAAAATTCAGGTGACTAAACGTTGAGTCTTTCATAAGTCCAGTCGCCTATTCATAGTTAACTTCCGGTGTCTACAAACTGTCACATCAGTATAAAGTATACTGTTTTGGTTAATATTTTGGCAGAATTTGCTTTCAGAATCAGAAGCAATATTATTATTAGCAGAGTTTTACGACTTGGAAAACCTGTTAATTATTTTTATATATAATTTGACGGGTTTTGTTTGTTTTAGAGGTAATTAGTTTGGTCGGTCCAAAGCATCTTATTGTGGCAGAACATGGAGAAAATAAAATCGTGAGCTGTAATGGAAATAAGTTTTTAGCTTTTCGAATATTTTATTTAGTTAAGTTCGTAAGTGCAAATTCACACACACTCACACACACGTCTCATGTCGTTTATGAAAATAACTAGGTATAAAGAATGTATTTAACTGATTGTTTTGTTGAACAGGAGTTAGGACATTGCTAAACCGTTATTTTCTGCAAGGTGCTGAATGATTATTTACTTAACTGATAATGAAAGCTTAGAAAAATTTACGAGTTTTCCGTTGGAGACTACTGCCAAAATATTCTTGATTCCCCCCTCAAAACACAGGAAATTGCGTTTTTGAAAGTTAATATTTTCAATTTTCCGGAGAAGCATGGAGAAGCATGGAGAACCTAGTTGGCCTGCGTCTTGACCACTCAATGTGAACTGGCTAATGAAAAAGGGGAATGTGCCCTTGTTGCTACATGTTATTCCAAAGAAAAAAAACGACTACGAAAATATTGTTTACTGATTTGATTCAAACGAAGTTAATAATAGACATAATTGCATACATTCAGCCTTGTAAATTAAACTATTTATAGTCATGTTATACATTTTGCAAAATGTTTAATCAAGCAGGCAAACTTTATATTTGCTTTGATATTGGATGATTGTTCTACATTCATTTTGCTTAACTAATAGATTAAATCATCTATATAGATTTTGTGTAAACGGATGTTCTGGAATGCTGCACAAACTTTATAGTGTGTTTGCACGTGACCTCACAGCTTTTCTTTCCACCATTGTGGGGGAGTAAAGAACCAACATGGCGGCTGTATTATTGCCTAGGTACGACTTTTTAACTGGTTTTCTTTAGGAACTTTTAGTGGTTAGGATTGAGAACCTCGTTGTGGTGACCATTGGGCACTAGCATGTTTAGCATATTTTGTGAGATGAGTATTGAATAGTTTTATTATATATTTATCGCAATTTTCTTAATTTGTCCTTATCATTTGACTTTGTATAATTCACAACGTACTTGAGCACACGTAATATTCTTTAAAGCATTACGGATTAAAAATAACGTTAAATTCTAAAGCATTGAAACTTCGACACTATATATACCACGATTTTTTATGAACTTGGTCAATGAAAAGAAAGTCTATTCCATAAAAAAATATTTTGTCATTGTATCTTCTATGGAAACTGGAATCTTGTACGCCAGCCATAGCCACCAAATATTTCTTGCACAAACTCACATTTAAAATTACATTATATTGTGTGTTGTAATAATCAAAGTTTCCATTAAAATGTGTCAATGTATTGTAAATCTTGACTTAAATCAATCAACCAGTTACAAGTAATCAGGTATTGTCTTGGTAAATTTCTTCAAGCACATAAATATGTTCTCACATGATCATAATCAATGACACAAGTCCCAATGTCACAAGAACTATTTAAATGTGCATCCTAATTGTAGATATATTTCTCGTTTTGTCTACATCAACAGAACCAGATTGAACTCTTCCTATATGAGCCATATATTTTTTAGGAAAAGTTGCTCAACCCAAAAGTACGATAGATCTTCTTCTCAAATTTCACTCGTAAAGCAAACTGCTTTTGACACATTAAAATTCTCTTAACACATCTAGCCAGGTTAGTTGGGCTGTGATAACTTTCAGTAAGATTTCATCAATTATTGCATTCATTGTGCACATTTTATCTTTTGTCCATCTTGACATAGCTGAACAACACAACAGGTTCTTTGCTAACCGATTTTGCAATTGTATTTAATGATTACAACAGATGATCCTCTTCTTTCCCAGCCAGAGAAGGGCCAATTCTGCATGAAGTGTACATTTTCGCTTAAAGCACAATTGTTTTCGAGAACCTAGTGCGTAACGGCTTGAATCTCGGCAATGATCGTTTGCCCTCGCAAGTTGACACTTCACTTAACATACAATTGGATTACAATAACAAACTCTCCGTTTCTTTGTCATATTTTGGTATGATTTTGTGCATTTAACTAAAGGAAAGGTCCTTTTGCTCAAACACTGTTATTTGAATAAATTATAACGCAATAAATTGAGAAAAAACTTGATCGATATAATAGTAAATTGTATTACTGCACCGCTCTTCCCATATTGGCGAGCAGTCAAACTTGGTGACGTAGTGGTGACGTAGTTGCAAATAATCTATTGATAATTTGATATAAACGCCATGTCCAACAAACGCTACAGAATGTTGCACAAACTTACTGCTATGTTCTGCCTTTTATGCTCAGTTTTAAATCTCTTTTTTGTTAATGAAATTTATTGCAGTATAAAATTAAACAAATCACCGAGGAAAAAGACTTTAAATCAACAGTTACATTTGAGTTACAAAATTATTTATCATCAATGAATTGCTAAGCTGGTCAGCAAATAGGGACAATGACTACGAAGAATCGTGACATATACCACGCTTTAAATATTGCTTTGACCTACGATCCAATGCAATGGTGGTAGTCAAAGTATGAGGAAAATGGCACAAATCATCTCTGTGTATTTAAAAGCAACCATAATGTAATAAACATAACCACAACTATTTATTCTGATGTAATCATTATAGAATAATGCTCTCTTACCGATGTCACCATGCCAAGATATTTCTGCAATGTTTTGTCCTTGTAAGAAATTGTGAACAATAGAAACGAGTGAGCCATCCAGATAAACAATCCAGAGATCAGTTTCTCTAGACCACGTGGTTGAAAGATGATGCCAAGATCTGTTTCCTTCTCTCCAAAACGGGGGAATTCTTGCTAGCTTAAAACTATTCAAAAATTACTAAATCTTAGTGTTTTTAAACACTATTTCAAATGAAAACATGGTTTTATTTTTATGGTTTATTTGCATTATGTTATAAAACGGTTTACGACATCATTAAGACATGAAAAAGATTTCAAAAAAGGACTTCTATGTCCATATTGAATTAACGAAAAGGAATTATTAAAGGAACATCAAAGATTCAAAATAAAAATTGCGTTCGCTATTTATATAATATTCGAAATGATTGGTTGTGACGTCATTTTCATAAAAACGAATGAAGCATAAGCGCATGAAAATAAAAACTAAAAATAGAAGAAACTAAAACTAGCGAATAAAAATAAAAACAAATGCTTACTTTTCTTTTATTCTAAAGACCAAAGTTTGATTTTCAATGTACAAGGCGAAAATTTCTACTGCGTTCGCCAACTTTATTTGGAAGTTTTTGCCAGATATTACCCATAGTGTTATTGTAATAGCATTTAATCGACGCTCATGATTAGACGACCTTGTGGAATAATTTGTTTTCAAAGACGTTAAAGCCACAGTGTTGTACATTTTACCTATTAAAAATGCAAATTAAAACATTGATCAGCATAGAATGCCCAAAGCTCACATTTCTGTAACTCGACAATTGAAACAAAACAGTTCATGGTGGAATTTCACCTTTGCATGAACTTCAACTCCAGTATTACTGGTCACTTCACAAACTTTTACATCAATAAATTGATATTATCCGAAAACTTTTTCACTTAAAGGCTTCTCTTCTCACAACCTTAATACACATATTTCTTGTTTACTAAAAAATGCTTCTTATCCAAACTTCAATGTTTACAATTTATCATAGAAAACCATGTGTATTGCCTTTCTATTTACTGTTTCACATTCTCCTCAGATTTCATCCAAAATCAATCAACTTTTGAAGTGGGCTTATATTCATCTCATTATTTGATTTTTTATCTTTCACTGCAATTCTTTCTTCTGTTTTTTTAACATTGAGCTCTTTTCTGATATCTGCTGTTGTATATTTATTTAAATGGAACCACGCATGATCTACACACCAGAACATCAGAGCATTGACAGTCTCAACCTTCGCACAAAAAAAGCTTTATTGAATTAACTACAGCTTGTGACTACCACAAATCACCCCCCTCATTTTTACAACTTTGAAATTCTGTTACACTCTTTTAAGACATAGCTACTATTCATCCAACAAAGTCTTTGCATCTCAGTTGCATATTTTAAAATTTAATCTAATTCCATTCTAAGCCTACTTATCACTAAAAACACAAAATTTCTTCACACCCTATAAAGTTTTCATAATCAGTATTTATGTATTCAAACTTTCTATGTCATTTACTTAAGTATGATAAATGGTTAAGTTAGCAACAAAGCATTACTATCAGTTGAAAAACTTCATCCATTACAACATTAAAATTTTGATCTGGAAAATTTGCTCTAAGAAATTTCAAACTAAATTTTTGAAAATCAAAAGCCAACTTTTTTTTCATTATTGATAATTTTTCTTACAAATCTTCGTGGTGTACTTACTGTTTCGTAATGATGAACACGATGATGATACTTTAGAAACATTACCACTGAAAAAAAACTGAAAGTTAAATCCATTTATAACCGAGCCATTTTCATTTCCTCTCATCGTACAACTCTCCGCAAATGACATCACTGTAAACAATGTATTGCGTGTTATGTTGCTAATCCAAAAATTTAGAAAACTAATGTTGCCAACGAAAGACATTTTGGGGTCAAACACTGCATTGTCACACATGAGTTTTTGACCAATAGCAAAAACACCTCCACCACGTAGAATAGGCAGAGATACGTTTTCCAAAGCGTCGTGAAAAATTTTAATTCCATTTAAGTAAACGCTTCTATTCCCTCCAAAAAGTATTATAAGGACATGATGCCAAAAACCATCGCTGATTGGTGGAATTGCAAGTTTTCTGTGTGGAAAGAAGATATATTGTTCGCTTTTGTTTGGCAAGTTTTTTATAAAGCAATCAATGAGTTAAATACATAAAATATTAAAGCTCACAAATTTTCACAGGAATTCATGGTAATAATCATCCACTCCCTTTCAAAACCAAGAAAAAATTCTTCACGATTATCTTTTACAGCATAAGACAACACCGCCATTGGCTTTGTAATGTTTGTGTTTATCCAAAACATTAGTGTCATGTTTGATACATTAGCTATTTCGGTTTCCACTAGAATAACGTTCTCTATATGAGCTCGAGGAAAGTAAAAATCGTATGCTTTTCCTGAAACTTAAGAAAAATACATAGAGCGTTGAAAATAAGTGAGTTTATTAATGCTTCATAATTAAAAAATATCAAAACTAACAGTTTTTAGGTTCACAGCTTTCATTGTACTTCTAAAAAAGAAAGAAATACTAGAGGAAACAAACATCAAGCAATATTTACAGTTAATTTACTTCATTTCAATAAACTGCAAGCAATCCTTTGATTCATGTTCTATTATGCTGCAGTCTTTAATAAGTGTTATAAAATGTTACGAGGCCTAATACTTATTTTATTCTAAATGGCTTGGTCTATACAAAAACATTTTGGCGCGACATTTCTTAACAAAGAACTCGGGGTTGGTCAGTAACGGCTTATTATTGTTTGGCAAGCGTCACTTCCCGCAAAATGGAACGCTTTTATTGACTCAGAAACATTTTTGCCAGTCCTTTATTATCCGTAATGGACCACGGTTCAAAACGCGTATTTTTACAGTCAAATGTAAACAAACTTTATAAGGCAAACAGAAAAACTCTGAAAATGAAATGAAAAAACCACTTATGAACGTGAGTTAATGGAAAAACACTTGAAAAACAGTTTAACTGTCCAGACTGTACAATTTAAAACAATTTGTTTTTTACTGACGAAAACTAGAAAAGTAAAAGCCACGCGCAGGAAACAGCAGTGACAAGAAAGGAAGCAAGCTTCGTTTAAGGTCAAAAAATGCCATATAATAAACCTTTTATTGACCTCGCTCGCTTGGTAATATTGAGAAATATTGGACCTTTGTATTATTACAAACCTTGCCCTACGTGGGTTCGATCTGTACAAAAAACATCTGTCTGATATTTCCCCGTAGAGTCCTCACGCTCAGTTAATAAGGGCTTTTTATTCCACGAGTATAATCATTTGATTATTGAAAGTTTAAACTTGTCATTCCATATAGTTCAAAAATAAGTGTAATAAGACGTTATGGAGACATAACTTGATTTTAAAGATTTTCTTACCGTAACAGGTTCATTGAAAAAAACGTAATTATAAAATTGACTTTTTATTAAACTTTTTCCATGTAAGTCACTATGAACACCATGCAACATTTCGCACTGACTCTTATGGCTTTGGCTGAACTTTTTCCTGAAGTTGATGGACCGACAACATGGCTCCTTCACGCATTTTACAATACATTCAATTTCCGTTTGTACAAACATTTTCCGAAAAGGAATAGCATTCAATCTCTGATCTTGAAAAAAATTTGTATAGCGTCAATATAATGATCATATAAGATTGATTGAATTATGGCGATTGAGGTTTTGAACAATGTTAAATAAAAGAAAGTAGTGTAATAAATCAATGGGGCAAACAAGAAAATTATATTTTATCAAGAAAAATATTTTCTGAGTTACAGGGGAAGGAATAATGGATTGCAAGTAGGTCAAAATACATTTATGCTTTGTAAATAATATATATTATTTTGATCACTTTTTTTAGCAAAAATGACAAACGTAGGCATTTTATTTTAAAGAGTCACGATAGCAAAAATTGTGTCGCAAATACTGAGGATTTTGTCAAACTAAAAAATCTCCTACGGCAAATTTGAATTCGTATAAGAGGACAGTTCAAGAGATAACGACGTAAGTGAGGCATCTGCCGTTAAATTTTTGCTTTTGCCATTAAACGTTTTGATTGGATACTTCGACGCATAATCATACCACTTTGAGAATGAACCGTAACTAAAGCACTAACAATAAATCGAGGAAAAGCTCTCGTTGCTTACGATTGATAATAAAATCTTTAAATTATAAAATTAAAATTTCAGCAAGATCTGACTCAGAAATTAGGCTTTACAAGTAGTATATGAACTATTTATTGCCCTTCTACAGTAACTGAATTTCGACTTTTCCTGTGTGATAAAAAAATGACAAGACACTGACGTTACAAGACTTTGTAGTTATAACTTTAGTGATTGCATATAAGTACAAATAAATTAGGCAGTTTTGTGTTTTGACACGAACATATCACTTACCCTGGTAAGAGGAGTTGAAGCAAAAGTTTAACAATTTATCTTCAGCAAAAATTGTTAGCCAGAAAAATGTCAAATTCAACAAAATCTCATAATACTTAAGAAGCAACATTTTGTTACAGTATAATATAAACATATATTGTTTAAGAATAAGAGTTTCTCCGAATTTTATAAATAATATTATTGAGCTTTCGAATCGTTGCTTTGAGCGTTCATCAGAATGAGGAAATTATCTATTTACACTTGCTTTTAACTTTTAGACGCTTAGAGCGTCTAATTTGATTAGCAGGTGGATTAATGTGATTGGATGGGGTGAAATGCGTTGCCATGGGTTTTGGTGTATTGTGAATATGAAATTATTTATAAAATACAGAGAAACTTTTATTTTTAAACAATATCCAATATCATGCCTGGATTAACAATCTTTAAACATATATATATATATATGCCTTGAAGAAAGACTACTTATCCTAAAAGGACGTAAAAACAACATTTTAAATAAACGTGCCGATATCTTTAGTGCATGTCGTCATGTAACCTAACACCTTTTAATCAATGTATATAGTTAGCGGATAGTAAATAATCTGTCAGTTGCCTAAAGCGCGGGCCACACTATCGTCGAAATGCAACGAATTTCGTGACGAGTCGCTCGTCAACGAGAAAATATGACGATATGGACGAATTCGTCGCCGTTGAGCATGCACACCGAAATCGTCAACGAGTGACGAGTAATTGTTGCATATCTACTCTGATTGGACAAAAAAAATCACATGACTAATGTTTGCTTTCACTGTGCTGTGGCAAAATGGCGGATTGGCAAAATATTAATTGAGCTAGTGAGAGAGGCGATGTTTGTGGGACAAATTTCATCCTGACTATAAAGATACACGCAATATAAAGAAAAATAATTGGAAGGATGCTGCTCGGGAACTGAAAGTTGCGACCAATAGAGCTTGACGAAGCTCTTGCAATAACGTGTCATACAAGCCCTTCTCTTCTTGCCTTTTATTTATGGGATGTACCCAGAACCTTCTTTTGTATGTACGTCGTTTTGCAGAAATTAGAAGCAGTAGAATTTTCTCTTCAATAATAGAAGTTTCTTTTGCGCTGATAATCGTCCATGCTTGTACGGAAAATCGTTACAATGTGGCACATGTACTCGTCACGACGGCTCGTTGACGAGCGACTCGTCACGAAATTCGTTGCATTTCGACGATAGTGTGGCCCGCGCTTTAAGATCACACTACGGCGTGAAACTCCAAGTAGCGACAGCAAAAACTTGTCGATTTTATTTCATTATATATATATATATATATAATGAAATAAAATCGACATATATATATATATATATGCACAAAGAAAACCCACAAAATCAATAAGGAGCTATACAAAATTTTCATGTGTGTAATAGCAAATTGCAATCAAAATTTACTTTATTCTTATTAGCATGCAGGTACATTTTATGCCATTTTAAGGTTTTCATCAATACTAGCCAATGAAAATTCGTCCCGTTATTGGCCACCGTTTGTTATTATCCTAAGACACATAAGTCAAAACCCACCTGCTTTCTTATAACAAGGGAAATCGTTGATGAGAATTTCTTCTAAGAAATGAAAAAGACATATCTTTATGTGTGGATGTTTCATAGATATTTTTCTTTTCTCGAAACGCCCAATTAATGTTTGTCTCAACCAAGAAAGGTAACGAATTTTAACACTTAGTAATCTTGTTTAATTTTATGCGACATGTTATATATGCGTCAGATATTTAAGATTACTGTACATTTAGAATTATTAATAAAACTTTGAAAATACCGACAAAATCGACACGCTTTTAGCAACTATCTCTTCCATGCAATAACTTCATTTGGTTTTATCATATTATCTATGCATTTCAACTGATATTTCCTGCAGTCTAATTGGTTGCAGGTACGGGAAGCTTTTAACAATATCTTGACCGTGGTCCATAAGTGATATACGTACGATAATAACCTTTCCTCCCGTCTTTAATTATAAGATAATGATACATGAGTTAGGAACTCTGGCTGCTTAACAATATATCTTTATTATAAATTACTTGTTTTATTAAGATTGGTCAATATAGCATTTGACATGTTCGCTTCAAAATTTAAACATTTTAGGATTGCACAACCACGAAATATAAATAGACAAGGCATTGGTTGAGGTAAGTACCACCTGCAGATGGAGAAAATGAAATACATATTTCAAGTAGGTATTGGCTCTAGTTTATAAAATCTTCTTGGTAGAAGAGATCTGCATGTGCGTTTGTAGCAGGGTTGGGCAATTTCCTTTTTGCAGTTGCGCAATGATTAAGCTAATAAATCTACTATAGTAAATACTTTTTTCATTAATCTCTTCCTAAATATGTGTTAACTAAATTTTTTTCACAATGCCCTTAAAAACGACATTCAAAAAACTTTTACTCAAAACAACAAAGTTATATAGACAATGGTAATTATACCCATTCACTCATTATTATTAATGTGGTTTACCTTTATAAATGCAAAGTGTTTTTAATTTAAATGTTAAACAAAAAGATTTATCTTTTCTTAACATCATTTTCTTCATCTCTCAAAAATAAATTTTTTGTTTCATGGCATACTGGAACAAGAAGTATTTGTATAATATTGTCTGCAAATTCTTTCAAACGCCATATTTGTTTTTACAGCGGTGCCGTCAACCCATGCTTTGAAACGTCAACAGAATTTTGGAATTAATTCTTAATTTTTTAACAAGCGTCTTTTGGTTTTTTTCAGAAAATGATAAAGATAATCATTGTCGATGAATGCTTGAAAACTCTGCACGAGACATTCTTTAATACTGAAATACATGTAGACATCACCGAACCTCGCGCTTTTTCTATTTTACCCATTTCCAAAATCAATAAAACTTTGGTGTTTCTTCTTGATATATTTTCCAATCAAAAAACTATTATCCAATATCTCCAGATGACAGCCTAAGAATAAAATTCTGATTTAGAGATGCTAATCTTCGTGTCAGCCTTTTCGTGGTTTACCAACCAAGTTATTTTCAGCCCAACATGTCTTTTCATCATACATTAGTATTTCCATCACACTTTTAGCAATTCCCTTACAACCACTTTCTTTATAAACATTATCAGACTCGTTTTAAACATGCCATTTTTCAAAATTGCAGTGAATTTTCCAGATATCTTTGATTTAGGTCATCAAATGTTATTTACCTTAAAAAATCCTTAGCTTCATTGCTTGAATGAAAAAACAGCGAGAATAAAACAAGCCTCAAGTTAATGATAAAGGAAATGATTGTAAGGGACCGCATAAATGTTATAAAAATACCTTTGAGTGAACAAATGTTCATTTCCACAAAAAATGAGTTGATCAAACTTACATCTTATTGCACATTGCATAGTTATTGAAAAATATTGCACACCAGTGTCAGAAGATCTCATTTAAGCGTTTTGATTTGTCTAAGTACTGTTATGAAACTGTTCCAAGACGCTGATTTTATCAGGATAAGTTTGAATTTTACCAACTAAGGTGAAAAACTATTGCTGAAGTTGTCAAAGCTGCGTCATGCTTGATGGCTCATACCTGATGATGCCATCATTATTTATCATCAGTAGGCCTTTGTATACTAACTTGTTCATCCTGCTTTATTTGAAGAACTATTTAGGTTTCATTGAAACATAATTTAGTTTTTGTTAAAAAAAATTAACTTTGGCTGAAAAACAAAAACTGTTGCTACTTGCGTCGCTGGCTGTAATGCAGCAATGCAAATATATCACCTACTTTGTATGTTTACCGAAAAAGTATTTGTGCCAAGTTTATCAAACAAATCGAAAATAATTCTATACATTAATAATATGCCTATATTATTAATGTATAGAATTGTACATGAATGTATAGGAAACGAAAGACTCCCTCTAAAATTAAACAAAACGACAGCTCCAGCTATAAAGTTGCGTTCGAAATTCTAGTACTGTAAACTTTATCATTTCAACTTTGTATCAAAATTGCTATCCTGCATTAAGATATTAAAAAATAATGAAGGCAAATCTGCATGTCGTGTCGATAAGTGAACTTTTTTAATTAAAAATTCAACATATGATTCTGTTGTGTCACAGTGGCATAGCAAACTAGAGTATTTTGGAGGAGGCTCCGAAAAGTGCAGATTTGTAACGAGTATAAGATTTTGTTGTTTCCATCAGAATGAGGAAATTATCTATTTACACTTGCTTTTAGCTTGTAGACGTTTAGAGCGTCTAATGGGATTAGCGGGTGGATTAATGTGATTGGATGGGGTGAAATGCGTTGCCATGGGTTTTGGTGTATTGTGGATATGGTTGGTGTTGATATTATTACAGAGCGTGTTGTTCTAGTCTTGGTGTTGTTTGTAGTTCTTTTGTCTTTCTTCTTTAGTTGTGAATATATGATGGTATGTCGATATATCTGTTTATTGTTTCGTTGTCTTCACTGTACCAAGCTTCTTTGAATTTGCGTGAGTGTTTTGTTTGTGCGCGTCCAAGTGCTTTAGTTTCTGTCCAGTCGAATGTGTGATTATTTGCGTGGATATGTTCTGCCGGTAGTAAGTTTGGGTCTCGTCGTTTTATGGCATTTACGTGTTCTGTGAGTCTTGTTTCGATTTTCTTTGATGTTTGTCCTAAGTATTGTTTTGAGCAATCTTTGCATAGTATCAAGTAGATCACGTCAGTTGTATCATGAACTGTTGTTTTTTCTTTATGTTTGGTGAAACATGATTTGAGTTTTTGTGTAGGTTTGTGGGCGACGTTAATATTGAACTGTCGAAAAAGTCTGGCAGTCATTTCTGATGTTCCGTTTATGTATGGCAATGTGATGATTTTTACTGTTTCGTCGTGTTTCTTGTTACTTTTGTCGGTTTGTGTTTTGTTTTGTATTCTGTTTATAGTTTTGTTTATAAACTTTCTAAGGCAATTGTTTTTTATAAATGTGGAGTATAAGTAGTTACGTTTTGTTTTCTTGGCTTCTTCGGTGTTACAATGAGTGTTTATCCTGTTAAAAAGTGTTCGAATGCAGCTTATTGTGTGTTTTGTTGGTGATTGCTGTTGAAGTTGAGTATTTGTTCTGTGTAAGTAGTTTTGCGGTATGCTTGTGTGTTTAGTGTACCGTCATCTGTTCTGGTCAGTAGGATGTCGAGGAAAGTAAGTTGTTTGTCGTGCTCTTCGTCTTTAGTAAAGGTTATATTCTTTGTGGTATTGTTTATGGTGTGTAGGATTTGTTCAGTTTTGTCTTTCTTGATAATAGCAAAGACGTCGTCAACACATCTTTCCATAGTCAGATTTTTGTGTTGTTTGTGACTGATTATGTTTCGAGGTGTTGCATGACGGCGTCAGCGAGGAAGGTGGATGTAGTATGAGTTTTGGAACGAGAATTCAGGGGAAAGGCAAAGGCTTAGTAAGTCTATCATGTCATTTTTGTTTAGTTGTGTTGTAGCTTGCCAAGATTTGTCGTTTGTTAGTAGTTCGTTTGTAATTTGTTTGGCTATGTCTAGTGGCATGGATGTAAAGGGTGATGTAAAGTCGTAGGATATCAGGGTTTTGCCTAGTTTAATGTTGTCAATGTTGACGAGGAAGGTGGTGGAATTTTTGATGGTGTGAGGTGAATTTTTGACTAACTGATAGAGAATGTTAGAAAGATATTTTGATACTTCAAACGTAAGTGATCATGGAAGAGATACATAAGGTCAAAGTGGGTTGTTTTTTTTGTGGATTTTTGGTAGTCCGTAGAATTTGGCGGTGGATGCGTCATTTGCTCGGATTCTTCTGTTTCGTTTTCGGTTAGTTTCTTTTTATCTTTAAGTTGTTTCATTTTCTGATCGATGCAGTTGGTGGTTGTTTTGCTGGGGTCTGCGTGGAGGGGTTCGTAGGTGGTGGTGTTTTGTAGAATGATCTTGGCTTTGTCGATGTAATCTGATTTGTCCATGATAGCAACATCCACTTATAGAACTAAGCGACACCACTACGGTGGTGTCAAAAAACCGTCCCATAGTCCTTTGCACAGGACCAATGAAATGAATATCCCAATAAATTAATGACATTTTCTGAATATGATATTCAGTAAAGTATGACTAGCGCTTGATTTGTCTTTTTTTGCAATGAGTACAATTGCATTATGAAGCGTCGTGGAAATCCTAAGCATAAAACGACATGGGAGGACTTCGAAAGACGAGTCACTCTGAAACAATCTGGGGGAGAAAAAAATACAAAGCAATCGTCTGGAAATGCCCCACGCGACATCTTGGTACAACGCATGTCTTCAACAGCTTCGGGAAGACTAAAAATTCCATTTGAATTAGGCGATCGTGCCAGTACCAAGGTCGGGCAACAAACGAAGAAACAAATAATATCGACGCATGTCATATCTCCAAGCTCAAAATGTCGTTACAACGCTTACTATTTACCCAAAGTCATTGTCAATACGCGATTTAATGACAGCTGGAAAATTAGTTCAGCCTCCAAAAACAGCAATTTTACGTTTGGAATCCTTTGATGTTCCAACATGTTCGTAATCAACAAACAGTGCTTCAATATCGATGGAAATAGACAAAAATAAATTTGCAAGTGGAGGATTATGCGATACATTCCAAGCAAAATACAGTGATATCTTATCTTCTTTTAAAGGCGATTGGGTAGTGAAAATGTATCAGGAAAGCTCCATTATATGTTAGAAATAGAAAACAATCGTTATAGTTTGGGTTGCGGGAAGTGGGTTTGGTTGCTGTCAACCATTAAAAATGAAAGGGGCATACTAAGAAAAGTGTCATTTTTCTTTCACGTGTAATCGAGATAACTGTTCGTAGCGAGTTGTGAAACATTACATTATATTCGTTAAACATACGAGTAAAACACGACAACAACATCGTCATTTTACCACCAGACAAAGTACGCGTGACTGTGGTCATGGACAGGAAAGATTACTTCAACAAAATGGACACCCTTGTTAACGACAGACAAACATACGAACAACTCAAACGAGACCCAACACCATCACTAGTACGCAAACTTAACAGCAAGATCTTCTCTATGCGAAAATCTAACATTATATATGAACGTATTTACTATCGACTCAGATGCTCAGTACAACGACCACCCAGACTATACGGACTATCAAAACTTCACAAACCACAAATACCCATGTGACCAATTGTATCATTCTGTGGTTCGCCATTTTACGATATTTTATGATGAAATCATTTATAATGTAATTATAGTTGAAGACTCGTTTACAAAATTATGTGAAAAACATACTGTCACCCATGGACCATACAGGGTGCATAAAGAAGAACTGATCAGATAGAAAAACGTCGCTAAAATCATCAGCGCGCAGGATCTGCAAGAATCTTTGATAGAATAGTTGGACTTCTAATGATTCATATGATAGTAAAAGTTTAACAACATCTAAATGTTTTGAGCAGCACGCAGGCAAAATTTGTATAAATGTGATGAAGACGCAGTGATATGAATAAATTATCGAAAATCCTCAGTGATTTGAATATATTGACCGGGGTAATTTGAGATGCAAGGTTTTCGGTGGAGCTGAAAGGCTCCACCGGCTCCACCGGACTCAGAACCCCCTTTCCTATACTATTTGTATTAAGTTTCATATATTTATATTATTTACATGTCTAGGACACTCTTTATTTATTCAACTTTTGTATATCAAACATTAAAACCTGGTATGTATATAGTCGTCTGAGTCGTTTCAGTCGCGCAAGGCAAACCGCTAATCCTTTTATAACGCAATCATAAATCTATATCGAAAACTGGAGCGCTAATTTTGCCGCCATCTTTGAAGCCAAAATCGAAGTTAGTTTTTCGGTGTTATGATAAGAAGTTCAAAGATATCATTTTGAAAAAAAACGACGATATCCATGAAATAGAGAATCGCAAATTCGCAAGACAGGTTATCAAATAACTGGAGGGGAAAAAGGGGACCTAGGAACTTTTGTCAAAAACATGGATACCAAAAAGAAATTTTGGACGAAAAACGTCTACTTAAAAAAATATTTTTATCATTCACTCTTTCCTGATTTCTAAACGCAGCTGTAAAACATCATAATATAAACTCTCAGTGAAAACAATCTCGATATATGCTTTAGCGTTATATGGAAAACACACATTAATACTAAAAAAACTTTTGTTACATATGTTTAATTAGCAATTTGACTTTAAAATAACACTAGACAGCAATCTTCAGTGGACCGTAAATGTCGTCAAGAATATGTTCGTATGAACACTCACTGACGAATTAACTGTTTGCAAACAGTTTTAAGAGAAAATGTTTAACAAGAGAAAATGTTGGCTTAGTCCTACAGCAACAGCATGTCAACTGATAGACAGTAAGATGTATTATGACTAAGTTTGTAGTCATTGCATTTTGAGTTAACTTTGCTAGGATTCTGGATGGTGTATGGTAACAGATGGATATTCAAGATATTACAAAAAGATTGAAAACTGGTCACCTCTACTCAGGACAAACTTCTGAAGAGCACTACATTGTTTTTTAAAGAAATTACCAGTTTTAAAATTATACTTTCGATTTTCTTCTTTGACAAATCATTGTTTCATTGCTGCATGGGAGTTAAAATGTTTAAATAGTACAGTTTCCATGAAGATATTTCACAAATTTTATAAATATAACAGTGAGTCTACGACAAAGACTGACAAAGACACACTGTGTCTTACCAACACCAATTTAAAGTCTTATTTCTAACGATAGAGTAACGTTTTCAAACCTCTTTCCATACTTGCAAAAATTTCGACATTTCACGGTTGTTTATTGAATAAAAACAACATTTTAAATAACTTAACGCATATGCCAACAATGAGTTAACCGTTAGTAACGTCAAGCTTTGAAACTATAAGAAACGTTTAATTTATGCACGCCGCACTGTCAATTGCAAATAGCTGTAACTTTTCTTACATATTTTCTGAATTATATTTTGAAAAGATCCTAAACAATTTCCTGGGCTTAAGCTTTATTTATAATCGATAGTGGCATATAGTTAATTTGTTTGATGCCAGATATGCACATCTCAAAAAGATTTGGCAGCTTCTTATGTCTGACAAGCTTTTAAGTAAAAAATATAAATGATTGGACCAACATCAATCTTATAACTTTGTAAGAAGAAAAAACGTTAACCACAGCAAGTTTACTAAAAATAATACGGCGAACAAAATAGTGAAAATACTAAACACTTGGAATGACAAGCAATGCTATCTTGCTCACCAGTCTCGTAAAACCATTATGTTTCCTTTTCTTGCACTTCTTCAGCATCTGCATACCAAACAATTTTTGAGATAGTTTAATTGATGAAAATTTAAAATGATTTCACGATTTGATCTTTTATCATCGCACGTATTAGTGTTGATTGAAATCAGGAGGGAAGAAAAACTTTTGAAAGTATGAACCGGTGCAAAACTACGCTGACATTTTCGTCTAAAATTGCCATATAAGGCATGGCCGCATCCATGTTTTTGACAGCATGTTGCGCTTAATAATCTATAATAATTTTGATGATGTTTCCCGTCAAGGTAATTACTATACAGGTCAGTGGTTCTGCCACAAGAACTCAGGTAAATAACAAAAAAAACGCGTCTTAGGAAGTTTCAAATGGGCTTGAAGCAGTATAGTATTGGAGTAAGCGTTCGACTTCATACGACAGCTCACTGTTGAGAAAAAATTTTCCACAACAAGATAACAAAGTGGGCTGCTTCGCCATTTTATCACCAATATTCAATAAACAATACAATGACAATAAAAGATAACAATTTAAAACTATATCAATTATCTCCACACTGCTGTGCTTCAACAAATAAACGACCTCTACCTTCTTGCCAGTGAAAATACGCAATAAATATTAACTATAACATGTTTTTTATCATAGGTGCACTTCCACCAAGGGGCTTTGTCGCCATGTTACATTCAAAGTTTCTTCTTATCTATTGTATTAAAATTATTATTCTAAACATACATTGTTTCGCCAAAAAAACAACTAAAATTATTCATCTTCACTGTTTAACGATGTTTTGCTGCTGGCCTTTTTCCTACAGTAAAATACCAAATATTCCATGATTTTAGGCAGAAGATCATTGCCTTAAATTTGACAACAAAAAGGTAAAATACGGCCAATCAAATTAGATTTGTTTCAGGAAAACACTTGATTAGCAAACGGTTGTTAAGGTATATAAATTCACGAACAGGATTTTCTGTGATATCCATATTCAACAAGCATGCGCAGTTGCAAGATTTATGATCAGTAGATTCTCCCCTGGGTACGTCCAAAAATGATACGGGAGAGTGGTCGTCTGAGGGGAACAAATCTCGCTCAACTTTAGGAGGAGAGAAATAATGGGGCCTCGTCCCATTAACAATAAAAGTTGCATTACATGTTTGCAGATGTATATCGTTAAATTAGTTAATTCCTGAAGACTGCTGGTGTTGATGTTGAATGACGTTTTGAGATTCTTAGGAGTGCAAAAAATATTTTATTTCGTACCACTTGATTATGAAGATAACTACAGCTAAGGTAGTCGAAACTTCAGTCAACATCAACACCAACAGTCCTTCACAGGACTTGGACGATTTACATCAACAAAAATGTAAAGATACTCGCGGGTTCAAACCATCACTTTAAAAGTAAAATTATATAGCTATTTATCAATATTTGCACTCACGAGAAATATTCAACGTAAAAGTACGAAACGTCATACGGCTCACGCATATATTTTTGTGTTTCTAGATACAAGTTAAAATAGTGCAATTTTGTCGTGAAATCAAAATACTATATTGATTGCTTCAACAAGTCATTAAATTAAATGCATTGCATAAGGACTAGACTCAGTATTTGCTGACTAACGTTGAGCAGGTATACCATACAAGTTACCTATAAATGTCTTCGTCGTCAGAATCGTTGATCATCGACATTGACGGGTTGTCTTTAAAAAACGAGTCTGGAAAAAATAAATGAAAATGCGTTTTTGACAAAAAAAACACTTCCCCAATTAAAATATAAGTGTAACGGTTACGTTATTACCATATAATGCGTTCCTCGCCGGAGAATACACAAATGACATGGTGTACAGATAAAAATTCAACAATCCGTAAAACAATAAAAATTCCGCTGGTGAAGATTGGTTAAGAAAAATACATGGTTTTACTAAGAGATTTGACCAGTCCAAACAATTAAACAAAAGTTGGCTAGTGTCTCATGAGTGGCTACGAGATTTGATCAGGTAAAATTGATCACGCTTTACCTCAACATTTATCTAGTCTTTACTCCTTAGACAACATTTCCATGAGAACTATATTCCCGTATCCACATTAAGTTCAATAATAACCTTCATTGAGGGTTTACTTACGGGAATGGGTGAGAGGGAACACATCACCGAAGTTGTAGACTATTTTCCTATGAACACCTTTCTAAGAACATGTTGATCACTACCTAGGTAATGCTGTATGGGTACAATCTTCCGTAGGTATGTTACGCGGGAGTACCTCTGGAAGATATCTTACCGCACACATGGCAAAAGGATATTATTTTTGTAGGTCGTCTCTAGTTCAGCAATGAAATTATTCTGCAAGGCTGTTCGTCCGTATCGCAGCAACACAAATACAAAACTAGGAGTTAAGAATATTGAAGGCAATAAGAAGACTTCAAAGTTATGGGCACCGAAAACATCTAAAAAGCTATTTCTTGTAGGCTATGCATGCAGGGTGTATAAAAAACGTTGACTCTTGAGAAAGATTCTTTAAAATAAGAAGCGTGGAAAGAGGAAAAACGTTATTTTTCTGTGTACATCAAGGTTCGCTGGCACAGCTGGCACTGAATTTCTTGAAAATACATGACTGTTTACAAGTGAAAGAACCGTTTTAAAGTCCATAAAAACGGGCTTGCGTACAAAACATAATCATTAAAAAACAATTCAATTATTCTGAGTCAAAATAAAGATAATGATGCACAATTTATCAAAATTTCGAGAAATTTGCCACAAGCGCTGGTCAACAAGAGATTTTTAAAACTTCGCACCAAGTTTTACTGCATTATTTTTAATTAACTTAATGCATTGTTGGAATTTTCATAAATGATAATGCGAAATTAGCAAGTTGGTTTCCAAAGGCACGAATATTATAGCTCATAAAACTTGATATGAAATGCAAAAACGAAAAAAAAATGCAAGTCTTAAAGATCTCGCGTTGCCCAGGTCGAGCACCAAATTTCTTCAAATTTTGATAGAATGTGCAACACAATCCAAGTTTTGACTCAGTTTGATGAAAATGTTTATTCCAATGATCACTTTTCGCGCAAAGTCGGTTTCGAAGGACATTTAATGTCAAAAAATCCCGCATTTTCAAAAAAATTCAATGCTAGCTGTACCAGAGAACGGTATAGTACTTATTTAAGAGAACTTTTTCAAGAGTCAATTGTTTTTTGACACACCGTATATATTAACTTTACAAACACAATGAAAAGTGATTATATAGGTACGATTTTATTTTGTGGAAATTCATTGACAATAACATTGTCAAGCATTAACGTGTTTTGAAATAAATTTGGTTTTTATAAAAAGAAAGTAAAAATTTTAAAATAACACGTTTCAAAGGTGTTTTAGAGGGCGCCATTTGTAAGAATTTTACACTCTTCTTGGTCGCAGCAAATCTCAGGGAATACTGCAAGGAATTTTATGAAGTGAAATATCTGACTATATTTCTTCGAACCTATTCCATTACCAATAAGTTACAACTACGTAATAATCAAAAACCACCCGTTTACAACGATAAAGGCCGTTCTCGCAAGTAATCAAAGTTCACTACCAAAATAAAGGGCAACTTGGGTAAATGCCCCAATATTTATACAATTGCAAATTGCTTTGATAACATTTAATAAAAACAATTAAAGAAGCACAAATTATAGATTGATTTTAACTTACGACACGAGAACGACGACAAGCATAAGTATTGTAAGAAACTTTAGTCGAATATCTAAATAGGAAAATACAGACAGACAATCAAACGCCATATTGAAATAGACAAACACAAATATAACTTATGATGACAAACAATTGTAAACAGTACATGTTTTAACTAAGTGAAATACGACCACGTCTAATCAACAAGGATAACAATTTCAAAAATGGGGAGCTATTTTATGCTTTTACTACAATCCACGAAACTAGAAATATTTGTCAACAACCTTAAAGTTCGATACTTGCACCAGGTTAATGATTATGCACTATGGTTATAAGCATGAAATGGTGCAGCCACTGATTATGTACCATGGTTAAAAGCAGGAAACTGTGTAGCCAGATAAAATGTCGTTGAAACACGAACAAAAACTTAAACAGAAAACGACTTTTACTAATGGAAGCACTCTTTATTAAATCACACCAACCAGAACTTAATAATGGGCTAAAGCCAGGAAAGAACTGTCACTATTTTATTTCACTGCCTCACAATCACCTAATCCCTCCCATCCAACTCACATTCCCGCACTTTCGTTGAAATGATGTAACGCACATATAAGAAGAGCGTCAGCTTGTAAATATAGTCTGATGATGAATTTGTACCAAATTCGAAATATTACTTTTCAAATAAAAATTTCTTGTTTCTTTCTCAAACATTGAGTTAAACATGAGTCTTCTATTCGGAGTATGCTTCATATTATATTACTTACCAAAGTATGGCAGTCCTTTAATCTCAGAGTACGCCTTAGCGACCAAATATATCAAATAGATGAGATATACGGAAGCAATGACGAAGAAAAATATTTTGAAGCCCTAAAAGACAAACACAATAAATTTAAAATAGCAATCTTCATTGATTTTTCAAATGATTTGTATTGTTGATCCAATCATATTGATCCTGGGAAAGTGCAAACTTTCAAATAATCACCGCCTTTTGACTCAAAAATGTTTCATACATTTAGAAGCTATTGTACATTTATTTCATTGCTACATTAACTGCTAATAAATTTTGATTCGTGCATGTATCATGAAATGAGGTGAACATCCATTGATATCATGGCAAATAAAACAGTTTAAATAAAACAAAATAATAATCTCTAGCCTAAATAATCTTGTTGTTCACGGTGTAATGTGGTTGTGCATTTCCTACTTTGCTTTTACGCATGGAGAGGGCACGCCAGGTCAGTGAGAGCAATTGAGTTACAAGTTTAACAAGACGCCAGCTCAGGCGTACAAACGTGATCTGGTGATAAAACAATTTCCATTTTGGACGATCTTATCAAAATATAAAAGATTGCTGCAAAACATGAGCTGAAGACGAGTGATGTTCACGGTTTTAATAACTCGAACAACATTCACAAGTATTTCAACTGGGTCATCTAATTTTTGCAACACATGAACAACTTTAAGTAGTTTTATTAAACACAAACAGGAGGGTAATGTTACAGATTACTGGCTGAAGTAAAAGACCTAAATCCTCCAAAATGTTACATTGCAATGTTAAATTATCTCAAGCAAGGAAGCTGAAAAATTTGTGGACAAAAAAGTCAAAATATCTTTGATACTTTTTGCTTTCATATACTAATTTAAAACTATATGTCGCACCCAGCATTATGTTGCAGCGTACCTTTTGCCTTATGTGAATATAGTTTGCGTCTTTCGTATTGTTTGTAAAAAATAACTTCATTATTTGCTGGAGTGAAACTGGAACGTTAAGTGAGAGGGGGTGGGGTGAATATACATATATTCAGCTCTGCTTGACTGATTTGGTTTGTTAGTGATTACGATTTCAAATATTGTTAATACGACAAACATACATTTCATTTATCCCCCGGATAAAGGTTCTTTCAAACTATCTAAATTTGTCAAATTCATTATACTTTTGATGGATGTTTTGTTGTTTGTTGTCCATAAATGGAGGAGATTAAACAAAAATTGACATAAATTTGAACGTCATCGAAGTTGAATTTTTTCAAACACTCTACGTATCTCCCAGTATGAATAACAAGTTTCGTTTAGAGACCCCAGATTAAGAGTGAGACGGGGGTTTGATGTGGTGAGCGTATGGTGAGGTGGAGTGCGGTGAGGTGAGGGCACAGTATAGGTATTATACAGTATGGTCACTCTCGTCGAAACCTTTCAACTTTTTCCTCGCGCATGTTGGCCGCCATGTTGGCAGTAAGGAAAGAGGAGTGAGACTGCTACGATTTGTACTACAGAAATGTGATTTTTAGAATTAAATGGAGATATTTTGCGTTTTTGTCCACTGATTGGATTTAGCTGAATAAAATAGCTGCTTTGAGGATCTATATTGCTTAGTTCTATTCTTAGTTCCATATTCTTCTCCAAGCACTTATGAAACTACGCAGTAATATCATCAAAGCACTTCTTGTACAGAGAAGTTCTTTAGACTAAGTTCAAACACACGCTTAAACATCAAGATTCAAAACCTGCGGTTCCATATCCTAACCCTAACCCTAACCCTAACCCTAACCTGCCATATCAATCATTAATTTCAAACTTCTAGTGGAGGCGAGGATGAGATTGGAAGCTAGTTTCAGAAATTAATTGAACGCAAAACTTTTACAAGATACTTTGCCAAATGATTGACAAGCGAAGTTTCTAACTTTGAATTCATTTGAATTTGGCGTTCGAAAAAAACGGCTTGCGATATTCATTGTTTATTTTTAAAGGAAATTCTGTAATTCATACCGTAAAGTTTGCTATGTCCAGTTTTGATTGATAAGCTGGATCACAGAGTTCGTTGTACCTACAGCAAAGAGTTCATGAAAAACATTAAACAAAGATCAAGAGAACTTCGACATTAATAAAGTTGCAATTTAATCATGGTGAGTATAAAAGCGTGACACCGCATAGCCTCGAAAGAGCCTCAAGCGGAGGATACTTACCGGGGGGGTGCAGTTTGAAAGAGCACCTAGTTTTGACTTGTTGTTTTGAACATTGGTTATATATCCAATAACTAACTCTTAACCCCCGCTTTCTAAAACGTATCTTTCAATGAGTTTGAAGTTGTGTAAGGTGGCGGTAGTGGACACAAATGTACATGAAACAAAAATGTAAATGTTGTGAAGCTCGTAAACGTTTTATATAAAAGGCGGTTATTTTGAGAACGTAGAAACATTTGAAGGGTCGGTTACTTTAGCGATTCTTTAAAGTAAGCGTTAAAAAGGCATCAATTTCAAGAGGAAGGTTACTTTTAGAGGGAGGTTACCTTGAGACTCTACGGTACATGCACACCTGGAAAAAACCATCATTATTAACAAGTCAATAACATCCTACTTCATAAGTTATTAAAATAGTAAAAAAGATTAACCGCAGGATTCTTAACGAGCAGTAAGGAACACAATAAAACGTCGTAAAATTTGCGCGAATATTATTCCTATAGTTTTCTTTTTCAAACAGTTTGAAAAATACAAATTTAATGTAAAAAATAAACATTTTATTGCAGATATATTTTGGACATACTATGCTATCATCATTGTGCTAGATAAGTGTAGCATGCAACATATGTATGATTTTTTATGAGCTTTTTACAGACAATAAAGATGAGTTTAGTGTCAGGAACGGATATTTGTCGAAATATTCGGAGGGGCATCAAAATGAGACAAATGATTAACTGTAATTTTGAACAGAAAGGATCAGAGGGTCATTTATTTCAAATGACTCAAGTCTATATGACATAAAAAACAACCGCCACCCAACAGCAACAGCCACCATTCCCCAGCATCTACCATTGTTTAACACATATGAAAAGAAAAAATTACGTAAAACGACACACCAACATTTTAACGTGGTGAAACTTGCTTATTAAATTCATGTTTAATTTTGTTGATGTGCAAGACATAAGAAAGCCGAAACATCTCTGCGCTAAAAATTGTTTAATAGAAAAGTACTACTCAGAACTAACTCTTATAACATAATTCATCCAATCACTCTACGATTGGACGAAGTTTGGACCAATGTAAAGACGTCACGTACCGTTGCCATGTAGTGATGGTAAAAGCCGAAATTCCTACTAGACCAACCAAAAGGATCTTGGGAAAATAGAATTCGATGAAAGTTCTCTCGTTTTGCCGGATGCCATGAAACGCACACAACCAGAACAGCAAGATGGCAGCGAGAAAGGTCGCGCGGAACATCGACTGAAACATTCCCGGGACCCATGATTTGACGAGGAAATGAAGAGGAAAGATTGGGTCTGAATCAAACACATGTTAGAATGAGAAGTGCACTCGCATTTTCAGCAAAGATTCTTCAAAATTTTCTTTTACAATATAATAGTTAAAGATGAATGAGAATGCCCGGATTCACAACTAATCCTGAAGCTCTTTACTCAATACAAAAAATAAAAAATTTTACAGTTTATACATGTAGCTACTAGACTTTTGAAACTCGCTTCACAAAAAAAATCGAAGTGAACTTTTAATGTTCAACGTCAATTGTTATTAAAATACTGGGAAGTCCCCAATCACAGTTTTCGGATCAGATATCCGCCATATTTCTAAACATTCTCAGGTCTCTTACAGCCAGTGGCGTACCAGAATCATACGCTGAAAACAATAGATTTCAAAGCAACTTAATGCGGCAGAACATGAATATATGAATACAAGCCCCACCCAATTAACGAGTCTGATACGCCACTGCTCACAGCACACATCAAAAAATATTTATAATTTTTACAAGCCCCTTGATAGAACTAAAGATTAATTTCAACAACTACTCTACCGTTAAACAGCAGCAGCAATGGCAGCAGTACGGATATCCACCTACACAAGAATAACACTACAGTTACCACCTCAATGTTGTCGCCACGAATATGACTTAGTTTAGACCATATTAGTTATTTTAAGATTAAATTATACTGGATAACATTATATTAGATTGGATTAGTTACACCAAGCTAAGATTTGTAGGGCGAGAATGGGATAGTGGTGCCTAACATAACTTCGGACTGAAAATGTGTTAGATCAGATTGAGGTAGCTCCGTACGCAACAAGCTCCCTCTTCAAGGTGATCTGACTCAAATTGGAATTGTGGTACCTAACATACGTACCCCCCCTCCTCAGACATCTCTAGCAGTAATAAATATACCGTTGTTCAATTGACCAATCACGGAACGGGAATCTTCTCAACGAATGAACGTATATACACTAAATGAGTAAGAAAAGATCGTAAAATAAAATGACTACATGAAGTTCTGCATAGTTCTGAAGAACTCAAAATTACAAATTAAAAAGATAGTATGGGAATATAAAGCCATAAAAACAATCATATACTAGGTATGGTATAGGAAGGAAAACATCCAACAAACAAGTACGTATACAGCGAAATAAATTATTTATTCGCATTGCCTTCCACCTCCCTAGAACACGTTCACAACAGTGAACGAAAAACACAACACACGGTAATTATGTTACTGTATATTTAATATGGAATTTGAGCTTTGTCCATAGGAACTGTTTAACATGCTCCCAAACAGAATTGAGCAGGAATATTCAGTTGATTAATCTATGATAAACCATTCGCCTTTTAACTCTACTTTACAAATCACAAGCCCAGGACGTATGACGCAAGGCTCTCTACTTTTGAGTAGACTTGTCTCGTTTACAAGGAAGAGGAGTGGAAGGTTAACACTTAAATGTTGTTAGATAATGTAGTCATTGTTTACAGTTGTAGGATAAAGCATTATTTTTTGTATTGTTTATTAACATTCCAACTATTTAACCTTAAATAAAACATACCGATGTTTAAGCAATACTCTGCAGCCTTATGACTACCAACTTATGTACTGACTTTAGTAACTACTATGGATACATATGTAGCTACTTATGTCGTTATTTTACTTACAGCAATCATAAACGTGAGAACGACGAACACAAATCGAAACCAAATTTCAACTTCGGTGAAATTTACGTTGTAGTGACTATACTGCAAGAAAATAGAAAAACAAGAAAATGTTTACTTTTCATCTCAAAAATCAGTTCCAACAAGAAAACGTCGACTAATGAGTTTGTATAATATTGTTATGAATAGGTTTTTTATATACCACAAATGATCCACTAAACGCGTTGAATAAATTCTAACAGTTCTTTGAAGGAGGGAGGGGTGGTGCTTAATAGATACGAGGCGTTTGATGGAGAGAGGCGTTAAAGAAGGAAAGGTGTTTATATCAATTCTATTACTTAAGTTTGAACAAAGAAAACGAACAAGACTAAATTTACGGTTTCTGAACACAAAAACAACCACCTACAATAATATAATCAAAAATGGTGATGACAGACGCTTATCCGAGAAAGACACCCAATACGAACGTACGCTTCAAAGGGGGTAATTAGGTACAGTAATGTCCCGCAAAATAGAACCTGGGTCCACCATTGGATGGTGCGGGGTAATACAGTGACTCGTAGAGCTTAATTGGTCAAATGACGTGATTTTAATGACCTGAGGTGCATTGCGTTAGTTTAGCATTTTATAAACATGAACTTACAGTAAATAAAACATCGTCAATTTCACCTCCTTTTGGTAGCGAGTCAAAATTTGACATGGCAACGATGGCCACGTAAGAGTGATAATCTACGTAACCAAGATGAAAGACAACGAAGTCATCACATTCCTGCGAATTGATTGATGACAAATAGTTAGCTTAACCATTCCGCTAGTCTAGCCACGATGGGCGAATTTCAAACCATTTTCATATTCGTTTTCTAAGAGTTTTTACAGTCGTTTAACACCAGAATGCTTGCATGACAAAGGAAACAATCAATTTGTCCTTACCCACTGTTCACACATGACCTCTCGAGAATGATTGCTAAAGCGATTAGATAACGGTCGGTGACTGTTGTCTGATCCTTCATAAAGAATCTGTACATTTACACTGAACTTTAGTTTGAACGATGCGCCTAGAAACATAAACCACACATTCACTTGGACTTCAACATTAATATGATATAGAAACATATGCAAATACTGCACATTTTCTTGAACTTTCAACATTGTTTAAAGGTAATGAAAAGACAAAAAAAGACGTTCTCTTTAACCTTTAATATTCGAAGTGTAGTAACCCGAATCTACACATTCCCCTTCAATATTGGTAACATTACATTACATATTAAAAGAATTGTCATACAAGCAGGCAAAGTCATACTAAATGAGGGGAGGGGGGAGGAGGACTGTTCAACTGCCATTCGAGTAATATATGCTGGAAAGCCTGTGTTTACACAGACTGTACCCATTCACTAAAATGCTTAGCTTAAGCATTGTACATGGACTCTATAAATTTACATCAAATGGATGACATTTCAATAGAACCATATAGCTAAAGAGCTTGCTTGATGAACATAAAGACTGCATAGTTCAAGCTTGAACAATCAGAGAAGTCGCATAAACCAAATTTTTAGAATGGGTAAAATTTAAGTCAGACTCACTACATAATTAACAGAATGAACAAAGAGAAACTTTAAATTACAGTATTACACAACATTTTTGTTCTTTCTCATTCTAATAATAGACCTCTAATATCACAATAATCAGATATATAATAATTATATCTACCAACCAACCTTTCTCAATTCCTTTGAGCTTGATGAGGCAAGTCAACCATAACTGTTGATCAAATGTAGACAATGATCCTGAGCCAACTTTGTGAACAGTTGTCTGATTTACATGAGAGAAATTAAGAATTCCAATAATTAAATGTACAAGTTAAGTAAAGAATAGCAAAGACTACAGCAAAAAAAAGTTTCAAAGTCACATATTTAACAAAAGTAAATGAAATGACAGCAAGACATTGGAGGAAATGTGACAAAATTCTAAGAACCTAACAAAACAAATTCAATAAAATGACTTTGAGTCAAGGTACGTGTATGATAATTCACATTAATAAATCATTATGTTTCTACTTCTTTATCAAATAAAAGTTTGTGGAAACGCCTTTTTCAAAATCATTACAACATGAACAAGAAAGTTTCAACATGCATGTCTTAAATTTACAATAACTCTCACTTTAATCCTCAATTATTTAACTATGTACTTTTTTCCATCAAGATACGTATATAAGTGATAAATAGCCAGTGCTTTCTGGCCAAAGTATACACATTGGCCTGAAATTAAATTTACTCTATGAATAATAGCTTTCTAAATACACTTTTGCCTCCAAAGATTATGAGATGTGAAATAAAAAGAATTTACTTTTTATACCAAACATGGATTGGTACGTATATGTCTACTTTAACACTTAAATATGATTAATTAATTATTATCGATTAATTAATTAATTATTAGTGTGATAAGTAACAGTCTTTAAAGTTTTTAAAAGTTACATTAACTCAGAGACTTAATGTAAAATTTGGCTGTTTACTTTGAATACATCATCAGAGCACACTGCTTGCACTGGCAAAGTCAGCATGTCTGGCTTTCACAGAGTACTTGCTATAGCAAGAGGAGTGAAAGGGTCACCTTAACTAAGAAGCCTGTTGATATGAACTTGCCACTTGAACATTGAAAGACTAGGGAAATGCCTCCTTAAAAAATTTAGTCATTACTACTACGTATATGGATAAAAATAAGCATTACAATATGAAATAACAGAAAATACAAATACAAGCACAACAAACGTACCGACAGGCTAGAGTTCCAAGGCAATAGTGCCTTCATTGATTTGGTCTCTGACACAATGACAGATGGACCTGAAATATGTACGATGTTTCTTGTGGGACGTTCATTGTATTGCAATCAATAATTAATAACTACAAATGATCAGTGACTTCTCGTTGAGCTTATCTGCAGCATACATGATCTAGTAAACAGTACAAAATAGTGTCCTGTACCCTGATTCATCTCATCAAGGTCAGTGAAGATCAAAACTTCGTGGTTTTATACGTTTTTCTTGTTAGTAAAACTGCTCAAACATTTGCAAGACACATCAATAATTAAAGTTATACTAATGAATTACACTTAAACTTCGAGAAGGCTGAAAGTCACACAAAACAATCTCTGAAATTAAATGCCTTTCCGTTCTCCAAATTCATGAACAAAACGTTTGTTAACTCACCAGCCAGTCCGATTATAGCACAGAACGCTATACACGAGAAGAACGCCACAAAAACCAAAACAAATTGACGTTTCGTCAGAGAATAAAGCTTCATCTTGATCGCTCTATTATAGAACATGCTTAACTTGGAAACAAAGATCTTAAGACTTTACTTAACGAAAAATCACAAGCGAATACAAACTCATGTTGCTAAAAAATTAAATAATGTTATCTGCAAGCGTAGCACTTACGACTCCATAGTGTAATTGATGTTCTTCACAAGTTTACAGGTGACGTAGTCGTAGTTGATGTTTATTTATTCAAATTCATCATTGTTTTGTTGCATGGCAAATGCAACGATGATGAAAACATTCAGGCACCAAGGAATAAAATGCGAGTCGTTCTAAAGTAGAATTTTACCTTTATGTGAAGATTTTAGTATTTTGCACTAACCTCAGATAATCAAAACAGAATACTCGATGTTACGCATACTTCATGTAAGAATCACTATTATATTGTGATGCCGAAGAAATATAGTTTCCCCGGAAGATCTTACCTGAAGGAGAGACGTAGTTCTCCGTAATTCTTCGTAGACTGATATAAGAAATACTTTTGCAGATGTCGCTCGGAGAGAGGTCTGGTCCCACGAGTAATAAATAAGCTGCGCATGTCTATTGCCACTCTTGAACGAGTGGCCACCATGCTATAGAACTCACAGAAATGGCAGTCAGGGCGGGGAGGGAAGGATCTCCCTCGGTTCGGGAACACTATTGCTCATATCAGTCTACGAAGAAGTTCGGAGAACTACGTCTCCCCTTTAGGTAAGACCCTCTCCTTCACCATATTTCTCCTTCACTCCTTCTCCGACTGTACTTTTGCAGATTGAAAAGAATGCTGACATTTAAAACCATTTAATAACCGTAAATATTAAAAGTATGCGACATGTGTAACTATTACTATTTAAAATTACCGAGTTCACAAATGTTCCTTGCCTAGATTTGTAGGTCTCAGGTAATGGTTGCGAAAAGTTTTTACAGATGACCAGTCAGCAGCTTCCAATATCATTTCCCAAGGAATTCCTGCTTCAGGAGCCGCTGATGTCAAGTTGAATGTTCAATGAAATCGGAGTCTATCCCAGCTAGCTTTAGCACGTTACGTAACCATCTCGACACCGTTTGACTGGATATTGGAGCGTGCGTGGCAACTATTGCCAATATAAGAGCTTCAGAGACCGTCTTATAGTTGCTGTCCGGGCTCTGTAGGCTCTTAACGTATTTACGATGCAGAGTTTCGCCGGGGTAGGCTGGTAAAAATATCTTCCTATCCGGATGGCCCGGGCGATCTTTCTTCACGTGAGTGGCCAATGCAAGTTCCCAGGAGTCATCCTTCTCGGTCAGGTGATTCAGATCAAGAGCAGCCAATTCATGAGCTCGTGCAGCCAAAGTTAGCGCTAGCAGCAAAACCATGTTTATCGATAGTTCCCGCAGGGAAAGTTCTTCCACAGATTCATTTGGTAAATTCCTTTCATGAACCCCGAAACCAACAGGAAGCTTTCCCAACGGTACTGATCCCACTAGATCATGTGTTTGCAAAATTACTGTCTTGTATTGTAGCTGTAGGGCAGGTTGTCGTATTTGGCCTTCTCAGCCAAGAACGACAGCACATTGTTTACAGAGGCAGTAAAGGGACATAGTGACAGCGTGACCAATCGTTCCATTGGCCGGAGAAGCGTTTTGTGTGGATTCACTCAACGACAGTAAAACCTCTGTGTGGATTCACAAAACGACAGTAAAACCTTTGTAGCCGCCTCCGAAAGTCCGCCTGCTCGGTAGCGTTCCCGAACAAGGGCCATACAGTTAACCGGAGTGAGCAATGCATTGGGTGTCGACTCTCTGTTTCGAACGACAGAGAAATCAGACCTGGAGCTTGTGGTAGCTGGCGTGGATAATCCACCAGTATTTGTAGCAGAGCTGGAAACCACGATTGACCTTTCCAAAGGGGGGCGAGTGGCAGTGCTGTGGCTTTGTCTGTCTGGAGTTTTGGATGATACTTGGCAGAGGGATTACTGGTGCGTACATCCAACTCTTCCAGCTGCTCCAATCGCAAAAAATGCGTCGGTTGCAATTGTCCCTGAATCTGGGTACCTTGATACATACAGTGGAAGGCAGTGATAGGCCCATGTGGCAAATCCACCATGGGACGATAAAATCGGTTCACTATCTGGTGGAAAATCTTATAATTCAGAGTCCACTAGGAGTTGTTGTTGAATTCCCTAGATGCCTGATCTGCAATGCTGTTGGCAGTGATCCAACAGCCTGCTTCCAAGACCGTTGCCCATAGCTCCAGAGCTTCTGCTGAGAGGCTGTATGACTTTGTCCCTCCTCGCTTGTTGAGGTATGCAACAGCTGTGGAGTTGTCCATTAGCAACAAGACATGTTTTGGTGTTGGTGCGTAGGTGCGGAAGAAAGCTTGCAGGGCGAGATGAGCTGTCTTCAGTTCCTGAAGATTGATATGTTCTCTGGCTTCGATGGGTAGCCAACGCCCACCCGTTGTTGTCCCTGGCCATGTTGCTCCCGAACCCATTTGTGAGGCGTCAGTTGAGATTGTCACATCGAAGAGTGGCATCTTTAAGGGTTGGCCATTGAAGGCTTGGATTCCAGGAGACAGCCACCAAGCTAGCTCCTTCAAGCTTGTTTGAGATAAAGAAACCCGGGTTGCCGCTGGCCAGCCAGTCGACTGATGATACATTTTAATATGATGTCTCTTAAGGCTTCTGTAGTGCAGTGGTGCAAGCTAGAGGCCTATTTGTGATGCATGACTCATCCTGCCCAGGAGTGATGATAAAGCTTTTCCGTTTACTTCTGGAAATCTTTTCTCCCATGACGTTCGAAGGCATCGTCACCACATGCAAGATGTACTTTGCCATTTGAGAATCGTTGGCCACATAATAAGCCAACTAATGTCTCTAAATCAAGACAAGTAAGCTTATTTTGGATCTCTTTGGTGCAATCAGATACTCGTTTCTCAAAATATGCAAGAACATCAGCCAAGAATGATTTCAAATCGGATTCAACTTTGTCCTGTTCTTTAAATCTCCACGTGCTTAATTCTGTACGGTTTCCATCTTCATCATTGCTGATCTACGACGACACCACAAACCACCCAGGCACAAGTCCGTACTTTTGAATGTTTGTGACAATACACTTGCAGCATGTTTATGCAATAAAGGCATTCCATAAACTGAATTCTTTAATACGAGCTTGTGTTGTAACTGCAGCATGTGACATTTTAACGTATTTTCCAACAAGGAATACCAAGACTTTGAAGCTCGACCATCATTTCCAGCATTGGTCCAAGAAAGTCACATGTTCAACAAAGATCAAGCAGAAAATCGTCCCCAGCGATCACGTACTCCCTAATTTCAGAGTAATGAAATTGTCGAAATGTCTTAATGTATAGTGGAAGACCATCAAGGAGCTTGCAAAATTCGACGTGCTGGGATGTTGTAAATCTGGTGCTGCAGGTTCTACTGGTCAGCTTCAATACGAAATCATCTTTTGTGTTCATCATTTCCATTGCATGATTCAGCATTTTGCCTCGTTGGAAAATCTTGTGGATGACGCATAATCTTTGTACCAGGCGATCAATGAACTGCTTTGAGTTTCTCACTTTTTCCTGAAATACATCCTTAAATGCTAAATCAAGGAAATGGGCTGGATCTAACAATACACAATAGAAAGAACTATCGACTAGGTTCTCTTGATGCAAAACAGAGTTTAGGGTGGAGGAAAAAACTGCAGCTTGGTATGCACCGTCACATAGAGTTCCCATCCATGCTCCCCGAATGATCGATTCTTCAATTAAATAAACGGTTTTTTATCTCTTAGTAGAGCATCCGCGCTAGTTCTGGTGCAGTAGCGTCGGACACATCGCCTTTAATCTTGTTATCGGCACTGCCCTACACTTTCGATGAGCTCACTGCAATAGCTTGACGATAGCCGTTGATAATTGTGCATACCATAACAGCCTGGTTCGTAATCCTGCTAGGCGTAGCTTAGTCGCAAGTCACGTAATAATGTGGCGGAAGGTCTCTTGATTGAAGTTGTATACATAAGAACTTCGAAACTTCCTGGTTACACCAAACATCTGCACATTGTAAAATACTGTTGAATTGCTTGCAGCTGTGGCTAAACTCCCCAAAATCTGAACCAGTAAATGCATGTGAAGCTACCATTGTTTCGTAATGCACAGCTGCTGATTTTGCTTTTACTACAGTCAAGATTTAAGGTTTCATCAGACACAAATCGAGATTTCACCTCTATATAGATCGGCAGCAAGGACTGGGTCAAGTCATGTCAAGATTAGTGTTCATTTTTTAGCATATTTCTTATTTCCTTTGAAAAAAAATGCATACATAATGAGTGCTAGAGGTTTAAAAATTGCTTTATCCTGCAAAATATCTGAGTTGACATTTTTTTCTTTTGCCTCGTTGCACTTGTAAAACGACATAGAAATAATGAAAAGAACAACTAAGTTAAAGGACATTGGAAGTATATTTAAAGTTAGGCTGGTTTGACAGAAAATATCATGTCGAATTATAATATACCGGTCTCTTTCATTTTTTCTTTATGGAACATGGTTTTTCTTCATCCAGCAAAGCATATCCAGCATTGCGTATTTTGTTTCTCAACCAAGTTAAGGAAAATTGATCGCCCTTGAACGTATAAACGCATGGAATCTCAAGTCCGTAGCCAGCTCCGCGATTTATTTGTTTTCCTTTACTGTAGCACTTGCAGAGTTAGATGCACGCTTCAAAAATTTTCGCACGTACTTTGCCATGTTTTTAGCCAACAATGACCGACAATATCAACACTTTCATTAACTGTATTGACATGAGATACGACATTGGTTTCTGTTGATCCCTGTGATGATTTAACAGTTGCCACAGCGTCTGAATCTGTTAAGTTTTCTGTTCCCGTCTTAACTCATATTTTTCGTTTATTTTTGGTTCCCAAATACCCATATATTCATGGTATCCTCGTATGCATGATTCTACGTTAATGCAGGTGTCCATTTTTTCCGTGCATGTGTTGATAACACCTTATCAAGATTACACGTGCACAAACCAAATACGCGTGTCACATATCATCACAGACAATCTGCTTAAACATCAACAAATTATACGCTGAAAAGAAGGTTCATCATGTCCATCAGTGTTTTAGACCAGCGACATTTTATGTATGTATAGCTTGTGAACAGCCTGTGCGCAACAAATCAACATCGTGCTCTCGTTTTGCTCCAGAACGTCGAAAGGATGGGTGCCTGGTTTCAAAGTGGCTTCACGTGAAAATGCTAAGAGGAAGTTGAGCAGTAACAGCAAATAAAATTAACAGCGCAAAAGCCCGTGAAAATGCCAAAAATGAAAAGCTGAAAGACAAAGAGTTAGCTCATCCAAAGCTCGAACTTGTTTAAGTATTCATGACAAAGTTGAACTTATAAAATACCATGAAAGTCATCCAAAGCCAGGTGTCAGAAAATTGGCAAAAAAATTTGGTTGTAGTCGAACGCAAGTTTCAACAATTCTAAAGAATAAAGAATCCATTCAGGATGAGGTAATTCGTGTTGCAAGTCAGGCTAGTGGGAAAGGCAAAATCCTCAGAAATTTTCTGACATAAACGAATATTTGCGGGCATGGTACAATCGCTGCAGAGAATCTAATGTTCCTATAAGTGGTCCCATACTGCAAGAAGCAAAACTCACTGTCAAACATCTTGGTTATAATGAATTTCAAGGTTCAAACGGATGGCTTGAGAAATGGAAGAAAAGGTACAATATCAAGGAGATGAGAATCGCTGGTGAGGACGGTGATGTCAATGAAGCAACGCTTAAAAGCTTGCAGGAGCATGTCAGGAGTTGACAAAGGGATATGTGCCTGAAAATTTGTGGAATATGGACGAGACCAGCCAGTTCTCGAAAGCATTTCCAGAAAAAAGTCTTTCTGAAACGGGAAAAAGATGTCGAAAAAGCAAAACAACGGTGCACATAGACATTTTTCGTTAATGCCGCTGGTGATAACGTAGAGCCTGTTGTAATTGGCAAGAGCGAAATGCCACGTTGCTTTAAGTACTTAACAGACAAAACTAAACCATACAAGTTCCGCTATTTCGTTAACTCGAAAGTGTGGATGAAGACTGAGATTATGGTGGATGTGTTGACTAAATTGAAAGGACGATTAAAACGTGAAGGCCGAACAATCATACTGTTCCTTGACAATGCACCCTGTCATCCGCATGAACTTAAAGGTCAGTTTTGAATATTTGTCTGACCTTTCTGCCAAAAAATACAACATCGTAGACACAGCCTCTGGATGCCGGAATAATTAAATTGTGGAAGGTGAAGAAAGAAGTGTGGAAGGTGAAGACTAGAAGAAAGTTGTAAGCAGCAAAGTAGGTCAAGAAAATGCAAGTGAGATTGTGAAGTCTGTTCACCTTCTTCAGGCTATTCAATGAGGCAAACAAGCTTGGAATGAAATTCACTCTGAGGCAATTCAAAAATGTTTTGCAAAGGTGGGAATCTACCGAGAAAAATCAGGCGATGATGACGATTATGATCCCTTTAAAAGTAAAGAGATTATTAATTTGAATGAGCTAAGCTCGATAATTAGTAGTGACTGCTGTGCTGAGCAGTACATTGATGCAGACAACTATGTCCCATTCTGCGATAGTTTAATCAACATCGAAGATTCCAACTGGCGGGTAGTATTAAGAACAGAGCTCTTGAACGAAACAAACTCGAGTGGGAAACATTCAAAGCTAGAAGACCTTGACAACTACAAAGGCGCCTTTAAACAAAAGGGCAATGATTTTGACGTGCCTTTGAAAGAACCTGAAATTAAAACAACTGCCAGTGCAGCAACTGTAGCAGAAAATCTTCTAGATTTCGCTTATTTTACTGGCAACGACGAACTTTCCCAAGAATGTCATTAACTTTACCAAAAGTTAATGACATTCTTACCGACATGTGTGTTGCGGTAAGAAAGCAAGTTCTCATCACAAATGTTTTCAAACCATCTTAACTTAAGTAAATAGTCTAATGTCCGTAACAGAATACAGATATTAAAGTAGTTATGTTTACATGTTATGCAGGGCACAAAGGTTTTATGGTGCGGTTTTTTGACTTAATACTAGCTATCAAAGTATATTTATTATTGAAAAACATTAAAAGAATTGTGTTTCGACAATTACATCATCGATTAAAAATTAACAAACCTCTCGTAAGCGGATACCTCCCATAAACGGAAACTAGGTCGTAGTCCCGAAGGTGTCCGCTTACGGAGGGTTTGACTGTATAAAGAATATGTAGATTTCTTCAATGACGTCACATGTGGGAAGCATACTTAGGCCCGTCGACACGTATGCGTTTTAAAGCACTTTTGCCATCCACACGAAAACGATTGATCAACTTGAAAACGATACTTCGGCTTATGGCACGTGCCTGGTGTTAAGCTGAGTTCGTAAATAAACATCGAATTATTATAAAGTACTTCGAAACGTGTGTTTGGCGCAGTTTGCAAATCAATTTGATTCAATTTTATTACATTAAAATGTCGAGCTTCGTTCAGAAAACTATGCTTGTTAAAAAGGGACAAAACATAAAAATTCACATATATATATATCATATATCAAGATTCACATATATATATACATATTAAAGATTCACATATATATATACACCTTGATTATTACACTAACTTCCGTCATCTTGTATATATGTTTTAAGCATTCAAGTATTTTATTCATTAAATCCCCTGAAGAGTGAGCAATCACGAAACAGGCTTGTCGGGATGAATCTGTAGTTTTGTGATTTTTTCTCAACACCACTACACATACATATTATATATATATATTATATAATTCACATATATATATATACATATTTCAAGATTCACATATACATATCAAGATTCACATTTATATATCAAGATTCAAATATATGTATATCAAAATTCATACATACATGTCAAGAACAATGTGGAGAAGTATCGAACTGGCTTATTACTGCAACAGTGAATCAAGTGTCCGGTTATTTGCCATACGAGATAAAATTAATGTTTGTGATCACCCATGCGATTTTAGTGTTCACTGTATTGATATTACGTCGTTTTTGGTACATCTATTCGAATTCCAGACATAAAAGTTAAACAGGCATTTCAAAATGTTCAAATTTGTCGTGATTGTGCGCTCCCCCTCAAACCGTAAACATCCCCTCCCCTCTGAAGATCGAGATTTCATCAGACACAAATCGAGATTTCATCTCTACAAAGATCGGCAGGAAGGACTGGGTCAAGTTATCCGCTCCTGTCACCGTGCTCGAGTGAAGAAAATATGATATTGGTATGAATAAAACTTCAAAAATAACAAAGAATTCAAATGCATGGTGCGAGTTGAGCCATGGCATGAAAAAAGAATACAATGAAAAATGTTTTCTGTATGCGTTCAAAGATTCGTTTGATTTATCGGTTGAGTGAACAAAGTAACATACTCCTCAAAAAAAGACAAATTGTTGAAAATATAATTGTTATCTCGCATAAGTATGATTCAAAAAGTATCTTAACCTTCAGTGTCACGAACGATTTTTAATCATTAATTATCTAGAATGAAAATAAGCCAATGCTTTGGTGTCTACACTTATTTTTACTACATAAGTATTTACAACAGTTTTTGTTCAACATTCAATCGGTGAAAGAAATGAAACGAGCGTTTGCATTTTCAAGAAATATTAAATGAAATATAAAGTGCTTGCTTGAAATTAATACAACACATGCATGTATATCGAAAAGTTCCTTCTGCATATTATTCAAAGCCTTGTGTTTTACTCATGTATTGCCGGTATAAGCATTGACTGTATAGCACATTGATGAACAAACAATAAAACTATGTTTTCAATTCTTTTACTTGTTGCTTGCTGCATTGTTATATAAGTTTAGCCGCTTCTAGGCAATAGGTTTCTCGTTGTAAAGTAAAGGATGGCTTAATTTTTGCCTGACAACAGTCCATAATATAGACTCCTCCTAATAAGGATCCTGAAATATAGAAACTACTTCGCCAATTTACTTCCTTCGCTTTTCTCCAGGTAGGTACATCTGGACAGCATTACCTGTTTGTATGTCTATGCAAATCCCGAGAATATTGGTTTTAAAACTTTTGCACTTTTTTAAGTTTGGTTTTAGATATGCCGGATCCACGAGTGAGAATTTAGTGAGGACATAATGTTTCTTTAGAGTTGGTTGTTGAAAAGGTGCATTAATGGCGAAACACCATAAGAATCAGGCTATGTGCTTAAGATTAACAATGTGATGATATAGGTTTCCATCGTGGGACTTTTTAAATGAATTGTTACTGTTTGGATTGCTCTTTCTACGAATCCATCTGATTGGGTGAAGTGAGAGTACGAGGTGGCATGCTTAAAGTCCCACTCTGAGGCAAGGCATTTGAAAGTTTGTGCAGTGTATTCGCCTAATTGTTTCTGTATGTATTTCATGCCATGGCTACGAAAGATCTTCTTCGTTGGGGATACTTAATGAGGCTTTGTCGGTGAGGCGCTCAATCTCGATGTCCTTAGATGTGTAGTTGGTGACGATGACGTAATTGTGCCTGTACAGCTTGAAGAAGAGTGAAGCAAGGGAATTTTGGGTACCTTGTGTTGATTACAGTCTCCTCAATTGCTGATTGCAGTACGTAAGACATTTACAACATTGGGAAACGGGATCGTCAATTTTGGAATTCATGCCTGGCCATGCAATAAAGGGACTGCCGTGCACGATTTTTTTTATTTTACGATTCCGTTCTTACCTTAGTAGATAATGCGTTGGCATTTTAAAATTAAACCTTCATTCTAAAGTTTCGTTCTGAAGTTGAGTGATTTATGCTGTACTAATTGGTAAGGAGTCCACGGTGGAGGAGACACATTGTACTCAGTCAGACTCCTCTAATTCAGAAGAAGAAAGATTCTTGAGATTTATTCTTCCTCAGGAGACATATGCAATTGAAATGCATTGATTGCTCTGCTTCACCCATCTTTCTGCTCAAGAATAGCCCCAAGACCTTCTTCATTGGCGTCATGCTTCAAAGGGATAGGTATGTTAGGGTCATATAGAATGTAAGACAATGTTACCATTTTTCCCTTAGCAGATTGCATGTAAAATTGGCAAACTTACATGTTAACATGTCAAATTGCAAATCGAACTCGTCTTTAGAACTTGTAAATAGAAATATTACTTTATGGTTTAAAACAAACAGATTTCATGATTCGAAGATTCGAAGATTCCAAGATTCTAAGAATCCAAGATTCAAGATTCCATGTTTTACAACTATTCTAATAGTGGCGTATGTCACGAGACCAAAGAGATTAATGAGATTTTGATTTTTGAATGTTACGTACATGACTCGACATTTTCGGAATGAATTGATTAAACAGTGCAATACATAGAAGCATATAATTCATCGTGTTATACTATAATCACAGTATAGAGAACATACAGTAGGGCCACTCCATTGAATTTTTTCGTGTCACGCATATCTTGTAAAGCATGTGATTACCACATTGGCAGCCAGTAAATTGCATTGTGTGACCAATAGGATTGACGATATGGCAAATGGCAGCCAGTAAACAAATTAAATACACAGCAGCCAGTTGCAGAGCTAACTGGCCCTACTGTATATTCCTATACTGTGCCATAGTATTACACTATGTTTAGAGAGAATTTGATGGATGCATAGTAGTGGTTAGCAAGATTATTGCACTGATAAGATTACCCAAGCATTACACGAAAAAGGTCGACTACTACGCGGTAAATTATTTATATATTTGGTAGATAGGACTTAGTAATAACATGATAATATGATACTCGTGATAATAAAGTTGGTATTAAGAATGACATAACACAACCATGAATCAATTATTCAATTACACAGTAAGTGATTTCAGTGTGGGTATGTGTTCTTTCAGCGAATATTATGAAGTTCGTCTTAATGCACATAAATGCAAAGTTCAGAAATCACAATGTCATGACAAGCTTATACAATTTCATTCTATGATAAACATAGCAACAAGCATTTGAACTCAATGAACTGTGCAACTTTCGCGGAAAAGAATATGTAATTAATTTAAATATGGACCATTCAATACTTAATGTAAGCAACAATAAGTGGTTTAAAGAACAACATATATCAAATTCAGTTATTGATGAATGATGCAATCTCAATTGCCAAAATTGTGTCGATTTGTATTTGGGTAATTATCAACTGTATAGCAAAGCAAACATCTAACTTTTGAGCTAAACGATAGTGTGAGAGCCACAAGGTCGTCTAATGCGATCGAAAGAGGGTGTAAATAAGTCACTTGTTTCTATGCTATGGTTATTTCAAATTATATTTTTCTTACTCTAAGACATTAGGTGGTCATGTACGCAAAATTTTGATACTTTGCTTTTCCAAACGTTTATGAATGCGATAGCGAAGCCCTTTCACATGACTTACTCGTTGACACTGTCAAAGCATTAAAGTTTCAATGGCAAGTGCCAACATTTGCATCAATAACTACTGGGCTGTGACGGATATACAAGACAGCTAATAAGGCTTACTTCATAAAAACAGAGCTTTTTTGATAAATGAGATAAGATCGGAAAATTCAGAAGTGGATTGAACGCTGCCATACATAATCCAAGCTCGTCGATTTAAATATCAAAGTCTTTAATTCACCTTGAAGGGCGAGTAATGTCACTTGTATAAACTACTACACTGGTACCAGAGACTCAAATATAAATACCATGGAGAACGAACGAAATTTCATTCTATTTGTAGTTTCTTGTCTAAAATGAATTTGCCAAAAATCATCAGTCCTAAATTCTATGTACATCACAGCTACTTAACATGATAAGGAAGTGCGAAAGTAGAAAAATTAGAGTGTCCAACTAAATGGTTGCTTGTATGCAATCACATTAAGGAAGAACAGGATTTAGATTGAAACATCCTGCTATGAAAAAGTTTTACAAGGTGCCACAAACAGTAGCAACTGGTTTTCTCAAATATGATAAGTCAATAGAGCTTTGTAGTTTCACGAAAGGTAACTCAACATACGATATTATTTGATGAATCATTATACAAAGATTAAATCGATTGTTTTCAAATGCTCATTATGCCAAGAACTGTGAAGAAGCGGTAAACATTAGTTCACATCGACTTATTAGCTATAACACGAACAACCAACAAAATTACAAACACAGACGAATTTTTCTGTAGAAGCAGCGTACGTTGCTGTTGTGAATAATTAATTGGTGTTCCTCAGAAGAATAAGGACGCGTCGTTATTGGCGAAACGCGGTCACGTGAATCATAAATGAATTGTTTGTTAGACCACCTGGTAATATCTCAGCGTTTGCTCGTTGCGTAGTGAAAAGGTTTAAAACATTCATTTCAGTGAAGATTTCTGGTTTTACCATCGGAACTTGTTGAAACTAGCAGTGTTCAAACCAAGTTCAAATTACTTGTAGACCATTTGGATTTAATAATGTCTAGTTCGTTTGGTGCTACGAACTACATGAAAGCTAGCAATAGTGAATTTATCAAGTCTTCATTACCACATCATCGGGAAGACGCCATGATACATTCAAGCTCTTCCGTATCTAGTTACGGCTATCCAAACACGAACAAAGGAGAGAAACATCTCATGACCGATTTAAATCGGCGAACTAGTCAACGTAAACGTGCCAAAGTATGTATATTCAACCTTTTTAGTTTAGCCTGTAAAATATGGTTAAGATAGCGCAGCGACCGATATGAAATTTTGAGCTCTCTTCACACACATCACAACCTTCTTCTTGCGAAATTTACATTTTTTCACACCACAGACGGTTAAAAAGGTAAATTACAAAATCGAGGCCGACCATGAATTTATAAGTTCAGTTGAATACATCGTCCAAATTTATGTACAAACAGACCGAAGTTGCATTTTAAATGCAAGTCATTTTCAAAAGTTAAATAGATGGCGTGAAAGTCTCGCGAGAATTGGGCATTTTTCACCCTTAATGATATAAATTCTGCCCTTGAGGAGGTCAAACGAGTGAGTGCCTGCTTGATTATTCGTGGTAATTCCAGCAATATTATCGATGATATGTAATTGATAATTTGACCAGCCGGATCGTTTCCCAAAAGCTGTTTGTCGTCTATAATCAAATGAAATATTTTTTGCAACTTTGTTTTGTCATAACAACGTGCCAGCACTTCGACATTGCAAAATGTGAAAGTGGGTAGCATTAAGATAAAATATGCTTAGCAAATGCGGAATAATTTAAGTTATTTTTACATAAATGTCCCCCATTGTTTAAGTCAACCGGTACTATTTGCCATGTGCTGTCAACAATGGCTCTTGTTAAATCTTACTAATTCGGGGCGGTCAAGCAGATCGCGTTTTTGGTTTAAATTCTACGAGTTTTGAATACACAAAAGATCAAAATGAAGAGAATCATAAACTCAGTAAGATATTACAGCTTTTTCGTCTTATATTATCTTTTAGTATCTTTTACTGTAAATAAAGAACACTTTGTTATGTCATCTGCATCGCTGCATTTAATATGGCGACATATGCATCGTAAATAAAAGTTCTAATATATAACAAAGCGCGTCAGAGTTAAAAATTTTCGAAATACAGTACGTCCCATGGGATTAATTATTATACGTAATATTTTTTTGTATTCCGCGCGGGATTTCTTTGGAATTTTTAAGAAAGATGACTGCTTCAGCGATTGGCAATTTAAATTTAAAGTTGTACCTCGTTTGTTCGTTTTAATTTGAGAATTTGAAATACAAGGCGAACTCTGGTTGAAGTAATATAAGACGAGCATTATATTAAAGCTTCCCTTTCATCAGCTCTTTAAATGTTTAATGTTTTGAATGGAGAAGGATTGTAGCGTTTATCTGTTAGGTAAATTTAACACACGTATGTAGAGTCAATTCGAATTTATTTCAAGTGTTCTTCAATCAAAAGAATTGAGAATAAACGTGGACTAGTTCTCATACTACGCACTGTAGCATTTTAGACTATTTTGCTGTTTTTAATGAAGAATCTTTGTGATTAAAATGAAACAACGATTTGAAAACTATGGAGGACTTAGTTTGTTTACTTATAGCTGGCAGGCAGATGTATCCCATGAAATATTAAGCATTTTTGGTAGTGTGGTGTTAGCTAAAAGCAATCGACCTAATCTGCCTGGCAGAAAAACGTAAACAAGTAAGTTCACAGACTAAGTCATCTTTATGGCAAATAATGTTTTTGCTTATTTTTTAATCAGGTGTGTGTATGCATGTGTGTACTCATCCTATTGTAAATATAGCACTAGGATTATATTCATTTCTTCAGAAATCTATTATTTTCACAGTAAGTGAAATGAGTGAATTAATAGATAAAAATTTTCCTACTAGGACTAAATAAATAGGCTCTAAAATGTTAATTTTCCGGTCCACTATTTAGTCATGAATTTGCATTACCATGTTGTTCGCATGGTGATAAAATGTAACACAAGTAATAGTGTGGGTTAAATATGTATCTCCATGATGGGAAACTTTAAAGTAAAACACTTTAAGCCCTTAATTTCATGAAAATGTAAATGAATTTCTCAAACACACTGATTGACACACATGCTGAACTATGAAGATAAACTTAAAGTTTGTGACATGTGCTTTTAGCTGTACAATCCTTTACACCATTAATGCTTAGTATTGATATTTCAACATTATGACCACATCCAATGTGATTTCTACCAAATGTTTCATTTGGAAATTTTTTGACTGCTATTCCAATTCATCATATAACTGAATTGCAGTTTACTTGTTGTGCGAGACTTTCCTATTGCTGCTCTGGGCTGATAAATCTTGTCTTGATAATTCTTGAAAATTTCATCACCGATGAATATGGCATAATTCAGGCATTTATTGAAGTTAATTGTTTCTAAGCATTAAGTGTTTTTAAGTGTTTTCTAGCCCCTAATACAAATTCACACTCTGGGGGTGAGGAGGGACAGCATTTATAAGATATGAAGCATTTATTTGATAGATGCATATTTATGAGATCATTTACAGTACAATATTTAGCTCATTGCATTTGGACATGATTTTTAATACCTCCCTCCCACCTTATAAATCAGTTTTAATCAATTCAAGTTTATAATTTAAATTTTCAAATTTCATTTCAAATTATTAATTGTTAAGTTACTTGTAAGCAGATTGGCCAGCTAGCTCTATTTTCTAAAGTTTTAGTGATTTAATAAATGAACTTTAGTGCTCAAATTTTGCCAAGTATAATAATATCCAAGCTTTAACTTTGACTTGAAAAGGTCAGAATCTGTCTTTTAATCATAAAAATACCATGATCTTGCTTAAATTTTGCTATTTGCAGAACTCTCAATCAAAAGTTAACATGTTTATGTCATTGAAAAATTAACTATCTGTTGAGAAACTATGCATTATAGTTCATGTATTGTTTTAAGTGATAGAGAAGGTTCTAGGTTTGCATAAGCTTCCTGCACTTTTCTTTTGCTTTTCATTACCTCAAGTCAGGCAAGCTTCATGATGTCTTTCTTTCATCAGATTTTTTTCCAAGTTTTTTTTTACATCTACAGTAGGGTAAATATTATGATCCTAAGTTGTTAGGTCTTTTTAGGTTGCAATATATATGTGCTGATTTATCATAAAGTTCATTTTGTCATATCAAAGTGTGATTATAAGGTGATTAATAACTGCCATACAAATCAAGAATAAAATTGCAGTACTGAGCTTTGTGAAGAATGGCATGCACTTTTTTTAAGATTGCATAATAAGTATTCAATGAATTATTTTCATTAGAAATTTAAACTAAATAGTAATGTTAAGTTATACTGAACATATGTTTATGCCTTTGAATTCATCTCTTGTGATGGATGTTAACTTTATGTCAACAAGTGTCTGTCTTTCTAGCTCCCAATTTCTCTTGTTTCTTCTGATAAAATACTTCTTATACATGCCTATTATATATAGTGCCTAAATGTTATCTTTAATTTTTTTATTGGAAGTTTTATTTTAAGATACCAGATAGACGAATATGTAGTTTTAACACATTTTCCAGCCACTGCAGTGGTAACACACAAAATATCAAATTACCAACCACATTTTTTTTACTACATTCTTGGTTTTCGCAGTTAATTTTCCTGATTTTACAAATTTGCTCTATTAGAAACAATTGCTGGAGAGATCAACGAGAGATTAATAGCCCCTCCAACACAATGAGGTCATACATGCCAGTGTTTAACTAGATTTAGTGTGATAACTTGGACTCTCCCACCCGCTTTGTATAATTCCAAAGCTCAGAACAGGGAGGGGTTGTTTTTATTTGATTGGTTAAAAAGATTGCATATATAGTCACATTGCTCTGCATTCTCGGCTGCACTGATTTCGTTGTATGCACTACTGACAACCCGACTCGGCTCACCCCAAGCAAGTCTGATTTCTTTTTTTTCAATGTAAATGTCATCTCTTTATATTAAATTATTTCATGAGAAATACTATATTGTCAGTAAGTGAATACAAGATACCTAGTTAGCACAGCAGGAGTAAATAAGCAGACAGGTTGCTCACATCTTCAATAGTGTTCATTGTTATTATTTTCTAGGTTGAATACTCTGAAGTGGATGAAAAGTTGGCAAAACTGACAGATGATGAACAGTCTGACTCAGAGCTTCTTAAGGATAATGGTGTGGAGTTTGATCGACAAAATTCAAAACAATCTGAGAAGGACATGATGGAAAATGATGATGATGAAGATGATGATGACTTACCTACAGGTGAGTGAGGATTCAACATTTCACATGTACAAGTTTATGTGGACATGTAGAGTCAAACCAAATGTTTGTGTGTGCAAATTGTACACAGAGAATTGCTAATATTCTTTTAAGAGAATGGGGGCGTACATGCCAGTAATTTGCCTTCAAGCTGATCTAATCCACAATCACATCCATGTGCATATTTCAATTTTTGTATCAGATTGTGTGAGCTACATTGTGATTTTAACTCTGCAGTTTTTCATTTTATTGTTTTCACCTCATTCTAGGCCTTGAGGGTGCTGCCTTTCAAAGTCGTTTGCCGTATGACAAAATGACAACCCAGGAAAGCAATTACTTTCGGGATATTTCAGATGGTCAACCAAATGTTCAGAGGCAGTTTCTTTATGTCAGAAACAGACTGGTATGGCAATAAAATCACATGTCAGGGCGTAGTTTCTGGGGGTTGGAGTGGGTTAAGTACCCCCAAAATTCTGTAGCATACCTCCCCCAATGAAAAATGATAAAACGTACTGTACACAAGTATCATAACAGTATGAAATCGAAGAGTAAAACTATGAAATCGAAGGCTAATGAAATCGAAGAGTAAAACAAAAATAGTCAAATAAAAGGCAATTACCTACAGTGTTTCCACAACGTACAATCAAGATTTCCTTTATTCTGCACTAAAATTCCTTGAATTTCCTTGAAATTTTGAATTAGGATGTAATTACCTTAACATTTCCTTGATTTCCAAAACGTATTTGTTTGTGGTATTTACCATATGTTTGCATCACTATTAGGCATGTTTTCCTGCGAAAATTACAATCGCAAAGCTTGCAGTGGGGCAGCTCATTTTACTATTGAAGTCAGTCCTTGAATTTCGGATGGTCTGCGAAGAATTTCAAAAATTTTGCTCGTATTTCTTTTTTGGGTTGGATTTGTTTACAAGATCAAAATCTTCATTTTACACGATTCACTAAAAGATTGAGAGACACTAACGTAGAAACACTGGTTATAGCCATAAAAAGCAAACATAGAAAGGGTAACCTGTTTTAAAATTATGCCTTTATGCTTATTATCGCCGTGGTATGTATTTTGCCAGATTGGGAAGTTAAAATTATTCTGCACTTCTCTCGAAAGTCTCAGTGATATCATAACACAATTTCAAACAAAAGTGTTTTCTGTTATTTTCACCGAACTATGTTATTTCTTATTTGTCCAATCGGGAAGTTATATTTATTCTGCAATTCACTCAATCAAATTTTCATTAACGGTTGATAAACTGCATATGGGCTGTTTTATATAAAGTAAATGGTTTGAACCCGGGAGTATCGTTATATGTTTGTAAATGATGATCGTCCAGGTTAATAAAGTCCTGAGAAGGACTGTTTTTGTTGTTGTTGACTGACGTTTCGACAACCTTAGCGGTAGTCATCTTCAGAGTCATTTTGGGCTCACACCTTGGTTCACTCATAGATTCACTCAAACAGTTCACTTAAGGTTCACAATAACCTGAGGCTCTTGCAACTTTAGCTAGAATAAAGATGCAACCCCATTGAAATAGCTTCAACCCTCCTGTCAAATAAGCGTTGATGTGCCACTGATCACATGTATTGTGTAGAATGCACTACGTCATTAAACAGCCTTGTAACAAAGGAAATTTTGGTAGCTGATGAAGTTAGCCCATAATATATAACTATTACTGCACACTAACGGACAATTCTTCCAGAATATTTGTTAAAATTCCTTTGAATGTTATTCTTATAGCTTCAACTGTGGTTGGCTAACCCAAAACAGCAATTAATCATAGAGCAGGCCATACGGGAAATGGACCCTCAGCAAAAAGGTAGAAGATAAAATGTCTATTTATATTCTAATAATTCAAACGACACCAAAATGTCTTTTTACAAAAATTTGTGATAAAATATGCAACAATATAATAACATTTCACAGGAGCAAATTTATTTTGGTATTATATGTTCGTATCAGATGCGTACTACAGAAAGACTTTCCAATTTAAACAAAATGCGGGTTCAAACTAATTGGAAGATCTTTACTGTACCAGACACGGTAATCCGGATAGTAATATTTGAAAAGGAATTGTTCTTGAAGGATAAGTCTTAAATTGTGCTGAAGCGATGGTGTCTTTATTTGACTAACTGCGTTCATGTCATACCGATGCTAAGGAACCTTATAGACAGTTTTATGTCTTGATTATATATGGTAAATTTTACACATGATTAATGAATTCAAGTCGTTATTCTTTTTTTTATCGAATGAATTGATAACTTTCTCTCTCTATCCCAGAAGTCAATTTACAAGTGCTTGTTTGCGTATTTACTTTAATGCAATTTACTTGCCGTCATTTAGTTGGTATATTCCATATTAATTTTGATTTGATGTGAAAAAAGCATTCTCTTTAATACGGTCTAAACTCAGCTTTACTAATTTTAATGATATCAATTAAGAATTTATGTTATATAGAATTTGTGTTGTAGACTAGTATAAACAGCAGTTTTAGCCTCACATATTAAGTTACGTAGTTTAGAGCAATAACCTAGCTACCTTAAAATCATGTCGGCGTCCACAGCTATTTTAAAAATTTTGATAGCAAATACAGTTTCATTGGCTTCGTCTGTAGCTGTTTACAAAAGTGCTCCTGCCTGTGTGAAAATAAAATGAAATATTTGAATGTGGCGGTCAACGGAAATATAACTAGATATATCTCCAATATAACTAGATATAACTCTGGCCTCCTAACCTCGATTGTTAAACTTGCTATTTTCCTTTTTGCATTTTACTTTACCATATTTGAAGACTCATTTATCAAGGAAAATGCATATTTGTCACACTGTCGTTGATTAACCATTTCCCTTCATAATCGTCATGTGTGACCACAGTACTTGTGGTCATCGCAACCAGTGAACTGTAATATTAACTGGAACGCTTAATCCACTAATGGGGCTAGAAGCCATTTTGAAGCCAGCTTTGATGCCATTTTATATGCATTTTTAGATATATTACCTAATTTGGTGAGATAAAACGTATCATGGCTATTTGTGCTACTGTATTTTATGTATATCGTTGTTAATAACATCATGGAGCTTCTAAAAACGCAGAAAAAGTAGTATCATTATTGGCTTCACAGATTGCGGTGCATTTATCGTTCCAGTTAATATTACATTTCACTGATCGCAACTTACGTCTTTACTATGATGTTCCTGAAATGCACTCAAGCCTTATTTATTAAAAATGAATTTCTTTTATGTAGTTGAAAGCAAGCTTGTACATCGAGTTTTCGCGTTTTTGGAGCGATATGGTTCGATTAATTTTGGAGTATACAAGCAGTTAAAACCTCATCCAAAAAGTAAGTGAAGAGTAGAGTGGTAAAAAAAGAGTGCGTATCAGGAGGGTGGTTGAGGGTGTGGCCAAGCCATTATTAGGAGGAAGGGCTGGGGGGAATTTTGCCGTATGTCCCAACCTAAAAGGAGCTTCACATTTTGAGAAAAGAATTCAAATTGCGAAAATCGGTTGTTTTTGACATTCATAACAGGTTGCACATAGTCCATGCAGTTGCAAAAGTTTTAAATCGTGACGTCACAGGAAAAGGAAAATATTTGCCACGTCCTCTACGTTTTCTTTTTCCGATGTTGATGTAACATCCCCATTTCGTTAAATACCTGTAAAGTGCAATGCACAAACGGATAAAGGACGGGGGAAGTTCTTTAGGCCTCAATTGTGGGCTTTTTTCTATCAAATATAGGCACTATAAATGTCCAAATGTCAACTCCTGACAATAGTTGTTGCTACCAGAATGTCTACAATGGAGAATTGTAGCTTATTTGGCTGAGGATTTGGGTAGATTTGCCGTTCGATAACTTTCAAAATCCACCCTAAGGATTTGTTTAGATTTTCGTTTGGATAACTTTCACAATTAACACTTTAAATTTTGTGTAAAATGTTCTTCAATCAACATCTGCCATATTTTCATAGCAGGCTCTTTTCGATTAAAATCATACAAAGGCCAACGACTCATTCTAAGTTAAATGATTGTATTTTTCAGTTACCAATTCACCCAAGATTCTCGTGGTTGGTGCAGGCATATCTGGTCTGACTGCTGCCAGGCAGTTGCAGTCATTTGGTTTTAACGTCACTATGATAGAATCCAGGGTATGTTGTTTTTTGTTGTTTTTTGTTTTGTTTTGTTTTGGCCGCATGCACTTTTGAATTTCCACAATTTATAGATGGTACATTGTGTGACTTTGTATCTTGCTTGCGTTTTACGTTAAGCTTATATTCTTGAACGCGTGCGATCACGAGGGTTCAGATTATCTGTTGAACAAATATTAAGGCGTATTTCGTGATTGTCATTCATAACGGCAAAGAAATAATCTTTTAATGTGTTGTAATGCTCTCAAATCTCAGGTAAAAATGTATTGCTCTTTATTACTGTTTTTAAAATTTAATGCAATTTGGCGGAATTTGACAACTTGCGCCTCGAAATATCTCAGCAAAAGAAACTTTTTGTAAAAAATAAAAGCTATTTTTATTGTAAGACAGCACAAAAGCATTCAAAATATGCAATAAAAAAATTCTTTGCCATTCTCTTGTAGATCTCAGTAAATGCGCAATAATGCCTCGTTTGAACCTTTGCTGGTCTTGTCGAACATTTCATTGTCACAGATTGTATGCGCTAAATATTTTACACATCATTGTTTTGCAGGAAAGAGTTGGTGGTCGAGTGGCGACGTTTCGTAAAGGACAATACATCGCTGATCTTGGTGCAATGGTGTTAACTGGACTGGGTAAGAATTTACACAAAAAGTGTGGCTTCATCATATATGGTTTGTTTTAGAGCAAGAGGCTATGCAGAAAATATCTTTTCTCACTATTTACTGATGAATAATTTACTTGTTGAAGAAATGTTCATGGCGTACGAGGGTTCAGCTAAGAGCTGTTGTTACCCCAAGCAGCTCATTTACACGACAATTTGCGATCAAGAGTTATCAGCATGCCAATGTCAATTTTTCCCACTCTAACTTAGCCAAATAATTAACTAAGTAGACGTTGATTTTTTGAGAGGATGGTGAAGTTGAGTCCTGATATTTTCTCCAATACACTTTGATTTCAACTAAATTTTGATCTGTTGCCTTAGTAACAACAGCTCAAAGCGAAGAATATAAAGACAAGTTGATATAATTTTTCAAAATATCCCTAAATATATTGAACACTTGAGCCCACAACTGCTTCTTTAGTTGCGACTTAGTTTGAAAATTATACTTTAATACTAGCATAATTTTTTCTCGAAATATGGAAAGCAGGCGAATGATCAAAGGCGATGAGTTTTGTTAAAATAATCTCATACGTTGAAGTCTTGTTGTAAATGTACCATTTTCGTTTTGTATTGTACACCTTCCTTTGTGTTGAATAACTAATGCTGAAACTGTGCAATCTGCGTCTTTCGAAATGTGATATAAACAATTTCTGCGTTTGTGTAAAGTTGTTTCATTGACAATTGTTCCTTAATGTCAGCTTTCATTGGGGCTTCTTTTCTTTGGTGACAATTTCGTTGTTAGACATTTTTGCGCCTTCCAAACGGCGTAAAAATGATGTTTAAAAATTCATTTATCTTTTTTCCTTGTAGGTGGAAATCCTCTCACGGTTCTCAGTAGCCAAGTGAACATGGAACTTCATAAAATCAATCAGAGATGTCCTCTCTTCGAGACAAATGGACGAAACGTAAGGAAGTTTGAGCATTAGGTTTAAGTTGGGGATGTCCCGGATCTGTCAACCGAATTCGGGTATCTGGTTAAATTCCGTTATCTGGTAAATTTTTCCTGGTTTTTCCGATTTTTTTTACTTTTTCTATTTGCTATCACTATGAGGTACAGTAGCATTGTTTTTTACGTTACGTCATAGCTTTATTTTCGGCTCTTATTGGATAGTAAAAAACGAACAAAGCGTACGTTAATTCAGAACAGCCTTCATGAAACACTTCGAAAAAATATTCATGACAAAGACTTGTAATAACTCCTACCCAGTCCCCCGCTGTGAAACTATACTAAATGGTAGTAATTGTATGTTGTTATTGCCATTATCATGGGCGTATAAAGATCGATAATTGGTAGAGGGTCCATATATAATGGTTCATATATAATGGATTTCAAAATAACTTGACCCCGAATATCATGCATTTATAAATATGGACCCCTCCAGTTATCGATCTTCCTACGACCATGGCCACTATCCGATGGTAATACTCGTAGCCAGCAAATTCCAATATAAAATTTTCGATATTACTGTATCATTTACTTTACTCATTCGTGCTAAAGCAACATCAGTGGATTAAAAAGTCACGTGCAGTTGTAAATTTACAATTTTTTTATGTCGCTTACCTTACTACAGTGGCGTAACCAGCCCGCACGTGTGATCGTACTATGTAAATTTTTCTATGTTCACTCACTGTAAAAACAATAGATATGTAAAGAAATGAATAATGATAATGATCCGAAATTTACATAGCATGACCAAATTTGCGGGCTGCCTACTCCACTGCCTTACCAGATGCAGAACACAAGAGAAATGTTCAAAAAAAAGTGTTAGACTTAATATCATGTGCACTGCACCTCGCGTGTCCATAACTCAGCTTTACCTCTAGGTAATGTAAATCTGGAATTGATGTCACAATTATTTCAGGTTCCGAAAGACAAAGACGACATGGTAGAGCAAGAGTTCAATCGTTTACTCGAAGCGACCTCTTATATTACACATCAGTTAGACTTCAATCAGATCGATGGTAAACCGCTGACCCTCGGACAGGCCCTGGAAATGGTCATCAAGTTGCAAGAAAAACAAGTCAAAGAACAGCAAATCATTCATTGCAAGAAAATTTTGGAGATTCAAGAGAAAATGAAATTGGTTTTAGCACAGGTATATGTGACAGCTAAACAGTTGAGAGCTTTGTTTGATATTCAGTGTTATTTAAGTGAGAAGTTGAGGATGGAGGAGGGTTGATTGTTAATGTGAAAGGAGCACCCAAAGAGCAATGGGAGATTGGGTACCATCGTCTGAACTGTGAATTTAAATTTCAATATTTTTCAGATGAAACAGGTGAAAGAAAAACTCGCTGTAACTCATCAAGAATACTTAGAATCCTTAAAAGTTCCCGAACCTAGGTACGCAGCTAGTGTGCATACACAAAACACCAAACATCAGTTCCCGTTTGTGTGACGAAATGTGTTTATGTTAGTTACGTTTCCGATAAGTCTATTTCCACCCCTTTGCCCGTAGTGCAACGCTTGTGTGATATCAGCATACCAAGAAGTTTTTGAAGTTTCGTAGCATCTATACCTAAAAGTGAATTATCAAAATTGTTCCCCGATGAAATGAAGTAATGTTCGATGTCGTAGCCCAACTTTTCTCCCGCTGTGCAAATGTATTGCGATCTATTTAGCGTGGCTAAGTCTGCTGTCTTGCTAATCTCGAGTCTATTCATGTTTAATAGGGACATCGATGCCGAGTTCGAAGTAAGGAGTAAACTCAGAGATATCTGTTATCTATGCAAGGTATTAAAGAGATTATTTATTTAAGTATCTTCTTTCGACTTGTTGCCAAAATAGCGCTTGAATTTGTTCAATACTTGTTAAACCTTTGGTAGACAAAACGACACAAAGACGCATTTACAAGGTATAAAGAACAATGAAGAATGTGTGTCAACCAAGATGCACTTCGCGCTTTTTGTATTTATATTATAACGTTCTGAGCCTGCAGCTCATTGAATTGCTGTACGTTGTTTAGTTTTTCTCAAAATCCACTTATCACAATAATCATAAGTTATTGAATTATTTAAAAACATAGTTTTATAGTAATAATAAACGCTTGTCTTTACAACATAACGAATAATTACTGTAAAGTTGAATATTTATAAAATCTGGCATTTAATCAGCCTAAAGTATGACCGTCATGCCGTCATTAGCACGCAATGGATCTTGGTTGACACAGATTTATATAAGCTGGAAGCGCGCTACAGCCTTTTCCAGTTACAGTAGCCATCGTCATTTAATGTATGTGATGGCTATGACTTTAAAAACGCTTTCGTGAATTCTTATATCTTTGGATCGTCAACGTCATTTCCAGCATTCCACCATCACGCGTTGTTGGAACGACGTTGTATGATCGTACATTGTATTAGGCGAGTGCTATTTCAATTATTTCTTACTGCATTTATTGCAAAATAATGCACGCATTATTATGTTTGTTTGCAGTGAATTGAATAAAGATGTTTGAATTTTTATTTGAAGGAATATGATGCATTGGATGAGGAGCAACATCAACTCGGTGAAAAGTTGATTGAGCTTGAAGATAATCCTCCAAGGTATGAAAATATTCACCATATCGGCTGTTTTAAATCCCCCTGCCTGTGTGATCTGTTGATGGCTCCATGCATTGGTTTAGGGGAGGCTTGTGGATGTTTTGGTGGTATGAGGGTAATGTTGAGCGACTGAAACTAGTCCAGATTGTTGCAATTTCTTCATGCAAACCTTTTTAAATTTTGATTTTTTTTATCTTCCTAGGTTCTTAACTTGTTATTTAATATCTTTCATCATCGACTTACTCTCGTTATCTTTTTTAGTGATGTATACTTATCGTCTCGTGACCGCCAGATTCTTGACTGGCATTTCGCCAATTTGGAGTTTGCTAACGCTGTCCCACTAGAGCACCTCTCGTTGAAACACTGGGATCAGGACGACGATTTTGAATTTAGTGGTAGTCACGTGACTGTACAAAATGGCTACGCTTGCCTTCCCGCAGCTCTCGCCGAAGACCTTGACATTCGTCTCAATACCGCTGTCAAACAGATAAGATACAGTCGAACAGGTTACTATATACTTATGATATAACTTTCAACTGCATAGTAATAAAGTGAAGCTCGACCTCGTGTTCAAAAGACAAGAGCTAATATACGTGAAACAATTATCAATTCTGATAGATTGAGAGCAGTGTAATTTTCAGTAAAGACCAGTGTCAATTTCTTTTTAAAAGTACTTCTGATTGGTCAAACAAAGTCAAAGAAGTATTCAACTGCATCAGCATACGTGACTGACAAACGTCCATGTGTTTTTTTCTAAATTGCATCCGAAACCATGCTACTATACATACAAAGTCTTTTGGTACGAGGCTTAATTATCGCACAATAAATCCTCTGGTGTTTGTTGGTGGAAACATTGACCATAATCAAATAGCAAAAATTTGAACTTTTGAAAACGGTTTATAAGAATTGCCGATTTCTATGCACGTCAAGCATTCGCGTTATCGCCGTATTTAAAGTGTATACAACACGAATTTTGTATTAAATACAAGATTATCGAAAACTGAACGGACTTTGTTTTTAATATCAATCTTTACATGCCCGTACTTCTGGAACTTTTGAAGTTTTTGTGATATGTAAATTGGATGATTCATTTGTTTCTGATTTACATGTGTAATCATGTTTTATTTTGTTGTTTTTTTTGCCATGGTTCTGTTTGAGCTTTATTACAAATTTTCCATTGTTATGAAAACTGACCAGCTACATTTACAGTGAAGCAAGTCATCGTATAATGCAAGCAATAATTACTACGTTGTAACAGAAACATTTAAGTAACTTTTGGAAATCGAACATCCATTTCTAGCTCCAAACTTTATTAAATGCGTATATTTTCACGTACATATAAACTGACCGTTCAAAAATTTATTTGTAAACACACCCTGGCATTTACTTTGATCTTTTGAATTCATATCCAGGTGTCGAAGTCATCACACAAAGCACGACGAAAGCGGCCATTAGCACGACACAGAGTTTTAAGGGTGACGTGGTCTTAATCACGTTACCGTTGGGTGTTTTGAAAGCCATGCCAGAGACTGTTCAATTTCATCCTCCTTTGCCTGAGTGGAAAACAAAAGCAATAGACAGAATGGGATTTGGGAACTTGAATAAAGTAAGGAATTTTACATGGAAGACAAGTTTAAGGGTGTAGCCGATGCTTGTAGCTTCATACTTAGTTTCTGTTAGGGTGTTGCGATATCGGAAAATTGCACTACATCCATATCAAAAAAAAATATAGACTATATCGAATTATGCATATTATCAAACTTATAAAAAGGTCAATACACCCTCAAAACGAATAGAAAATAAAAGAGGTTTATTCACTATGAATTTTGAAAAAGTACACTTAACTTCAGGAATGATTAGTAGACGAGTCGTTTGAAAGAATGTTATATGCAGTGCGGTGTTTGAAATTAAATGAAGATATCTTCATTTAAGACGAGTCGTTTGTGCATGATGTTCGTTTCCTCGCTGTGATCAATGTCGTGTAGATCATACAGTGGTGAGTTTTGACATGGGACATCAAATTGGACGTGTTTCCTGTCTTTGTTTTTATTTTTTCTTACACGAATCACATGAAGGACCGTTTTGGCAATCCTCCCTTTTTTTAAATAATTCCAAAAAGGACCTCATTGATCTGGCAAGTCGTCGTGATAAAACAGTAACAATGAACTTCGATTTTGAAACATTGAAATTTTATTTAATACCTTTGCCGTTATGCACCAACGGTGACAGTCTGCATAATAGTGAACATTCTATCGTTGTGAGTCATCGCACAGCAATTCAATTGCTTAACTGCCCCAGGTCTGTGTGTGTAAGTTGTCATACAACTGGTAATCCTATTGTGATTTTTTCTCACAATTATTGGTTTTTTGAAAAATGTACCGGAAACCACACAGTAAAACTTACGATATTGTTTCGATATTTTGATATTTTCATTAATTTTGATATTTTCGATATTATTGGTATACAAAAAATGGAATATCAAACATCGATATTTTTGAACTTTCAATTTTATCGACTATATCAATATATCTCAACAGCCTAGTTACTGCCGCCCGAAATTAATTGATGGTAACACTGTAGCAATGTAAGGGGCTGATTACATGAGCCCGGGTAGCCGGGATTCAGTCAAGCGTTAAATGATTTTTGCGAATGGAAACGATTCAATACTTATCATCAGATAAATCTTCTCGAGTCATTTTACAATATTCTGTTTTAGTAACTACGCAAAACATTTAAAATTACAACAACTTATTTAGCCTAATTTGAAAATTACAACAGGAATGGCTTGTGGTGCTTAACAAACAGTTGTAATTTTTAACCTTGAAGTTTTGGAACTCTTTCAATCCCTCGAAATCATTTCACGCTACACTGAATCCCAAGGTCATGTAAACAGCCCCTAAGACAATGACCTAGAACCCAATGTACTAGATATCTGACTTCTTCAAAATTCTATAGTTAAGAGTGAGGTAAGGCGCTATCTTGAAAGTTGGTAAAGCGGACGATATTTACGATTATAATTCACTATGTGAGCATTTTCGGCGGTGATTCGTCAACTACCTACAGATAATAGTTTCTACTAATATGGACTCCATTAAAAGCCGGTTTTTAAAAAATCAAAACAATCAAATCAAAACAATTCACCACGGTTTCTAAGAACGATATGCAAAAGCTTTCGAGCAAAAAAGAAGTCGAAAACATCAAAAAGCGACGAAGCGTGTTTTGAACATATTTACAGCATATTTAAACGAGAAGAACTTGAAAAAACCGTTGTTGTTTCAGCGACAAATTAGCGAAGGTTTGCAAATGTTTTACATTTATCATTTTTAATAATATTTCAGTTAGTTGTGGTGAAAGATAAAACAATTATTGAATTCGTTTTTCGCATGATATCTTCGCTTCGGCAGATAACATTGACCTCGGTCTGAACAATTCTTGATATCATGCTCAACCTCATCCATTAATTGCTTATTAAAATCTGCTCTTCCTGATTTAATATACTGTTGCGAAGTGGATAGTCTAGGTTTAATTTTTAAAATGTTTGATAGGATTGGGTTTTTAAACCTTCTTTTACCTTATTTTTCATTTTGAGCTTTGCTTTTTGCCACCTTTCAAGATGGTCGTCCTTGTCTCACTTTAACTCGATAGTTAGACATAAAATCTGAGTTACTGACTAAAGCGAACAACACTAGTATTTCATAGCTTTACAAACGTTACTGTCTAAAAGTCGGTTAGCTTGATTACAGTTAGCAAAATTACTCTTCGTTCTTATTTTGTTCTACATTTTGGTCAGCCTCAATGTTCTTATTAACTTGGTTCTTATGAAAAAAAAAGTGTAGTTTGAAATTCTTTCCTAACTGAAATTACGATATAACTAATGAAAATTTCGGCTACCTTAACAATTGCAATAATTCATTGATAGCAAAAAACTTATTGGTTACAACGTTCGGATCGGGTGAAATGAAACTGGTCGTTCACAGAGTCTGCGAAGTGATCAAAGCTCATTATGTTTTGTATTCATTTTTACCTCTAGGTTGTCCTATGTTTCGATCGTGTGTTCTGGGATCGCTCGACGAACCTCTTTGGTCACGTGGGAAGCACAACAGCTAAGCGTGGTGAGCTATTCTTGTTTTGGAATCTTTACAAGACACCTATATTAATAGCGTTGGTCGCAGGGAAAGCTGCCAACGAGTTAGAAGCAGTTGCCGACGAAATAATTGTGGGACGTTGTGTTGCTGTACTCAAAGGGATATTTGGGAGCGGTAATGTACCCCAGGTGAGGACAATTAATTTTTAACTATGTTCGTGTGGTTGCATCGGAAAGATGCACGTCGACTGTAAACAATCCAGTCTTTAATTTGTACATCATAAATTCATCAAAACAAGCGCAGTTCATCACAATCGAAGAAATCACTTATTTCAACTGAATGATGAGGAAAATAGGATTAATACATGCATAGTGAATAAACAGTACAACTAATATTTTTATACTTGTCGATCACTGAACCTTAACGTAGATTTTTCTCTCGGAGAAGTCTGAAACCGAAAGATTCTACATCAATTTCTTCCAGCCGCACATTTTAAAATGTATGAATTGATTTATTATGGTATGCACACATGGCAGAGGACTCACTTTCCAGAAATAGTGAAATAATAAGAAGGGTGAAAACCTTTCCTCGACTAATTTTCTTAGGATGTTGAGAGTAGACTGCTACATCACTACATGAAGAATGAAGAGTTACAATTAATATAATTGTAAAATTTTCTTTTAGCAGTTTATCATGTACTAGCTATTTCACAAACCTGAATAAAAGAAATTCTTTTTCAGCCTCGTGAGACCGTAGTAACAAGATGGAAATCTGACGAATGGTCTCGAGGTTCCTACTCGTACGTTGCCGCCGGCTCGTCGGGTAACGACTACGACTTGATGGCTTCCCCGGTCGCTAACTCCAGTCCAGGCGCTGGTCTGGGTCCCGCTCAACCTAGGGTATTCTTTGCTGGGGAGCATACAATACGTAACTATCCTGCTACAGTCCACGGTGCTTTGCTCAGCGGTCTCAGGGAAGCAGGGAGAATCGCTGATCAATTTCTGGGCGCCCCTTATAACGCAGGACGCATGTGAACTGAAATATACGTCATGACAACTAGTAGATCATGTACATATGAAACGAAACCAAGAAACATGAGGAAAGGTTATTTTATTTTGGACCGTTTTTCTCTGTCTGTATTTAGTTTTTGGTGTTTCTGAATGTCATAATTGTTTGTGCGTGAGGTATGATTATGTAATGAATTTATATGTACGTAGATTACATGATGGTTGGCGAGTACATGTGACTTTTCTGCACGAGTTGAGGATTGACTTTTTCAATGACATTCATTTTTATTCATTTTCATCTTTAATTTTTATCATCTGACGAAAATCATTTTCATCTACGCAATGACGCAACTTGTCGTACACTAACACGACAATGGCTTCAACCAAATTTCAGTAGACGCTTTTATTTTTAAAAATTATCTTTCATTTCATAAGAAACTCAATAACTTTTCTCGCATTACCTAAGTGCAAACGATTGTCCTGCTTCGTGTTCCAATGCTGGGATAGACTGCATTTGAGCGTATACTAGAGCGTATACAAAAAAATACGTTACATGTTTGTAAATGTAGATCGTCCAGGTTGGTATAGTCCTGAGGACTGTTTTTGTTGTTGTCGAAACGTCAGTCAACAACAATAAAACAGTCCTTCTTAACTATACCAACCTGGACGATCTATATTTACAAACATGTAACGATACTCCCGGGTTCAAACCATTTACTTTAAGAAAATACATGTTCTGGGTTAGGAATAAGGTTAGGGTTATGGCTCGCGCCAGCTGTTTTGTGGACAGCGCAAGATGTGTACGCCAGCGGTGTACGCTAAAACGCAGTACAATGGCGTAGCCGCACAACTGGGGACCTGTGATAAAAATATTACAAGCCCCCCCCCCCTTCGATAACCATATAAAAATGCAATAATTGCCACATTCACATCCGGTATGTTTTCGTGTCTAGCCTTTAAATTTAAATTTTTTATACATAAGTTCATGATGTGCAATTTTTCTTGTGTTAATCCACAGTATGGTGATAATCATCTAATCTGACAGGGGCCTCCTTAGCCCAAGGGAGCCATGGGTTCACTAACCCTGAACCCATTTATGCCACTTCTGCAATAGCCCCCAATTCTGCTTGTCTGCTGCAATCGGGCAATCGTCAATCATAGTTTCGCTTAGTAGTTGTAATGTAACGTTCGTTACAACTGATTTTATTTTTTAGTCAATGAGAAAATATAACTGTTCGAATTAAGTTGTCTCACCCATCATTTTTTTCTCTCAAAATTGTTAAAGACTCCTCCACCAATTTTTTAACAACATTTAGCTGTCTACCTCGGAAAGAGTTTATTCATAGATAAACAAGTAAAATGGATCAAATTTACTCTATGCTTCAAAAAGGTTTCGGCTTAATTTAATTAATTAGAGGAAGTTTGTGTGAAAAATCAAGTAAAAAACCAAGCTAGAAAGAATAGTTTTTTAGTTTATATAAATATACTTTTTATTTAAATCCAAAACTTTTAATAATTATGTTAAATTTACAATATAGATAGTTGACCAAACATGTACTCAAAATGAGCAAAATTTTTTAATTAAACTTAACCTTCCTCAGCCTAAAGTATGACTGTCATGCCGTCATTAGCACGCAATGGATCTCGGTTGACACAGATTTATATAAGCTGGAAGCGCGCTACAGTCAGTGAAGTTGGGCGAATTTGTTTAATTAAACTTAACCTTCCTTAAATGTTTGTAGAATGTTGACTGGAATTTAAAGCCTTTCTGATAAATCTTCATGGCTGTTTTTCAAGGTTGAACAGAAAAATATAGTCATCATTTGAACATAGGTCAACATATATTCAAAGGTCAAGAATTTAAGACCAGGAAAACCACAACATAAATATTACTTAACACTAAATGCCTCTTTTCATATAAAGTGGTTACATATATTAAACTAAAGTGGTCTTAAAAACTTAATTTCATTCAGAAATTTTATCTCATGAAAATGAAACACAAAACTTAAAACTTTCATTTTCTAAAGTGAAATTGTTAAGGTCATCAGCACTTCACTTGCCACTTCTGTTTTTGCCAAATTTATGTCATCCAAATTGCACAATAATCATGCAGTTTTCTAGAATTGCTTGAATACTTCAAAAATATAGGCACTGTTTACATAAACATAATTCCAAAACATATTCACCCTCAACAACTCATGAAAGAACAATCTTCTCCAACATTAAAATATTCTACGGAAGCATTCTTGCCAAAGAATCTCTTTGATTAGGTGTTAAATTATCGGGTATAGAAACTTGAAATGTAACTACCATATCTCCATGTTGATTGGGAGTCTTCGGTAGAGGCAGACCTTTTCCAGACATGCATTTTGTAGAACCTGGTTGCACAACAGATTTCAATTGCCATTTTACTGATGGTCCTTCTAATGTTGGTATTTCAACAGTACATCCAATTAGTGCCTCCCTTAATGATAAATTGCAAGTATACAACAAATTATTGTCAGCATCTCTTGTGAAATGCGAATGAGGTTTGTCTTTTATTACAAATATGATATCTGCAGGAGTCGTATCGGGTTTTTGATCACCCTCACCAGCAAATGTAATTTTGGTGCCTGCTTTCCAACCTTTCTTGATTTCAACTGTCAAAACTTTTTCCTCTTCAAAGGTCATGCCACCTTCTGTGACATTTCTTGTGATTTTCATTCTCTTTGTTGCACCTTTTAGCAAATCTTCAAATGTCACAGGCAGATCTCGATAGATAGGTGGATCCTTGGGTGCTTGCTTGTTTAAAAGATCACCAGAATGCAGGTTCCCAAACATGTTACCTAGTCCACCAAAGCCCGACCGAAAGCCTGACATGTTGGGACTTGTTCCACCAAAACTTTGTGGACCAAATCCACTGGATTTCATCAAATCTAAAGAAATTAATTGTATGAAAGAGCTAAAAAGTATATATGAAAGCTTTTGTGAACACTAGACTACTTTAACTAAATTAAAATTGGTGGAAAGTTTACACTGAAAAAAAATCCAACACAGATAGCCAGTTATCAATGTGTGCAATAGTAAAAAGATGGGAGAACATACATCAGAAACTAAAGTTTCAACCTTAGGTAGTTCCTAACTAGGGCACAAGGCTGAAGTTTGTACATATAAAGTCCCAAGACTAAACATTAGATCATTCTTGATAAACATTGGAGTGTACAAGAATGCAAATAAATCACTTCTAACAACAAAACCAGACTGGAATGGAAAAGCACTCAAGTTTCAACACCACATAGCTCCTGATGAGGGGTGAAGCTAAAATGCTTATTGGGGGAGAGAAGTGAATAGTCATAAATTTACATAGCTCTGCCCTACTGATTTGTTTTGAAAGCGATTGAAAAAGCTCGTAAAGCTACTTACTATGTAGATTGTATGCAAGTAAAAAATATCGTAAGAAATGAAGGAAGATAATCAGAGCATAAACTATTCAATATTCATGCAGAAATTTCAGTTTTCTAATTTCTATAGCAAATAATTGATAACTTTCCTTGTTTACGTTTTTCTCGCAGGCAAAATTGGTCGAAAGAGTTTTAGGACAATACTAGCAACAATGCTTAACCTTCCTTGAGATTAATCTACTTGCCAGAAACTAGGCAAGTCATCTATTTGTGAAACAGTGACAGCACAAGTGCACAACGATTCAATTTATCGTCCAGTAACAATTCCCTGCCTTGGCAAGTATTGTTTCTAATCTAACAAGCCCACAGTTAGTCGATAAAAATTTACACCACACCTGCAAAAGGATCTTCATCACCGAAGAAATCTTTAAATGTTTTGAATGGGTCTCCACTGAAGTCTCCACCAAAGGAAAATGTTGTAGTAAATCCAGGCCCCATGTGCATTCCTTGGGGTCCATTTGATGATCCTCCTGAGGCTGGTTGTCCTTTGAGACCTTCTTCTCCGTACTTATCGTAAATAACTCGTTTATTTTTATCTTTCAATACTTCAAAAGCTTCGGCAATATCCTTAAATTTTTCAGCTGCTTCTGGCGCCTTATTCTTGTCCGGATGGTATTTCAGGGCCATTTTTCGATAACCTTTTTTAATTTCATCGTCGGTGGCAGTACGGGAAACACCGAGTATTTTGTAATAATCTTTCCCCATTGCTGCTCAATTCAATCGCAATTTTTTCGCAAAACTCAACTACAATATGCCTTTTAATTATTCGGAAGAACTGATATAATTACCTCTTGGTCTATTTTTAGAAATCCAGAGAAACGAGAGCCAATAAAGTTTGAGAATGGAAGTGTTCGGACCAATCAGAGCGAACTTCTCTCCATGACGAAAGAACATTGTGCTTCTGCCTTCTAGGTTATTCTTGTGCGAAGTCATTGTAAATAATTGCACAATATAAATTGTAGGAATTGGATTAGTTTTCTCTATTGATGAGTAGCAGGGATTAAGCATGAGCATTAACGTACCTATTTATTACGATGACCAGCCGTTTTACGGTTGGAACGATAGAAGAAGGGCGCCGAATCGTCCACTCTATCAAAACATTGGTCGACGGCAACCGACATATTTCAGTCTATATAACCCATCAGACGTGTTTAGTGAGTATCCGAAAAGCCAACACTACCAAAAACCTCGTTTCGGGGAAAGAAGATTCGGAAAAATGGCAAAATCGCCCATGCAGAAAATTCCTTCAATGACGAGGAAAAGGATCATTTGGGTGATTTGGGTGGCAGTGGATGGGATATTCCGGTGCATTATGTGGGTAAAGAGGAACACGATCATCACATAAATAAAATGCCAAAACGACGATCATCGGACAACGGTAAAAATTTGCAGAAAAGCGGAAAAGTAGGGAAAGTATACGATGATGGTGAAGAAAACGTTATCCAACAATCAAATAAGAAAGAAAAAGAGAACATAAGAATGTTCTCACAAACTTCAAGTACAAACGATAGCAGTACATCAAAAAGTTTTCCTGAAAGTTCAAAAGCAAAAAGGGAAAAGACTTGTGATGAAACAGTTACAGTTGATCCACCAACAAGAGTAACTCCTCGTGTCTCAAGGCAGGTCAGTCATGGTGACCCACCCACTCCTGCAGAAATTAAAATAACTAGAATTAAGTCAATTGTGGAAAGAACTAATGGTTTTGAACCAAAAATTATTGATTTTGCTGACCATACACAAAGTAAGAATTATTTGTATATTAGTGAAACCCTTATGAAAGCACTGCTGGACTTAGATACTGTAGATTCAGAAGGTTTGGATACTGTTCGCAAGTCTCGCAAGGAGGCAGTGGATGCTGTTCAAGCATTGGTAGACAAACTTGAGGAAAAGTTAGAAGAAAATAAGCTAAAATCTGGAGAACAAAGTAGTTGAAGGTTTTTTTATATTTTATTGTAATTTATTGCATATCATTGTCTTACTAAAATATGTAGTTGCTTGCTTGCTTGTCAAATGTGCAGTTCACTGATAACAACATGACTTTGCATTTGTGTTACGTAATATGAAAATGTAGATTTGCAGAAGAAGTTTGATTATATGTAGAGTTAAAAACATTGCCTGTGTTTTATCTTTAATAATTGTGAAATTATGTTTATCTCATTTTGTTTTCCAATGTAAGCTTGGTTTAAATATTACAACCAGCATTCAATTATAGAAAATTATCTCAAATAATGAAAGTTTGCATAGTATACAAAACATTCTGTTGTAGAGCATTAAAAGTGTGGTGCCTTTAAATGCAAAAAAAACTGCACAGCGTTCACCTTAGAAATTGTACGAAAACTCATACAAAATGTTTTCGTCCATGTTCACATTGAGAAAATCAAATATAAGTCATAAATCAAATCTTTATAAACTTGCCCCAAGTGAACTATAATTAAAGATTGGTACTCATAACAGTAGTTAAACCTAATATTTAAGGGAAATAGGAATTCTCTCATATACAAACATCCCAATGTTGAGACATGACGTCATTAAAAGATGCGTCGTGCTCAGTCATCTTTTTATTATGTTGATCATTTATGTGATAATTGAAAATAGTACGACGTAACTCTTCCATTCACAAATGTTCCTACTGAAAAGCCTTACGTCACTAAAGGCTGGGTAATGCTGACTCACGTTATAAGTCATTGCCTTACGTCACAAAAGGCTACGTAATGCTGACTCACGTTATAATTCATTGCCTTACGTCACTAAAGGCTACGTAATGCTGACTCACGTTATAAGTCATTGCCTTACGTCACAAAAGGCTACGTAATGCTGACTCAGGTTATATGTCATTGCTATATTTATCAATTATGTAATGTCTAAAAATAGAGTCCCCACCTCAAAAAAAACGTTTGGCAGAAAAGGACAATCAGGTATTATTCGCTGTTGCCTGGAAAGTTAAATAAAGTAAAATAAAGAAAAATGCTTGATGATCAATACTGTGTATAAAAAGCTTTAACAATCACAAAACAGTTTAAATTTAAAATGTGTGTATGTTATGCAGTAGAATGTACAGAATATAGAATACATAAAACCAGTCTATACATTTGCATTTAAAAATTTAATAGCTTCATTGTTAAAAATACAAGCACTGTTGGTCTTTTAATGAAATACTACACAGTGCAAGTCACTTGCAACACAATCCTCACTTTAGAATCAAGCAAGCACTTGGCTAGCAACTATAAAAAAATCAGAAAATCAATTATAACTTTGCGCGATAAATTTTACAGAACACAAATTGCTTTTAAGCGAAGTTATAAAAACTTAATTTCCCTTTGTCCTTAAGGACTTTTTTTGTTTATAACTAAGAGATTTGCCAATCTTTCTTTTAATAAAGTATATGGTTTGAACCCGGGAGTATCGTTTCATGTTTGTAGATGTAGATCGTCAAAGTTGGTATAGTCCTGAGAAGGACGGTTTTTGTTGTTGTTGACTGACGTTTCGACAACCTTAGCGGTAGTCATCTTCGGAGTCAAATGAGGAGTTAACGTCAGGTTGGCCGTATTTGTTATCTGATTCTTACGTCATTGTATTGTGTGTACAGGAAATGTGTGGGTGTCAATTGTGTATTGTCATTGTGGATTAGTGTGAAGTGTAATGTTTTCAGTTGATCGTTTGTTTGTATTATGAATAAGTCGTTTGTAAGGTGCCTGTAATTGTTGTGATCTGTTCAGGGGGGTTTGTTCCAAGTTGGTATACCAACTTTCTAATGTAAGGCGTAGTCTATAGTCAGTGCTGTAAGTAATGCATTTTGCCGAGTCCCAGTCAATGTTGTGCTTTGTGAGTCGGTGATGTTCGGCAATGTGATTAGTTTTGTCTTGTTTCTTTGTAGCTCGTTTGTGTTCAGTAAGTCTTATGTTTAAGTTCCTGCCAGTTTCCCAGATATAGGAGGCGTGGCAGTCGGAGCAGTTTATTTTGTAAACTGCACCTTGTCGTTCGTTGGGTTGTTCTTTGTCCTTTATGTTCGTTAGTACTTGTCGTAACGTTATGATTGGTTTATGTAAGACACGTATGTTGTGTGGCCGTAAGATACGCGAGATAGTCTCAGACGTACCTTTGATGTAAGGTATCTTTGCTGTTGTCACTGAGTTGTTCGTTTCGTTGGGTTCATTGGGTTTGTAAGTGTTGCGTTTGATTAAGTCAGAGTTATAGTTGTTCTTGTCAAAAACACGTTTGAGATGGTTGCTTTCGTTGTGGAGAGCGTCCGGTGAATCACATATGATTTGTGCACGTCTTGTTAATGCTCTGATTGTGGTGGCTTTGTGTGATGTAGGGTTGTAAGATGATATGTCTAGTAGTCGGTCAGTATGTGTTGGCTTGCGATAAACTGTTGTTCGTAGTTTTTGATTGTCATGTTTTACCAAACAGTCGAGAAAAGGAAGAGTTTCGTTTTCTTCGATATCTTTGGTAAATTGTATGTGGCTGCTCTGTTTGTTGATGTGAGTGTGAAAGTCATCAATCTCGTCTGCATGTAGTGCTGTGATTGTGTCATCTACGTAGCGTAACCAAAAAGATAGAGCATGTTTGTAAGTCGTGAGCGTCCGTTCCTCTATAGATTGCATTACAATTTCAGCAACTACAATAGAAACGGGTGAGCCCATTGGTGTTCCATGTAATTGTTTGTAGTGTGTACCTTTGTACTGGAAGTCGCGGTGAGGCAGAGCTCCAGTAGCTCCATAATGTCTTCTGTCGGTAATGGCAGTACGTCCGTGGTGTTTGTAAATTGTAATGAGGGTTTTTGTACAAGTAAGTGACAGATTAAGTGGGATACTGGTGAACAGTGATTTCACATCAAAAGACACTAGTATATAGTTGTCCGGTATTTGTATAGTGCTCAGTTTTTTAATGAAAGTTACAATGGATTGTAGCTTGTGTTTTGATTTGTTTGTAAGTGGTTGCAGTATGTCAGTCAAGTACTTTGAGAGTTCGTATGTAGGCGAACCACAAATTGATACAATTGGTCGCATAGGTATTTGTGGTTTGTGAAGTTTTGGTATTCCGTATAGTCTGGGTGGTCGTGGTACTGAACATCTAAGTCGATAGTAAATACGTTCAGATATAATGTTAGATTTTCTCATAGAGAAGATCTTGCTGTTAAGTTTGCGTACTATTGAAGATGACCGCTAAGATTGTCGAAACGTCAGTCAACAACAACAAAAACAGTCCTTCTCAGGACTATACCAACCTTTCTTTTAATCGTACCAACCTTTCTTTTAATGGACGTTTAGACTAAATATCCCTCATCAATATATTCATTAGGTACGATTAGACCACAGAATAGATACGTAATCTATTCTGTGATTAGACTAAATATCCCTCATCAGTAATTAAACAATATGCCTTGTTATCACATTTTATTTTCCTCGTGTAGAAATTCTTAAGCTTGCATCTTCACTTTCCCACGGCTGAATCATTTTCAAGTCTGCTGAATAAAAAAGGTTAATAGAATGATGTCTTCGGCAAGTCCTTTAAAACCACAATAATTCGAGTGCAAGTTTACCAAGTCGAAAGTCTTCTTGCTCGACTGTTGTTACATCGTTAATTCTTCAGATTCAGGCACGAGTAAATCTTTCGCCATATTGTTCAAAATCGACAATCTAGCGTCATTACAAGCTTGAGTGCCTCAAAATTTATGTCGTTAAGTGATAACAGAAATCGTCTTTCCCTCACTTCGGTACTTTCTTGTCACTAAATTGGGAAACCAGTGATCAACCATCAATAACTTTGACAAATATTAAACTCCGATATGTATTTGCAAAGCGAATTCATACACAGGCTCGCTGAACCAATTCAAAAACAGAATTCACAATTAAATACTTTGATGGGGATTTCTTCGTTCCAGTACTGACCATGAACAATGAATTGGTTGTCAATATTCAAATAAGTGAGCTCAAAATTTGATGAAACCATTGTCAAATTGAACAGTCTATTGTATTGATTATTCCCTCCACAACCATGTGATTACAAAGTAAACACATGTTTTAAAGGATATTAGTGATTAAATGTTCCCTTAAGCCTCAAGAGGTTTAGTAAAAGTTCCTTGGACTGAGCCCTCGGACTTTTACTAAGCCTCCCTCGGTTTCGGGACATTAATCACTAATATCCTAAAAGCATGCGTTTACTTATAATAATTATCTTATGGGTCCGTCCATAAAGAAAGTTTTTAGCAGTCGCAAATTATGCTTCTTTATGAAGAGCACAGCTTGTGATATTGTTAATAAGGTGTGTGAAGCAGTAGTTGACGTGCTTTTGCCTAGTGTCATTAAATGGCCAGAAGGAGAAGCACTGAAATCAGTCATAAATGGTTTTGCAACTCAATGGCATTTTCCTCAGTGTGGTGGTGGTATAGACGGAACTCCTATCCTCATCAGAATACTCAGAAAATTACGTCAGAAATAATAAAGTACAGGAGCTATGAACTTGGGATTTGTCTCTCTTCTCACTGGAAACATATGAGATTTGAATCACCAATAGTCAAATTTTCAGTAGCAATGTTGAATAGCCTAATCATCTTATCTCTATTTACATCTATCCTAAATATTACTATCAACTAATAAAGAAATACTTCAGCCAATTCAAAAATACATTAAGTGATATTTACATATTACTAACATCTATTGCATTCTTTTTCTAAGAATATACCTATGGACTGTTTACTTAGCTATAAGTTTACAAACATCAATATAAAATGTACATGATGCGAGGATGTTCTCTAATTCATCAATGTTTTTAAGGGGCAACAAAGAAACCTTTTCCAAACTGCAAGTATCAGTGTCGCGTTGAATTTGTTTTTTTTAATGATATGTAAGAAACTCATTTTAAATAACGTAAAATCTATTGACGGCATAAGAGGTCATTTTATATGCAAAGCACTCTACACCTAATGATGTAAAGTTTGTACCGTGCATTTTTGAAAGTACCCTCATTAAACAAACAGTCATTGATTCTATGTTGCTTATTTTCATAATATCTTTGGCTTTGCTTATCAAAAACAAGGGATACACATAGGTACTATAGTTGGCTATTTGTGTGGTTTTACAAATCATATAATGTGGAATTAGAACAATTCTTTTTGGAGGTAATATTCCATAGTTTGTTGCCTGCAAAGTTTTGCATCTTTTTCAGCTTAAGTAAACACAAAATATCAATGGCTCGAAAAATTTCAGAAATATAGTGTTCAGAACTGACACAAGTGTCCGCTTTACCACGGAAGGCGTTGCCGTAAAATAGGAGACAACACGTTCCAGATTTTCCCCAAATATTTTTCTTCCCAGAGCAGAAATTGTCTAAAATATCTCAAATGGGTTTAAGTGCATGTTCTCTTTTTAGTCCAGTTAGAAAGCTTTAAAATTCTTGCTCAAAACACCGTCAAACTCCATCCAAAGCTTCCTGGTTGAAGCTTGCCTGAACAGTGGATTGTCGAGGAAACTTTTTCAGAAATGAGTGTAACACTGCAGAATCTGCATTTTATGTCGTATCCTAAATCAAGTATCCCTGAAATTACGTAATCAAAATGGAGTTGATCGATTGCAAAGGACATCAAATTATTGAAATTTCAATGGTGAAATACTCAAAAACTGCGGGTCTTTGAAGGTGGAAACAAGTGAATAATCACTTTCTATGATATAATCCACTTATCTATCGTGTTAAAATGTAGTGCCCGATCGGGGACAACGAAAATCGTTCTTAAGTGACTTTTTGTGCCACAGAATACGGCCTACAGTAGCAGAAGCTTAATTAATATTGCTGAGCTCATTCTTAAGGTATGGGGAGTGATTTCTGGCAGCTATTTTGTACAAAATTTTAAGTCTTTTATTATTATTGGGGACTCAATGAAGCCACCATCACACCCTCCTAGTATCTGCTACTGTTACATGCAATGCTGCTTGAGCTAGGAAATCTTTGTACTTCTTATATGTATTTTGACTTTTCAGATGTTTTATTTTCGTTCTGCATTATTTGAAATTGCGATTGAAAGTCAAGAAAGTAGGGGCGAATCCAAAGCACCTCTAAATAAATTAAAGCTCCTCGATTTTAAATTCAAATTACATTTACCAAAAAACTATTGGTTTTTAATTTCTAACGAATATATTTCTGCCAGTGAATTTGCCTCTAAAGTGTTTAGAAGGATAAATATACGCCAAAATGTGCTGCAGTAATTTATTTTGAGGTACTCTAAATCCGGATTGAAACTCAACGTTTTCATTTGCGAATTCACTTTGCCGTATATATAGCATTTTTGTGAGTTTTAGACAGCATTTCTAAAATATTTTCCTGACTCCAAATATTAATATGCCCTAAAACTTCCTCGTCACTCCATGTTTCCCCTCTTTGAGCCATTTTTTCAAAATAAACTTTAAAGTTTTAACACTAGAGCTCAGCAGAAAACAAGGCGTGTAATCGATTACAGTGTAATCGTGTATTCGATTACCCTGTGAAAATGCTTAAATTACGGTCTTTGCATGAAAATGCGTGAATTATAGTCTTTGCTTGAAAATATGTGAAAATCATAAAAATGCGTGAATTATAGTCTTTGCTTGAAAAATATGTGAAAATGCATAAAAATACGAGAATTATAGACTTTGCTTTAAAATATGTAAAAATGCGCGAAAATGCGTGAATTATAGTCTGCGTGAAAATATGTAAAAAAATGAATGAAAATGCTTGAATGTAGTCTTTGGGCGAAAAATTGTGAAAATGCGGGAAATGCATGAATCATACTCTTTAAGTGAAAAAATATGAAAATTTGTGAAAATGCATGAATTATAGTCTTTGTGTGAAAAAATGAGAAAATTTGTGAAAATATGTGAATTATAGTTTTTGTGTGAAATTATTTTAAAATTGTAATCGATTACATTGTAATCATGTATTTGATTACAGTGTAACACGTAATCTATTACATGAGCAATTTACGCTAAAGCGTGAAAATAAAAGAAAAAATGCTTGGCTGCTAAATAAAAAATATTTAAATTGAACTGCAACCGATCCAAGAGCATCTCTCGAGGCGGTCTAGTTTAGATCGATCTTAATTTGGTCTCGGCTCGTTTTTGACTGTCCACACTTGGCTCGTCAGGACTGTAAATCGAACCTGAATAGATTTAAATCGCTAGTGTTAACGCCCCCCCTAAAAGTATAGCCCATGCAATCCCCCAATCCATATATTGGTGCGCATTGTATAATTTCCTAATAAAAATCTTGTTACTCCCACATTCATTGTAGTGTATTTTATATGTTTTCCATGTTGTATTCGTAAGGAATGTGAACTAGACCGGTTATCAAATCTGTGCATGAGCAGCCAGGATCTCAGTCAAGTGGGATGCTTTCATTTTCTATAAGAACACAAAGTGGCTATTTTGCCTCAGTGAGCTGGGATGCAAACAACACTTTGGCGGACACGTGACATTAGTTCCATATCAACAATGGCGGAAACTAGTGAGCTTGTCTTAAGTAAACCGTTTAAGAAAAGAGCATTTTGCTGGAATTGACTGGGTGCAAAGCGTGAATGGAATATCAAGCAATTGAATTTGACAAGGACTGAAAAGGCTAAATTGTACTAGATGGTAGGCGTTTCGCTGTTTGGTCCAATGTCGTTAACTCCCACTACCACCGCTCCCCCTCCCCTTCTCACAAACTAATTGTTCGAGACGTCTTAAACGCCATTTTCCACATTTTCAGCCAAGTTTCATGATAGTCTGAAAGCCACACTACGACGATTTCTGAGCAAACATATTTCAAAAGAGCAACTTTCCACTGCTAACAAATCTAAGTGTGCCATTGTATTCGTATGTTTTTGTCGATAATATATAGGTTTTAATTTCTTCGTACGTACACTCTCCCCTACTCCTCTTATACTTCTTTCCCTGGCAATGCCATTCTCTTTTCCTTAGTTGCCCGCAGATGCCATCAAAATATCACGTTTTGTAAACCAAGTTTACAGCAATGTTTTACTGATTACATTCAGCTTATTCCATATATTCTATTTCACAAATCCCTAGATCCTGTTCACATTGTTTTATTTCATAAATTTTTTCAACACACTTGTATAAGCATTATGATCTTCTAATGATCGAGAAATAGTAGCTTCAAAAACGTTTTATAGATTCTACCAAATTTAGGCATGAATATCGAAAGCTGGCTCGGTTTCTCTTGTTAAATTTTGATGGTTGCATCGTATCAAAGTATTTAAGGAATTTAGTTGCATTACGAAATCTGTGATGTTAACTCAAGCTGGTGAGTTGAGAGACTAATCTCTGACGCAAGTTCGACTTTCACATTATCTTTCAGACTTCCGAATTTATCGAAATGACGAATCAAAAGATGATTGCTCAATTTATGAAGAAACTATACAATATGATACACGGTTATTAATTGAGACAGCGTGCAGTCAGAGACACATATCTTTAATCCTTTTTAATCCCCACATTGAAAGAAAAGGATAAAGCGCGGTAACTTCGTAAAACATTGTACTTGGTGGAACCGACACAATTAAAAAAAATTAAGTTTTATCCTCAGGTTCATTCCCCATGCCATATTAAGTCCTAGAAGCGCCTTTGATTACATGCATTGGGAATAACATTACAAAATTGGAAAATGTTTTTGAAATGTTTATATACATTTACAGCAGATGCATCTTTATATACAGCCACAACCTACGCTTTACGTCAGGCACATGCCAACAAATACGTCAAGAACTATCTGTTTTCCAATTGGCCATTGTTGAGAAAGACATCAATGTAACACGACATTTCCACTTAAAACCGACGCAAATCTTCCAAACTGCGTCAGTATATAAACATCTCAGGAAAGAGACGAGTAAAAAAACAGACGTCGGCTTTGAAGAAGCTACAATTCGGTGAGTTTCTCTCGGCATGATTTGAAATGTTATGTATTAAGGAACAAGGACGTCGATTGCATGTTTACATTTATTGATGGTCTATTCACTTCAACATATAATGACTTCATCAATTGAAAAATCTGCTGCATTCAACTACAGTTTTTTTCACACAAAGGATGAGATAGTTTGAAACATATTCGTGGTTTTGTGAAGTGTTTTCTCATTGTGTAATGTACATCACAACTCTAACTTTAAACATTATATTATCGTTACTCTCCCTAGCTTTCTTTAGTCGAGTCTTTGCTGTGCAAAATACTTTATGTGAAACAGTTATCACAGTTGTCCCTATGTGCAAAATATTTAATTTCAAACAGCGGGATATTGTAGTCGATATTGTATTTTACACATAAACATGAAGAACTTATCGATCTCAACTGCAGTTAATCTTATTGTTTTCATATAATCAGTGCCTTAATAAGTACCTCATACACAATCTATTTGATATTGAACCGACTGATATCGAAACAGCTGTACATCTCTTGAATTTAACCTAAATACAGTTAACGCTTCAATGTGAAGTACTTTCGAATATTATTATTAGCAGAAATTTTGTATGTCCGCTATTACCCCAAAAATGTAGTTTGTGCGGGATAAACTAGTCGAAATATGTAAATAATAATGAAAACAGCACAGCTGATTTCGGTAGAATCCATTTGACCTTTCGTGTCAGCGTCGTAAATGTTTCAAATAAAATCTCTCGAAACAATAGCGCTTGTAGTCGATAATTTTCATAAATTAAAATAAATAAAGATTATTTATTGATGACGGGAAGGGTGTTTGAATGATGGGTGTTACTTGCCGAATGTTGTGTAAGAAATTAAAGAGCTCAATTTGTCTGATAGTCAAAGCACTTTTAAATAAGAAATGTCTTTGATCAACAGTATTACAATATGTTATTATTGATCCAAATACATTTTCACTTCCTAAATGGCGGCCTTCCACACTGTTCGTGTTATGTTGGTGGCTAATCACCGACTATAATCCATAAATACGTGAAAACATGACAATTACGATCACTTTGTTAGACTGTCAAACAAAGTAATGAGCTTTTTCAATCCTTTGAGTGAAAATAACGTACATTTTGATTGGCAACTATCCTTGCTTGTGAAATCAATTCAACTAAAAGGCACCAGTCCATAGCAACCTCCAATATAATTTTCAGGATGCAAACTCCCTTTTTAAAAAGCTTTTATTCTACTGAAAGAGCATCCTTATCCAAATATTTTTTGAAAACCCAAGCAATTTCCTTAACTAGAAGCCGACTATTGTTTCATACGGCTCTGAAGTATATGGAAATATTTATTAATAGTATATCATATAGCTTCTTACAGTTTTCCATTTTAAAACTTCCATTAATTGATCAATTTATCAAAATAAATACACCGTGCGGGGGAGTTTACAAAATGTCTTGCTTTTATTTCCAAAGTGTTGAGAACAGCACGTTTGTTTGCTATATTTTCTTTTAATGTCGAGAACAACTAATTCATTTTCAATGAAAATTATCAATGTTTTTGGTTGCTTGTTTATGCAAAAGTTTTTTTTGATCTTTCATAGTTCGTGCGATTTGTACAAAGTCGTATAATGCTACTCTATAGTATCAGTATAGTATAGTATAGTATAGTATAGTATAGTATAGTATAGTATAGTATAGTATCATTCAGGTAATCTATATGTAACCACATAAACAATAAATTAAACAGCCTAATCTACAACCATTTACCACATCTACCGACATGCGGAATTAAACAGAATGAAAGCATCACAAGCCTCTCCCTTTTCTCGACAATACAACAATTCTTTGCTATTTCAACTCTGGGTTTAAAGCAAAAAGACAGGAAATTTTAAAAGAAAGTTTTATCAAACGTGAATCTGAATCTTCTCGACCAAAATGTTACCTAGCGTAAAGGAAGGAAGATTATAACCGGTTTAACCAATTTACATATAGAAATAGTGATTTCTTCTCTTGACCGTCATTTGCGTAGTCGGTTCTATCATTGGGGGAAATATTCATATATCACATGAATATGGTTTTAGCTTCCTGAACTACTTTTACTCATAATTGTGTTAATCTAGCTCCATCAAATTTTTCATATCAAAATCTGTTTTCACCAATAAAAGCAAGATTTAGATTGTTGTTACTAAATTACAGAATAATCGGACACGACCAATATCTAACATTGGGATGGAAATGAGAACGCTTCCTGGATTTGTGCCGAGCAGGATGTCGTCGTATCATCTTCAAGGAAACCATGCAACGAAAGAATTTCATCCAATCAGGAGTCATAACTATAACATCTTGCCTATGACAACCGCTTTTCAAAACAAAGCCCACGCAGTTTCGTCTAATTATTTTGATTGCCTTGATCTCGTCGATGAGACAACGTTATCATCGATGATATATGAATTGGGTTTACACACGTTGCAAGAGCTACCCGACTTGCAGGTTATGTTTGGCCCGCGCAATCAACCATCCCCCAAACAAACACAAAACTCGGAACAGTCTCTTAGAACGAGATAACTACAATTTCGTTGTATTACGCTAAAAAAGGTGAATTGGGATATGTATAGTAAGTACTTTTGTATAAAACTGGAAGCAGTGAAATAATGAATTTTCAATAAAAAAATGTTTGTGTATCGAAAGATTCTTGGAATACATAATCTGGCAGGCGATCACACTACTTGCTCGACATGTTGCAGTTTGTTGCAGCATGAAGATGCGCAAATTTTTAGCAAAATATGATGGATTTACTCTATGGTGTCTTCTGATTGGTTGATTAAAGTAATTTGTTGGAGCTCATTTCCAGCCTTCTCACTCGATAGAGACATTTCAAGACATGAAGCAGGCCTGTTGGTTTTATAAACTGTTCTTTAATGAAATAGTAATTAGTTATTGTAAAGTATTATAGTAATATAGGTAGATATTGCTTGTAGGTTGAGAATTCATCAACAACTTCAAATTCACGAGAATTGGTGCAAATATCGGAAGAGACGAACGGCGACAAATATCACGCTAATTTCTAATTTGATAGTCTTTTTACTGAAATTTGCCTAAACATTGATTGCCAATTGAAGATAAACGAACGTGGGTGGACGGGAGGATATGGGTATTTTGAGTGGAATGATGACTTTACGCTCTTAATTGTTAAAAAATATTTTTATCTACACCATTTCTTGAGTTTAGACTTGCATGGCCATTGGGCATGGCGAACTGGCGTGACTGAGGCAAGCTGCGCACTCGAAAGTGGGCGTGTATTGGTTTTGTCAAGGGCCCAACTTTGCTATGGTTGCAACTTGCAGCCCCTCTGATTTGAAAACAATGGCGAAATCGGACAAAATTTTTTCTTCTTATATCTAATTTTTTAAACAAAATTATTATTACTTTCTTTTTAAATAAATTTAATTTATTGTCTTTTCTGAGAATGAACACAACATTTTCATATGTAGTACGGTGACACGATGTCAAACACAAGAGACGTGACAATAAAGCTTTCATTTATTTGCAAGTTGAGTTGTGTAATATTATTTATACCATCTACTGCACTGCTTAGAAATGACTCGTGCACACTAGGGGCAAAAGCTTTGGAAGCTTTTAAAGGTAAGCTCATTATTGAGTATTAACATACGAGTATTGAAATTTATGAAACAAAAACAATATTTTTTGATTACATTTATCAATAGCTTTGCTATTTGCCTAGACACTATCTGTAAGCGAATTCAATATAAATGTAAGAAAAATGATACAAACAGCAGAGCATAGGATTTCTTTAGTAGTTTTCATTGTCGAAACATGACTTTCGATGCATGGACAATATTCCCGCCAAACAACTTAATAAATATTTAAGCAGTGCGCTCACACGTTTGTTTTCAATCCTTCTCAACTCGTGCATAAAAATCGTACGCACTCACCAACCATGCAGTAATCTATTATTAGTATAGGTAATAGCATGGTTTTGAGTGCAATTTGAAAAAAACATACACGAGTGAGTTTTTCAAAGACTACTAAAATTGCACGAGTCCGAAGGACTACAAAAAATTGACATTGTATTGCCATATAGAAAGCACTAAAACTATCAGTAGGTGAAGCTAATTTGTTATGTAACAACTGTAAAACGAAAAGGTTCCATGGTGGAATCTTGCTCATGATCTGCAAGCGTTTTACAAACCGTTTTCTCTCCAAAATTATTGAGAATAAAGACGTGAAAAACAGGGAGAGGTTTATACTGTCAGTCAGAAGAGTTCTCATGGAGTATTTACATAAAAAAAATTAAAAGTAAACCGCAAAAATTATTTAATTTTAACAAAGCCAAACACCACTCAAAATCCACCCAAGCTTATCCAAACGTGCGCCTCAAATGTCCTATGACGCTTAACTTAGGTCGGTTCACACCGTGACATAAACACAAGCATCAAAGCAGAACAAACAACATTTTACACTGGTTGAGACGTGCGTTTGTTTGTGTTTTATTTTATGCTCGTTTCAACCGTGTTGCTGAAAAACATCCATACAGTACAAGGAGTTCACGCAATTTCATGATCCGTTCAAAGGTTCGAAAAAATCATCAGTTATTAGACATCACATGAAATTAAGAAAATCACGTGCAATGTACAAAAATCTTCACTGATCCACCAACCCTGCCCCCCCTAAATATAATATGGCTCCAGTCCTTTGATTAACATACTCTTCTTCATACTTAAAGACTGAGTTGATTTGTATGGAATAAATTTATACTCCAGTACGTAAATCTCTCTAATAAAGTAATATTACATATGTACAGTTCAATGAAACACGTTAGTGAAGCTAGTCTAACTGTCGTTCATTAATATTCTTCTAAAGCAGCCGAATTCAGTTCTAAAACAGCCAAAACAGTCGTCGGTTAATTCTTTCTATCAATTGCGAATGTTCTATCAATTGTCAATGACGTACGAAAAAGTACGTTGAAGTGGTTTGTATGTGGTAGTATTTACGCAAAATCTTCGTTTACATGCTAAACTCCAAATAGTACGTTATTTCTCTCGTTCTATTTTGCCCCAATAGAAGTCGTCATCGATAATCCATGGATTAAAGTTGAGCTGATGCTCTGTAAGTGAGATGTTTCAAAATCCAGGCAATGACATGATTATGTCCGTTTAGACGCGTTCCCGCTCTGTTGTAACATACGTCTCCGGCGAAACAGTAGAGATAGGTCTGGAAGAGTGTGCAGCGATTGCAGTTCGAGTTTTTCAACCATGTTCGTAAGCAAAGCATCATCCACCAAGTCCAAACAAGACAAAAAGTCGCAGTTGGCTGATGACCTTGAGTAGCAGTTTGCAAAGGTCGTATGTGGTTGAGTTCGTATTCCCTCGTGAAATGAACGCGATGGTTGTTTAGATATAAAAGCTTTCTGCATTCTTCTTCACTGATAATTACACAAAGTTCAAAACTCAGCTGAGCTTTCTTTCTTTTTCAAATTAGTTGACGTTGAATCTACGAAGTGACACGATGAGATAAGTAAGTTGACAAAACTATAAATGGCGGCATTTAAACGCTAATTCAATAATCATCGTGTCTATTCAACGTTTAATTCATCAATTACTCGTTGCGTACACATACCTGCGACATGCACAAACATATTCCCAACGCATGCAACGAATCTGTAGAAACCATGTCCCGCTAGGCTAAAATAAACGGTATTATATACCGCAGCGATTAGACTCTTTGCACGTATCTTGAAAATTGTGTTGCCAGCCAGAAAGGAAATGTGCGTGAAATTCTTCAAATTATTCGAATGTTGCTAGAAGACTATTTCACACTTTAGGTAACCATAGTTAACAAACGGCAAATGCTTTTTGAAAGACAGGACAATCAACTGCGAAATGGGTTTTTAATTACATTCCAGTAGAAATTTTTCGATTTTCTGTCACAAACATATCCGGAGAGAAATGACCAAAGTGAAACGTAGCAGTCAAAACAAACACTACAATTACGATAACGTATTTAGTCAAAATCATTCTGCATTGAATGGACGTGCACGAGTTTTCCCGGAATACCAACACGTTTACGCGAATGAATTCGCTTTGTAATCATCAACACCACGCTAGGAACGTAAAATTCACGACAAACGAGTAACTTCAGGAGGTGTGAACTCAATAAAAGTTATGCCAAACAGTACCTAGCATATTTACGCGAATAAGCAAATACAATAGCTAATACCTTAACGCAGGAGCGAGTAAGTTTTATCGCGACAACAATCACGAATACATAACGAGAAACTGTAATCTTCATGTGTATAAAACATCGAACAAAAGTCCTATCCTACACATAAACGCATATATTCCAAACTTACCAAAATATATGCGCGTGGCTTGCTATGAACAGGTGCTTGGGTTTCAATCCACTACAATGACAACGTCAATACTTTTAGAAGCGCGAACAGATATGAGAATAGATCTGAAACGAAGTCTTTATAATACATGTGACGAAGCCCGGCGAACTATGACCTATTTTGCTAAAAGCGTTCCATTTCAAAAGCAACCCCGTCATATCGAATGTAAGATTTCCTGTTATTTGCTTTCAAAAGTGCTTTAGTGAGTGGAATGGGGAAGTATGACGTAATACTCAGTCAAACAAGATCGCCTGAAGATGGTTGAATATGGCAATTTTCAACGCAAATTTTAGCACAGTTCCCCATAACGTATTCGTCAAGAAGCTGATTTATAAAAACTGTAATCTACCTTCATATGTGTCTGCCGAAAGTAATAATGAAAAGAACAGCATAGCTTAAAATAATAGAATTTGAAAATGAAATCGTTGGTATGAAGATCAAAAGCATTTTCTCCTCAAATATGCGCAAGCTCGTTAGTCGTTTCGTTTCCATGACCCCAAGGTATGTCAAGCGGTCTTATCTGACGTTAATTGGCTTATTTCCTGAATAAATGAAAGTTTTCTTTCACGAGTCGACCGTAGGAGTATCGTTTTTCGTGCGTAGGCAAAACGTTGGCCGAGTCTGGTCAAACGTATGTAAATTTATCTTTTGTTTTGTACACCCAGGAAAAAGCGTCAAAACTTTAAATATATTTGATATTTATTTTGCAATTTTCAATTCCAAAAATATTTTGTGACGTAAGAAAGCGGTTGCGTTGACTAATGACAACCGTGTTTCAGTTACATGAAAGTTTCGATTAGTGTTATAAGCGGCTGTATGTGAGAGCGTGGCATTGAAATATTTCAAAACTGTCTTAGCAACTGACGCAACACTGAAATATAATAATTATTTCCACTATTCTCGTGCTAATTGTGCTTTCTAAATTGATGTAAGTAGTGTGCAAATCGCAAATCATTGCGACACAAGATTGGTATTAGATATGGATTAATAACATTTTACTTACATCAATTCGTAGACTAGTAGTGTTTGTGCAGATGTAGCTAAGTTCCTCTTGTTGTTTGTAATGATAGGTGTAAGGGAGCTATAATTTTTGTTGGGTGGGTGGGGGCAGTAAATATTGTCACAATGAAAGTTCTTCATTAATTTTCCAGATTAATGTTAAATATTTAACCAACTTTTCAATATTCAAACTTTCTTTGGAGGGAAGTTTGAAGTTTTCACAGGCGTCCAGTACGCCTGTGTTTGCTGACCGTTAAATATGGTGTTCCCTTTTTTATCTATGCCCACTCAAAGTGTATTTTTTTATTTCCCGCAGTGTCAGCAAACACGTTTACTCACATTTCGTGGTTCATGTTGACCAGAATGGGTTTTTTCGGAGTTGTTCTGCGTCACAGGAGTGACATTGACAAACAAGTCAACTAAACTAATTAACAAAATCAAAACACTCGTCTTGCACACTCAAGGATTTGATAAAATTATTGTTCTTGTTTATTTATTCACCTGTTCTATGATATTCTCTATTTAAATTAAAATGTGCTTTCAAAGGAGAGCAATCTTTGCAAAAAGACCACATCTTGTGGGATTTTCCCAGTCAGAAGTAAGTTCAAATGACAAATTGTTTAGTCTTATGAATCTGTGTTGTGTTATTGCATGTTTAAACTATTATAAAGTTTATTGTGCAAATCTATCTTCTGGAAGGCTCCAAGAGGGGGTGTCGTTAAAAAAGGGAAGGTGCGAGAGGTCTCTTGGAATCTTGGCATAAATGCAAATCATTACATAAAGTCAAACTGTTTCTACAAAATCCTCCCAAAACGTCGAACTATGAAAGTCCATGACGCCATCTTTGAAGAATTTTTGCGATTTCGTAATGTCGTTCAAATGATTTATGGACATAAATTCCAGCAAACTGAACTAACCTTACCCACGTTAGTCTAGACATATTGCATTGCAAATAATTGGCTGCCTCAGCAGGCAGCTTTGTATAGGGCAGATATATTGCTCGTGGGCAAAAAGTGCTATTTTTGCAATGTATTTGTTTACGAGTGAAACGTAAATTTTCTAAAACTTACTTAAAAGCGACGTAAATTGTTCAACGAGAAAGCAAACTGTAATCAGACAAAAGTTATCAAAGCAAGAAGAGTGAATTTTAGTATCCAGACGAAGCAAAGTTTGTTGAACACAATCCAATTTAGTCTCGACATTAAGCCACAACGGCCATTTTACAACGCAAATTTCTTCATAATAACAATAAAAAAATAAATATGTTATTTACTGTTTAGGTCGGTCTGTACTTAATAAATATTTTGCCTCACAGACTCTCAGTAAATAACATATATTTATTATATGGCAAGCGTCACTTCCGGCAAAATGGCGCGTTTTGATTGGCTCAGAAAACATTTTAGCCGACCATTATTTTCCGTAATGGGCCCCGGTCAAAAACGCATAATTTACCGTCAAATGCTAAAAAATTCGTAAATAAACAGCAAAATGCAAGGAAAACGAAACAAAAAACCATTTACGAATGTGAGTCGAAGGAAAAACACTTGGAAAGCAGTTTAACTATCCAGACGATACAATTTGAAACAATTTCTTTTTTACTGACGAAAAGTAGACAAGTGAAAGCCAACCTGTACAAAACAGCAAGGGCGAGAAAGAAAGCATTAGTCGTTTCATATCAAATAGTGATATATAATAAACCTTCCATTGACCTCGCTTTCCCGTTTTTTATTGAGAAATACTGGACCTCTATGTTTTTGTACAAACCTCTCCCTACGGGTTCGTTCTGTAAAAAAGAACTTCGGTCCGATATTTTTCTGTAAAGACCTCCAGCTCATTTAATGAGGGCTTAATATATTGTAATATAACATTACACAATTTCCACAGATGTAGTCCTGGGTTCCAGTCCTCCAGTGTTGGCTGCTTTTATCCGGAAATCTTTATTTGAGCCGTTGGTACTCAGGAAATACACATTTGATCCAAAAACTAATTCAGAAATTGCTAAATAACTTTTTGAGATCGAACAAAATGAATAAAAACTACACTACCGCTTAGAAATAAATTTACCAAAACTCGTTCGATTTGCGTTCTAATTGCCATATTAAAGTAATAAATACGTTTACTTTATTTGAAATTGCCATTGTCTTTTAAAACGTAACAGAAGCAAGTCTGCTAAATCTAAAACTTGGACCATCATCTTGACTTTCCACAATCAGCTTCCAACGTACATTTGAAACCCTCATTAAAACTTTATTAAGATGTAAAATTTTACATTAAAGGTCAAACGGCGGTATGACAAGAAGAGGAAATCACCAAAATTCATTTTGTCGTAATGTACCGCGAGGCGGCAATTTCATGGTGGTCGGTCGGGAGAAAGTTTGCGCCCTATACATATATATATATATATATATATATATTTTTTATATATATATACAATAGAAAAGATTCATAAAAACTATGATACAATAATACCAACTTATAATCTCTTTTCTGGATTGAGTTTGGGTGGTTTCAGTAACTTCCCTCCGCTCGTTTTCTTTGTCTTTTTCTTGCCTTGTTTGAAATCTCTCCAACTGTTTACGCGGTCCTGACGACTTTCCTAATAAGCATAGATTAAGATTGCAGAGATCATTGCTATTTTTGGCAGTAACCTTATATTGCATGTGATTGGCCACGTCCCGTAGCACCATGGCAACGTTTTGGAAGAGAGAAAACGTGTAGAATTGGTTTTAAGGAGACATAACAGGTTTCTATTCTTTTACTATTTTTTCCAACAAAACGCACCAAATGAAAAACGCATTTTTCAAATCTTTAGAAATTATATTTAAAAGTATGGACAGTTAGGTGCCTATGTGATACCCGGGGGTCACGCTATCATCGGAGTTTAAGTCTTCGCCTACAATAAGGATAAGAACGAGAATCTGATCTCAATGCATCAAACTCTATGGTGAAAACTGATCAGGTTCTGGCAGTGCGCTCTTTCTACATTTTTAAAGTTGGTTTCTATGTGACTTTGTACATGTTGATAATATGGTTAAAAATTATTATTTACTTAAAGCTGACCAATTGTGTTAATGGATGGTGTTATGTATCCATGGAGAATGGTGAAGAAAAAGAAGGGAATTCTTAAAAATTGAATGTGCTCTCTATGTAAGCAATCACAGCTCTAGTACCTCCCATTTTTTGTCCCATTCCTTTGATTTTTTCGCATCTTCTTCGATTTTAATCTCCTGCTCCCTCTGTCGTTTTCTGCACAAGAAAAAAATCCACATTGTAAAAATATGTACACAATAGCGCACGTGACAAATAAATATATTGTCACAACATTGTTTCGAGTTGGTATCCTTTAAAGTGAAAATGCGCTCGGTGTCAGAGCCGGCGAGATTAAATTTCGGGATTGGGGAGATCTTGTTTCAGTGCCCAGTGGCGTCATGATTTTAAACATTTGCGACTGCACAAAATGTGTGCAACCTGTCTTGAAAGTCGAAATATTTAATTTCATCTCAATTTTTGGTCATTTCTCAAGTCAAGTTGAAGGACTAGACAATAATACCCCGTCCCTCCTCCTCTCCCCTAGGAAGGCCTGCTCGGTGCTCTAGCAATAATACTCATCTCTCAAGTCAACTACGACGAGAATTAAATAAACCTACCTTTCCACAGCATCTCTTTGATTTAAATGTTTCCTTCTCAGCTCATAATCAGCGAACAGTTTAACAGTAGTGTTACGAACAAACTTCTTATACTAAGGAAAAAAACAACCCTATTTTACACATCGGCTAATTTGTTCTTTGCAGGTTTTAGCAATACAAATAAAACCTTTAAGGCATAAACCAATTTCATATCATGCAGTTTGTAAAATAAGAACAATACAACGCGATCCCGGCATGGTCCGAGTTGCTATTAGACTGTGCAAACTGATCTGAGCTCAACCAATTAAAACAAGAGAATGTGCATGTTAGATGAAAACTAAAACATCGGTCTTAAAGTTACCTGTTTCAATTTTTATTTTGTTAAGTCCTTATTAACTGAGCGCAAAGTCTTTATGGAAAAATATCGCACCGAAGTTGTTCGAGCAGAACAAGCCCGTAGGGCGTGGTTTGTACCAAGAAACGGAGGTCCGATATTTCTTAGTAAAGACTGAGCAAGCGAGGTTAATAAAACGTTTAATATATGGCATTATTTGACCTAAAACGAAACTTTTTTCTTTTCTAGTCCTTCCTGTTTTGGCTTCACTCCTTTAGTTTCTTCATTAAAAATAAATCGTTTGAAATTGTGTTTTCTGGATAACAAAACTCACTTCCCAGTGTTTTTTCGTAAGACTGACATTCGTACATGAACATTTTGTCGTTTTTTGTTTAACAAAACGTTTGCTGTTTGCTTTACAAAGTTTGTTTACATTTATTTGTAGTGTAAAATTACGCGTATTGGACCGTGGTCCACAAAAGGAAAGTAGTGGACCGCCAAAAATGTTTCCGAGCCAATCGAAGCGTGCCATTTTACGGGAAGTGACGCTTGTCATACGATAAAAATGAAATAAAAGCAGTTTCAGGTGTTTGTAAAGCTCAGAGAAGTTGGGAATGGGAAAACTCTAGACCTTCGATCTAAAGTTTGGAAAGATCTGCTCGTGACTTCTCCCAAACATCTCCTCAGTTTGCAGAAGTACAAACACAGTACACAACTCTCATTTTTTAAATAATGTTAAGTATCAGTTCACACTTAAATATTAATTGCTTTCGATCAGACAGGAAACGCGAAAAAAGAATAGCTATCAAATAAATAACGTCATACCAAGTCCGGATCGTCTTCTTCGATTGAACTTTTTCCTTCTTTTTTCGCTTGTTTACGTTTCTCTGTCAACTTCAAAGAAGAATATTTGTCATCTCTTTTTAAAAAAAGCCCGACTAAGATTATACAAGAAATTAAGTTACTTTCTGTTCAGCTAAAGCTTTTCCTTCATCAATCATTTCCTTTACTTTGACGATCTCTTTCTCGTCGTTGATCAGTTTGTACGCTTTGCTTAGTTCTACACGAATAAGTATGGAAATAATTATATTTGGAGCAATCGATACTTCATGTAACAAACAAATTTAACCGGGAGCGGATGAAGGCCAGCTCACAAGTGAGCATGTTTAAATTTACGTCGGAAACAATCCTCGTCCGTAATATTTTAAATTATTTCACAGAAAAGCCTTTCGAACATACCGAATTCATTCGTATTTTCTGATTAAAACGTCTATTGGTGAACTACGATAGACCCGCTCGATAGCTCGATGTTTTCATCCGAGAAATCGATATGATCAATTTCATTATGATTATTAAATTATTCCAATGTTTGTCGGTGTTATACAACGAAAGGCCTAAAAACGGCGGCGCTATGCTATCCGTCGTTACATTGGACAGAAATATACATCGCATGTTTGACAAACTTCTGGTTTGCAGGAGCGCCATAGGTTATGATACAAACGGTGTACCGTTATCAATACGTTTTGCAGGTAGTATATTTTAAATTCATAATGATATACTTTGCATGAGATATTTCTCGACTGTGATTGGTTGATTGCAGTGCAGTTTATGTTACTGAGCGCAGGCAATATAGTGTGCAGGGTGCATAACTACGGTGGCTCACAAGGGCCACCACACAAAATAAAAATATTAATACACACACAAAATACATTATACACACACAATATAAAAATACACACACAAAATAAAAATACACACAAAAATAAAATACACACGCAAAATACATTATACACACACAAAATAAAAATACACACACAAAATAAAAATACACACACAAAATAAAAATACACACACAAAATATGATTGCGGGCGCTTGCAGTGTCGGATGGTCTGACTATCATATTATCAGTTTGTAATCAGATATATGTAATTCACTAATTGTGATTTTAACATGTGGTCGACTTGTCGTCGTATTTAACTGTTTCAACTGCGAAACATTTGAAATTACATTTGGAAAGGAATCGAAAGCAAGCTCTTGCATAATCTTGGCATAATTATGTTTTGTGCCAACTGTGGTGCACAATCACTTGACGAAGCTTCTTTTTGTCACAAATGCGGTGTGCGTTTGGGAAGATTAACTTTGCCAAAATGTTCTGAAGCGTCAATGACGAGTAGCGTCTCTTCAAGCAGTTGCCCTTCGAGCTCTGCAAGTCCGTTAACTTCAACTTCAAGTACCCCAAAGCTGTTTATAACAAATACAGGACAGGCTAGAGCAATAATGTCCTTTCAAAGGACAACACATTAACCTTAATTTTAACCAGAATACGGGGAGCAATATCGTAAGCAACTTTGAAATAATTGATCACAGTGAAATCAGTGAATTTTGTTATGTACTCTGGAAGTTGGAACCTTTAAGGCTGAAACACACTAGGCAGTCGCTTTAGTCGCGCGTCTAAAACTACCACTTTGCGTGGTTACTAAGCTAGTAGCGTAGTCGCGTCAGCTAGTCGCTTTGAAAGTTCAACATGTTGAACTTTTGACTTTGGTCGCTTCAGTCGCTTTACACTGATTGGCCAATAGATACATTTTAACTTCCTAAATGCATATCATACTCCCTGTCATAAGTATCATACGGAATTTATAGATTATACCTTGGAAAACGAAGGCAATATATAGTGAATTCACACTGGAATCTTTCAGTTTTTATATGACTTATCAAATAGGGACAATAGGAGCTACAAACTGGAACCCTAATGCACAACCTAAGTGCACAGAATAAGATTATCCACAATATCCGCGTAATGGACTATGATCATATTAGCGTGTTTTAACTGGCTTGTTCTCTTTTCTCCACATAGTAGTCTGTACTGAGTAAATATTCATATATTAGTAGCTGTAATAAAGGCCAAAATAAAGAGTTTAAGTGATAATCTGTGTCTGTAACAAACTAAAATCACCGCCATGTTCAATAGACGCCACGGTAAAAGTCGCGATGGTCGCTGCATGTGTGTTCCTAGCGTTCAAGCGACTGACGCGTGCGCATCAATTCGCTTTGGACGCGCGACTGAAGCGACTGCCCAGTGTGTTTCAGCCTTTAGAACTTTGAAAACAAATGCGATCAATTACGAGCAATTCCGAGTAAGCCGACACTGCAAGCGCCCGCAATCATATTTTGTGTGTGTATTTTTATTTTGTGTGTGTATTTTTATTTTGTGTATAATGTATCGTGTGTATTTTTATTTTGTGTGTATTTTATTTTGTGTATGTATTTTTATTTTGTGTGTATTTTTATTTTGTGTGTGTATTTTTATTTTGTGTGTGTATTTTTATTTTGTGTGTGTATTAATATTTTTATTTTGTGTGGTGGCCCTTGTGAGCCACCGTACATAACCTTTTGTTGAAACTCAACTGTAGTTACCGCTCATGAACATTGTACTTTGTAACACTCCTAAGCTCGCGTACAAACTCACCATCAAAAGCACTTTGGGCGCGATCTCTATCGTCGGGGTTTTTATCAGGATGTATGAGTATCGACAGCTGGAAAAAATACCATAAATTTTATAAAGAATTTCACGTCGTAAATATGCTACGATCGCAAAGGAGAAAAATAGAGCAAGCCAAAATCTCTCGTAAAATAACAAAAAATGTATAGAGAAGTATGCGGTGACTATCTACTGCAAAATGGATATTTTTGCGCATTCCTCTGCAATTTGGCTAGAAAGGAATACAAAACACAGCATTGTTAAAACTAGGTGTGATTTCTAAGGTGCTGTTGAAATTATTCATTTATGGTCGTATCGTCCTATTTTTTTGGCGGTTTCAATTATATTGCCTTTAAATGGACCTTGTCCGTCTTAGCATAAAGTCTATATCCAGCATTGAACTAAAATACATGGAACGCTACCTGTGATATAAAACCCTAATAATTTTTTGAAGCCGTGATTTTACCACAGACACGCGAGACTTTACCCCAGAGTCCCTTGCACTCAAAAAAGTCCTCGTTACGTCAAAAAAGTTAGTTGTTCCAGACTTTTGGGAAGTACAAGGTCTATTAAAAAGACCATTTTAGCCAACTTTAAACCATCATAAAAATGGCACAATTCGACCAAACTAAAAATGACAATTGAATTTAATATCGCGAATAAAACGTTTTGCAGACAGGAGCACTTTAATTAAGCAAAACAAATTGCAATTTTTTGATAATAGAGCAAACTTACAGAATATTTTCTTCAATAATGTATAAAAGTAAGACAATTTAACAAAAAAATTTGACTTCACTCCCCTAAACAGACTGTTTACCGTGTAAGGAATATTTTAACTCCTCCCCCCAATTTCAGCAAAACAAATCAGTAGCACATTTCAGCTGAGTTTTTCAGGGCAATGTTTCAAAATTTCTACAGTACTTTCGATGGCTTCACTAACACACTGCCCGTGATTTTTAAACTCATGACCAAACACTTTAAACACACATCCGAACAGATAATATATTGCATATACATTTGTCATCATCTAAATTACAAGAAAAAACTAATTTTACATTCAATATGATATACTTTACTGTAAAATTTTGATGTATGATAGAGCTTTGCTTGCTTTATAATTATTTTAAAACCCTGGTTCAAACAACTGAGGATGAGGGTTGCTTTTTGGTATGAGCAAACAAAACAAGCAAAATCTTACCTGTGAAAGCGAGATGTTCCTTTTTGTGCACATTATGATATTCAACAATTGAACGATTAAAGTGTTGGCATTAAAAGAGAAATGCCAAAAAAGATATTGTGTTTGTTTTTAATAAATTCTATATAATTTACTACAGGCAACAGGGGGGGTCGAGAATAATTTTTCTCTGCAAAGCGAACATTTCAGCGGAAATAGGTCAATTGGCATCCATTTTTGGGCATCATCGCCCCAGTCCACTTAGCCCATCGAGTTATTATAGAACTCAATGGTCAAAACCAAAAAACTCTGATCTCCAACACTAAATACCCTCCCTTCAAATGATAAACGATAAAGGTGGAAACACCTCTGCTCTTAAGATGAGCATGTGTTACTCATATACCCCCAAACATAAAGGTGGAAACTAGTCATGAGTCAATCGAGGAAAAATCACATTTGCCGATCCGATAAATTCCGATCCGATATAAAGGCATATCGGCCGATTTATCGGTAGCAGCCGATAAATGAAAAACAAGAAATTTTCAAATCTTTAACGTTCGAAATTTTTACAGCTCTAACTATATCTATCGGAAGCCGATTTACGTCAATAAGTTCGGCCGATAACCAATATGCATAAAAATAGACGATTATCGGCTTTTACCAATCAATTTCCGATAATCGGCTCAGCACTAGTGGAAACACCACTGCTCTTAAGATGAGATTGTGTTACTTATACACCCCCGCCCCAATTATAAAGGTGGAAACACCACTGCTCTTAAGATGAGATTGTGTTACTCATACACCCCCCGCCCCAATCATAAAGGTGAAAACACCACTGCTCTTAAGTTGCGTAAGCATGTGTAATTAATATATACCCTCCCAATTATAAAGGTGGAAATGCCACTGCTCTCAAGATAAGCATATGCAACTAATATATCATATTCAAACAACATCCACTAACTAAGAGAAAAGGGCCCACCACAACAAGATCTACGAATGTGGTGCACAAAGTATTTACACTAAAATCACTTGATTACTGGTAGATTATGAATATTAATTCTATTTACCCTTCTGTACTGCTTTTTTATTTGTTCAGGAGTGGAATCAGGGGATATCATAAGAACCTGAAAAACATAATAACACTTATACACGTAATAAAAACACTTATAAAAACGTAATAACACAATACACTTTTCATTATGAAATACTTTACTCAATAAAAAATCACTAAAACCAGATACATAATCAACAAACCAACCCTACATAAGCCACTTGCCAATCCTACATAACCAACAAGCCAACCCTATAAAACCAACAAGCCAACTCTATATTGCAAAATACACAAGTTAAACTTACGTAATTAACAACCCTATGTCTTTAACAAACCAAACCTACATAATCAACAAACCAACCCTTAAATAACCAAAAACAGCCATATCCAACAGAAAACAAACCTACTTTACCTAATAAACACACTAACCCTACAAAACCAAAAAGCAACAGACATAACCAACAATTTTCGACAAAAATAAACAAACAACATATTGATTGCCCTCAAACGAAATTACAAGACCATTGTTTTTCAATCATCCCAGATCTCAGGATAATTTACAGATAAACTTAAATATGTAGATACTCTACTTGATCACCTCAAAGGGATTCAAGTTAAGATAAGTGGAGCCTGGTTTCAATAATCTGTCAATCTGTTGCTTGCTTGTCAACACTGAATCCCTCTGTTCTATAGTTTTCACCTAAAATAATGACAAATTCTTATTACTGAAGATTCCCCAATATTTACCTAGTCAGTTCATAAGTACACACATAAATGTATTTTTTGTACATATAGTACAGATGAGAAATCAACTATTTGTTCTGAAAATGATTATATTGTCTTTATGATAAAATTTTTCACAGCAAATGACATTATACATGAGTATGTTGGAAGCAAGGAGGGTAGGGGGTCACTTCTTAAGAAACAGGGGAATAGTGCCTTTTTTAACATTTTCAGTAAGCACAATGTCAATCAATATTTGATTTTAAAATTTCCACAATGCCCCTCACCCCTTTTATGAGGGTCTGAAAATTGAATTTTTTTTAGTACCAACATGGATATCTGGGTTTTGGATTTGGTATTTCTATTGACAATGAAGTTACCCAAATATGTATGTAGTTGGCTTTTCATGTCCCACGGTCAAACACAACACAATTCCAAAGCTTAATGTCTGTCCATGTTTAAATCAAAAGTTGCTTTTAAAATCATTAAAGTACATGTAACTTCAATTTTTCAATTTATTAACAATTACAAAGTTGCTTAATAATTTAATAACAATTGATGACGTTGCTTAATTGTTACTGTTCATACAATAACATCACTGATTAATAATGCTCTAAGTCAGTATACCCTCAAATCCAATAATGTGTAAAAACTATCAAAAATGTTCAACTCACAAATTCAATCATAAGTAAACATAATTATAATAGTATTACATATGCTAAACATGTGTTATTTAATGAACAAAAATAGAAAACTACTAACTTCATTAATTCCTATTCTAGTTCTGAAAAATGTTGTATCATACAAAAAAATAAAATTAGCATTCAAAGCCAAATTTTACTATCTCATGGATACCAGCCACAAATTTCAAATGCAACTTTTATAGCCTTTCAACAACCTTAAATTTAAGGAAAAGAGGATGATGGAAACAGTTGTATTTTAAGTGCTGAACGACAGCAATAACTCTAAATTCTTGCTTGTCAATACTGAGCCCCTCTATTCATTACTTACATACCTAGTGGTTAGAACTTTTTTTGATAAATATTTGCAGATTAGGCTAGGAAGAAGTAAAAGGCCAATTGCTGATCACTTCAAAATTGGGCAATTTATTGTCATTGTTGTTTATTTACCAATAGGTTAGCTCAGACTTATTTTTTGACAAGATCTCAAAAAGGAAAGCTAAAAAATATCAACATAGGGCAGTCTCAGGAATGCAAATGTACTCAAATGTATTGCATTTTGTTACTTTTTTGTTTTTTGCTTAGCAACTTGAGGGCACTAAAACTTGCCACTTGATAAATCTTGTGGGAAAAATTGCTGTTCTATGGAAAAAGTAATAGTGCCTTGTAACTGCTCAGAATTGGCCAGCAAGAAGAGCAATTATAACAAGAGTTGTTTTAATGATAATGGGGACATCAATTTATAGAGCTTGTGTAAGTTTAAGCAAAATGTCACAAATTAGAATAAAATCTGAGACAAGTTTCGGTCATTTTCATCTTAAACAATGAAATATTAAAGTAACTCAAGTCTCACTGACTCAAGCACTTATCTTCTAAGGCTTCATCAATGATTCAGTCTGAAAGTCATTAATAACTTAAACAGGATTGCAGATATTTTAAGAATGAAAGGAGTCTAACGATTTTAGTGACTTGACAGACTTTACTTGAGTTGACAAGTTATGAATAATAAACAACGAAAAACAAGATTAGCATTAGATGATTAGAATCGACACAACAACAAATAATGCAATAAACAAGCAATATACTGCTTGAAATTTTTGTTGCACACAATTCCTTATTTAATTGGCTAAATTGCGGAATACCCGTCCACTTGGTTTTAGTGTTAGGGTTAAGGTCAAGTTTATGTTATAGGTGGACGGGTATTCTGCGATTACTCACTTATTTCACTTTAAGTGTCGAAAGAAAGCTTTACCTCTTCCATAAAGTTTTGAAGTTTATCTTCAGCGGTGACTTGGCCTGATGATTCCGCCATCTTGATTACCTCTACGATATAGTCTTCACTGCGCATGCGTCACATTTAAATTATTTTACTACTACTTTTTTCGTTATACCACTCTAGGTTTACGAATATTAAAAAACACTTGAGAAAAACGACGATTTTTTTGAAAGCAAACATGTTTCGACATTATCAGAATTGCTTACAACTAAGAAACGCAAGGCTGAACTTGATGTCGCCTTCCTTAAAGATTGCAATTCACTTGGAGTTTTTCCAAAGTTCCTGTGTTTTCCACTGCCTAATGTTGACAAACATCTTCAAGCCTCTCCTTCATGTAAAAACAAATTCTCACCTTCCTGTTTTAAAATCATCGACACTGATCAATCCACTTTCTCACTCAAAATCAAGGAAGCTCTACACATTAATAAAACTAATCCCGATTTAAATATCCAAGTTCACCACTACAACACTATATTTACTTTATAATAATATTTTTTGTTATAAGTTCTTAATACTTAATTTTTTTTTTTTCTCCTTTTTGTAAATATTTTATTATTTTTTAACTTAATTATATTCCTATTCATTGTAATTAATTTATTCATATCATATTACTTATCATATTACTTAACACTAACCATTCTGCACTGAAGATGGCATTCTGATAATGTCGAAACATGTTTGCTTTCAAAAAAATCGTCGTTTTTCTCAAGTGTTTTTTAAAATTGCTGCTAATTAGAATTTACGAATATTCTTGCGCTGAATGTAAATCATTTAATTCCAGTTACATTGGGCCCTGGGGAGACCGCCCGCCACCTTTTCACATGGATTATAAAATACACAACCACGGAGAAAATTCAGAGACTAACTCTCGTCACCACACTGCAAAACCAATAACACACAATCCTGCTTTCGTATCTTAGACAGCGCTCACACTCCTTTCGTCCTTAAACTGAAAGAAGTCCTTTATATCAAATTATCATGAAACGTAAACCTAAACTTAACAAACAAATACAACATCTTAACATTATCTTCGACCTGTAAATAGCAATAATTATTACCTTATCAGAATATCAGCCTTTTAAAAATTTTCTTTGTTTTTTGTTTATTTGTAACACCTAACACAAATATTTCATACGGAGTGGCTATTCGTACGGCATAAATATTTATGTCTTAAAAACTTAAACAAAACTAACCTAAATTCTGACGTCATCCAAGGTAGTTGGTATATATATATATATATCTTGTATTGAGGAATGGGGAATCCCTTGCATGACGTCACAAAGTTAAGTCGTTCCAGACTTTTCGAACGACAGACAAGATCCAT